CTGAGCTACAGAACGTGGACCGTATCTTTGGTATTGATAGTCATTTAAACAGGCGCATACCGGCGGTCTGGTGGATATAATATATATAATCATACTTATTATTTTTATAAGAATATGAAATCCTTTGGTCGTCCCACAGTGGGGAAATCTCAATGTTGCAGTGCACATACAGGACAGTGGTAAGAGCACACATGGGGCACACACAAAATATGAAATGCGTAGCTGCTATGTTTCTTAACTAGCTGTAAATGCCTCAGTAACAATATCGATATCTATATAATGCAAAGTTAATTTATATTACATTATAATGCAATATATTGTTATTTTGGGATAGAATAAAAAAGTGTGTCATTCAAAGGTGTATGTTGTCAAACCGTTTTTACTTTTTTTAAATTTTCATCTTGCATATTTTTTTAGTCGTGACTTTGTTTATGGCACTTATTTCAGTCTCTTGTTAAAAAAATAAAAAATAAAAAAAAATATATAGAAGCTGGCAACTTGTGTGAACCAGGAAGTGTTTGGGGTCTAACCAGCCTCTGATCTCAGTTTCTGCATTTTAATTCATTTGTGGTGATGGTGGTGTTATTTCCAGTCAGAGGAGGGCCATCTGCGAACTGCTCTTGTAAGAAATGCGAGCAGAGAGTGAGGAAGAGCAGGCGTGAGACAACGGCTATGTGCGGCTCCGTCCAACACTGCTGCATCGATCAGACTGACGCATAACTGAAGCTTTTCATGCTTTAGCAATTTATAAAGTTCCATCGACCAAAACGCACACTATTCTTTTCTTCAGTCATGATGTTTGAAGGAGGCCCACGGCTTTCTGTTCGTGTTCCGGATACTGCATTGACAAAAGAATTTGCATGTGACGAACAAAATCAACTAAACTATAACAAATATACTAAATAATAGTGTTCCCCAACCTTTTTGAGCCGTGGCACACCTTTGTCATCGCAAAACGTACCATTTCACACCACCAGCTGAAACTGATGAATTTGAAACTTTAAAGCCTTTATTAACAAATCACAGTCATTCTCATCAATGTCTGTTATATAGCAAATCAAACAAGCAAGCAGGTGTTAATGGATAATTTCCAAGGCACGCTAATAAACATCTCAAGGCACACAAACGTTCCACGGCACACTGGTTGAAAAACACTGTACTAAACTATACTTTTTCCAATTGGTACCTGCCCGGATTTCCCCTGTACCACGCAATTTCTAAGATACTCTCCAAAGTACGGTAGAATTACAACTTTAGATTCTGAATCCGAGTCGCTTTCTATACCAGGGCTGACCAGGGCTACCCACCATTTCCCCTACATTTTCTCTTACATATTTTCCTGTATTTATTTCTGTTGTTCAAATCAATCAATCAAATTTTATTTATAAAGCGCTTTTCATACAAAAAGTGTAACACAAAGTGCTTTACAGTTTAGTTAAAAACAATCCAACATGCCCAGCCCTAAACCCTTCTCCCCACAGACCCCCCAAAACCACATTTATAATTATATATACAACCACATGCATATACACACACACAGAGACACATATACACACACACATACACAAGTATAAAGTCATATCAGGTAAAATAGGTAAAACAATAAAAAGAAATGGGGCTGGGAGCAGATGTAACCGGCTGAAGAAGCGTCATCCAAGGAGCCATCTGCACCAGGAGCAGAGAGCCGGCTGCAGCCACAGGGAACGACACGGGACCCAGAGGAGAGAGGGGTCCCAGACCCCACCAGGCCCAGGACTCAGACCCCATAGGACCCAGAGGAGAGAGGGGCCCCAGACCCCACCAGGCCCAGGACTCAGACCCCATAGGACCCAGAGGAGAGAGGAGGCCCCAGACCCCCACCGGATCCAAGAGCCAGACCCCAGCCACAGCAGACCCCAGCTCTCAGTGCAGAGGGCTCCTCCAGAGGAAACACTGGGGACACTAAAACAATACAATAATACAATAGAAAGTAGAACAATAAAATGTGACAATAAAAAGAAAAATGGCAGCTGCCTAATATTGATAATAACAATAGTAAATGGGTAGATACAATAAATTATTAAAAATAGTAAATAATAAAAATAAATAAAAATATAATGTGTCTAAAAACATAAATAGATGTACTAAAAAGCAATAATAAATAATAAATACTAATCAAAAGCTACTCTAAAAAGGTGCGTCTTGAGCCTACTCTTAAAAATATGAACGTTCTCTGCGGCCCTGAGCTCCTCCGGCAGACTGTTCCAGAGACGGGGGCCGTAGTGCTGGAAAGATGCCTTGTTGGTTTTAGTAGTCCTCTATCTTTTATGTTTTCTAACTCGCTTCTGAAAAAAAATTCTGGCATCTAAAGGGTTGACGTGTGCATGAAATGGGTAATTGTTGTACTTGTTGAGACAGGCCTTGCGTCTGTCCACAGGGTCTTCCTCCTCAGAAGGGTCACTCCCCTAGGATTTCAGACGTCCTTCTTGCTTTTAGTTTATTGTATTTGAATAATAACGCATCAAACTTATATACTGTAGCGCTTTTTGGACACTCAAAGACAAACAAAACAAAACAAACAAAATTGAGGAAAGGAAAGGTGAAACAGGTGGGATTTGAGAATAGATTTAAAGTTCTGTAGTGACTAGTGAGTCTGCATTTCTGATGGTTGTGTGAGTGGGTTCCAGAGAGTGGGGGGCAGCTGCGGCCATGGCTCGTTTCCCAGAGGTTCGGTTTTTAGTCCTTAGAGGTAGGAGGTTAGAGTCTGTGGATCTGAGGCGGCAGGTGGGACAGTGATGATGGAGGAGGTCAGTGAGGTGAGAAGGTTAAGGAGAGATTTGTGGGTGAGGTTGAGGACAGGGGTGATATGGACTCTGGTGTGGGTGACTGGGCAGGCAGCAGAGTTCTGAATGTATTGTAGTTTTTGGAGAGGTGTGGAAGGGAGGCCGTAGAGGAGGCTGTTGAAGTAGTCAAGTCTGGAGGTAATTAAGGCGTGAACCAGTATTTCAGCAGAGGATTGTGGGAGGGAGGGGAGGAGGCGGGGGATGTTCCGTAGGTTGAAAAATTATATATTTTGGAGATGAGGTTCATGTGAGGTTTATATATAAATTTCTTCAGTGTGAGATCAATAAAGTCTTACCTTATCTTTATGAGCATTTCGATCCTTGGTCACATGTATGTCAAAGATCTTACACATTATAGGAAATAAAAGGTGTATATTAAGTGTTAAGTGCTAAACTGACCGGAAAGGGGCTTAGACTGAAGACGAGACTTGCTAGGGCTGGGCGATATGGCTGAAAACTATATCACAATATTAGTAATTCATATCGGTCGATAACGATTTATATTGATTGTTTTTTGTTGTTTTCATGACGGCTCCATGCGGCTGTGCTTCCCGAGGAAAAAGTTCATCTCTTGCTTTCGCCGAATGCATCGGGTCTCTGTGTCCACTGCCTCTACCTCGCAACACATGCTATTCCTCGAACGAACGTGCATAACTATTGACACGGCATTGAAAAACGATCTATAGATCCATGGACGCTACGCATGGTGCGAGTGTTGTTTTTGCATTTGCCAGAATGTTTTGCAGTCCATGATCGGCTGTGATAGGTCGAGAAGCCTCTGCCTACATCCCCCAGAATGCCGTGCACTTCTGACTCAGCTTTACTTCCTGTGTTTTCTTCTTGTTTTTTCTAACTGAGTGAAGTTAAACTAACGAACATTCTATCAACCCCGTTTTCTATTTATATCGAACATATGTCTATCGCGATATATATTGTTATTGTTTTATTGCCCAGCCCTAAGACCTACTCTGCCTGACTCCTTTTACTCCCTCTCAGGGAACTTTCCATAATCCACTTAAAATTTGTCTATGGAAGTGGATTCATAAGGGGTTCTTAAATAGTAGTATAGTTTTATCTAATTTATACTGTGTGTTTTTACCGTGTAGGCTGAATAATAGCGCTCTGGCCTTATTCTGATGCATTTACAGAAATATTTATGAATAGTTGAATAACGAATACATTAAACAAGTGTGTATTGTGCAGTGTAGTGTTTTGCATGAGTGAGTGGCACAGCTTGATGCACTCAACATTTTATTTATTTATTCGTCAGGACAATGTACAAAGACATAATAAAAGCAGAGACACTTGCACCAGACTGCAGCTCAGGTTTTGTATTGTGCGGCTGTAGCGGTAGGGCGGGGTCACAGTCTGCGCACGTTAAAAAAAAAATTATTGATCAAAACAACTGAAATGGTTTGTTTACTGTTGCGGTTATTTCTGGTTCGAACGAGAGCTTGTTTTCAGCTGTGTTCCTTTGTGTGGAGATAGAAGCCTCGCAAGCATCCACTTCCCCATTTGATGATGATTTATTTTTAGCATAAAGCTGATTCAAAGGGAAAAAAAATAAACCCAAAAAAATGCAGGGCGACAAAAATAAGTGATTTTATAAAAGCAATTACGAAAGCAAAACGTAGAGTAAAAATACAAAGGGGTAATCAAACAGGGGACAAAGAGAAGAACCAAAATGTCTGAAATGACAATGACGGAACAGGGAGGGAAGGACACGGGGTTTGAATACAGAATGACTAACGAGACACAGCAAGAAGTAGACCTAAGAAAGACACAGGAGAAATTAAGAAATTACAAAATAAACACGAGAAAAAAAATCTAAACTATGTCTAAGGCGTTTTGGATTTTCTTTCAGAGGTGAAACTTAAGGCTCACTATTCATCCTGACATGTTTACTTACTTTTTGTGAGGACTTTTGTATAACATTAATTCAGTTGCTTTGGTCTTGTTTGGCTCATATTTGTTCTGTTTTGGATGATCGTGATTAGTCTCAACAAAAGAGTTTCTTATGAATATGGATCAATTGTGAAGCTCATTAAAATATTGAAAGTATTTGATTTGAATAATGATTGTATACTTCTATGTTTCCATCTTTGACATACTTTCGTCCCGTACAATTTATTTTGCAATCGTGGCTGACCATCTTGTTTTTGTTTCCCCTCTCCATAGACTCGCAGAGGTCCCACCTGTCCTCGTTCACTATGAAGGTGATGAACAAATTCCACTCTCCCAAGATCAAACGGACCCCATCCAAGAAGGGCAAACAGCTACAGCCCGAACCCGTGGCCAAGAGCACAGAGAAACCGGAAAACAAGGTGAGCAGCATTATGAGTCTATATGAGGTCTGCCCAGTGAGAAATACACATTCTGCATCCAACATACGTCAGGTAAGTTTCTGCATTTGTTTTACAGTCTGTACAGTCTGGTCTCTTGAAGAACGGAACATTCTGTCAATATTGGGTCACCTCTTAGTGAAACCACAACAAATAATTCTGTATGTTTTCAATAATCATGATTAAATAACAAAAAGTGAAAAATAAAAGGCCACTCATGCCAGGCTCGGCTCTATAGAAGTGAAGGCTACATTTGTATTCAGACGGCTTGTTCACTTGTTTGTGTGTAACACACAGAGCACTCCTTAATGAGCCACGAGTCCAAATGCAGACACAGCAGAGCGGCACTTGTCATGTGGGAGACGAGAAGCAGAGGAAACACTGCTCGTCCTCAGGAGATGTGGATATTCCACCTCACGCTCACACAGGGGAACACACAAAGGGAGGGAATGAGAGGACAGAAAAGAATGCGTTGTTCATTTGTTGTAATTGATTATATTGTGTTTGTTTGTCTGCACAGAAGGTGAGCCGCCTGGAGGAGCATGAAAAGGAGGTTGTGAGTGCACTGCGTTACTTTAAGACCATTGTGGACAAAATGGTTGTGGAGAAGAAGGTGTTGGAGATGCTTCCAGGTTCTGCCAGTAAAGTACTAGAGGCCATCCTGCCCCTGGTTCAAGTGGAGGCTCGGATACAGCACAGGTCAGTCATTTATGCTTCAGTTCTCCTTTTATTGACTGTCACCTACAGCCAGGTTTTATATCATGTGACACTGCACTGGGAGTGACAGTGGCTCAGTTGGTAAAGCTTGGGTTCGAGTCCACCACAAGACCTACTTCAACTGCTCCCACTCCCATAGCTGCTGTGGGAAGCCCCCACTGAAAGACCAAGTGAACACACCACCTGCAGAAGGATCAGAGGGACTGGAGCCATGAACATTGGGTGGCAGCTCTCATACCCTCATTCTGCTTTCTAGTTTGATATTCTGCTTAATGTGTTTTTTTTTTTTTTTAATTAAAGCTAGAATACCTGGCATTTTACATAATATATTAAATAAACTGTTGTCCCAAGTAACGTTAGGTCAACAAATCAGACCCGGTTTGCCTGATTTGTCCTCTGGGATGATTGTCTGATTAATAAAAAGGCCACATACATGACTCGTACCAAATGATTTTAAGAGGAGCTATAATGGATTTTATTACACACCCTAGTTTCTTTCTTGTTTGAACATTGGGTTTTCCAGCTTTAAGAATAAAACGGCATTAAAGCTATGAAAATACCTTATGTTTATGGATACTGATAAAAGATGGATGTGAAAAGATGGAGTTTCTATTCAATGCCCTCAAGCTAGTCCACTATGTGCCAAAATAAGTTGTATCATAGTAACAAGTGTAACTTATGTATTTTGAGTCAGACACAGTTTGCTTGGTCTGAAATGTTCCACTATATGCACATACAGTACATGTTGTCTATCTCCATGGAAACAAGCTGGCAAAATTACAGATTATGTGGAAAAGGAAGAGACACCCTCTCAATAAAAATACATCTTTATCATTTGGAGCAAATATCAACACAGGTTGTTACACACACACACACACACACACACAGTTCAGCACCACACTGGAATATGTATTTTCAAGTATTGCAAAAGATACACTGTACAAGTTACGCATGCACCAGCAACAATGTGCTTTTCCCATCATTCCCCTCATTCTTCTTTCTTAGCATTTCCGATGATTCTGTCGGGCGAGTTCCAACTTGTGTCTTTATCCAGATTCCAAACGCATGACTGAAAATGTTTTGGAACTTGGATGTATTTATGTTTTAACCCTAGTGGGATTCTAGTTAAGGTTAAAACCAAACTACATTTTAACCTTCAATGTCTTTTGACATCCGTCAGTGCAGATGAAAGCAGGAGGTCACAGTGTCTCAGTCTCTGTGTTTAGGGACGGCTGATGGATTGTTGTTGCAACATCGAGGAGCAGGCATCTGGGGAACAGTCCCCTCCAGCTCTTAGATGAAGGTTTGGCGATTACATGCTTTGTTCTTGGGGAGCAAGGCCTTACCTTATATCCAGGGACCAGGTGTAGGATAGAATAAATTACAATATACAAACAACTAAAGTCAAGCACAAGTGCTCACAAGAGACGCTGTTCAACTGCTGTTGAGACTCAGGTCTTTCGGAGTGTGGCGGGGGGGTCACCCCTGAGGACTTTCTATGATTCTGGTGACATCAGCAGCGGTTTGTTTCTTTGCTTGAGCAGCAGCATCACATGTCCCTCTGACAGGTGAAGCTGAACAAAAATGCCCCTGACCAGGAATGACTTTGGCCCTTTGTGTAGACTTGCATTGTTGTATATTATGCAGCAGGTGAATACAGACCCCTGCTCCTCAGTATTCACTCGTCTGTATTCACGAGAAATGCCACAATCCAACCCCACACACTCACGTACAATTATGCAGAGGTTTTCATGTTCTCAGAGCCTCTGTCACTTTTCCTGAGGCTATTTTTGAATTTGTGTTCTTACTTTCAGTCACCTTTTGTTTCTTGTCCATTCTCAGCGCTGCAGGTGTTATTAGATCTTTGTGTTTAACTATAAACTGCTCTTTTCTTCTTCATACAGCTCTGCGTTGTCTTCCTGTCACAACCGCGTCTACCAAAGTCTGGCAAATCTTATCCGATGGGCAGACCAGGTGATGCTCGATGGCATAGACTTGGAGGACAAGGAGAACGTGGCGGCCGTTACCAACGTTATAAAAGCTGTTTTAGACGGAGTAAAGGTATCCAAATCCACATCTCATTAATCCGAATTTGAATCAGCATCAGATAATTAATTAAGTATCTCTTTGAAGGAATTGGTGAAGCTTACTATCGAAAAACAGGAGCAACCATCACCCACTACTCCTAACAAACCCGTACCACCTGCTACACCGACGGAGAAGTAAGCAAACTCACAACGGTTACACACCAGGACGAGGACGATGCTAAAAATCATAAGATCGTGATATCAATTGTGGCTGATCTTGATTATTGAGACATGCATTTTAACGTGTCATGGCAAAGCACACAAACACTGGGATGTCAACTGATCCTATTTTTAATGTTGTTATTGTCTGTGTCTTTGGACAAGTTATCAACACTTATGGACATTGGTCATCTGCCCCTTATGGACCAATACCAATGTTTTTCTGTTCTTTTTTAGTGTTTGAACTGTTTGATTCTCTGATCTGTGTTGACAAATTAAACGGTTGTGTAAAGTCCTCCGAGATAACTACTGCTGTGATTTAGAGCTATACAAGAATAAATTGAATTGAACTGAATTGAATTGTGCAGCAGCGAGACTCCCTCCCTGGAGCAGGAGGAGGACTCTCCAAAAGTGACCCCAGCGTCTCCTCTGGCTGAGGCTTCTACTAACGGACAAGAGGAGGATGTGGCGCCCCCAAAACCTCCGCTCCCTGAAGCCAAAATGGCCGAACTCAGGTAAAAACAAACCCACTCATTTTCTATTGAATTTCTTTTTTTTTCCCTAGATACGGTCTGTTTATTGGTTTAGTCACTTCTCCACTTTCAAACTCTTTCTGCTCTTCCATTTTTTTTATCTTTGGGTTCTTTTTTTGGATTCTGGGTGCAGAGCACAGTTGAGTGCTGATGCTGGCCAAAGAAGAGCTTGCCCAAAGGAGAAGTATGTTTGCTAGTTGGATTGTCTGTGTTCATTCTAACTCCGTACAGTCAAGCCCCATTTACAGCTTCTTGATTGGATGTGTTTTGGTCTGCATGGTTGCATTGTCCCCAAAAGTATTTCCTCCCAGGTATTTGTCCCTGAAGAAGACATCCAATATAAGAAGGTTATCCAGTGCATGACTGTGTGTGCTCGGTAATGTTGTCATTTACACATCATGTTCCTCTTTAACGTAACAGCAGGCGTTTATTCAAGGCCTGCCTCCTCATCTTACCAAAGGATGATCATTCTCATGTATTCATACAGATGTTGGTGTGTGCATACATGCTATAAGATGAACTCTAATTGCTTGCACCGTCCATGAAATGTAGAAAAGTAGGGATGCACCGATACCACTTTTTTTCCCAAAACTGATACGAGTACGAGTACCTTGATGTGTACTTGCTTACACCGAATACCGATATGAGTACTGCACATAGACTATAAATATTACTGCATTGTGTTATCCCGGGAATTCATAATACTAACACAACTGAAATTTCAAAATGTTTTATTTTTCATTTCAACAATAATAAAATGCTTTTACAATTATAGATTTTATCAATTGTTTTAACTGTCAACAATAAGAGCTACTGTCATATTCCACTCATACTAAATGCTGCAAATAAACAGCTGCCATTTGAATGCACTGAGAGATTTTTAGAGCTTTTATGTCACACAAAAAGTTTAAACTTAAATAAATAATATAAAAGCAGAATTACTCAACTTGTGCTCCGGTGCTAGCAAAGGTGTTATTCTCCGCATGGTGGCAAATTTTCAGATGTTCGATAAAGTTTACGTCAGGTCCTATGGTATGAGTACGAGCCTATGGTATCGACCCCATGCCAGTATCGGTATCGGTGCTTCCCTATAGAAAAGATTTTGATTTTGTTTGGGTTTCTTCACTGAGAATTTACTTTTTTGTATAGTCCTCCACCAGCCTTACCACCTAAAAAGCGCCAGTCTGCCCCTTCACCAACACGAGTGGCAGTGGTGGCCCCCATGAGCCGCGGGTCCAGTTTACCGTGCAGCGTTCACAGACAGGTGAAAGTCTGCCACATCTTTCACGAACACATCTCTGGGATGACATTCTAACCGTGTCTTTGTGCAGCAGCAGGACTACGAGCAGGAGTTTCTTCAGAGGCGATTCTCTGGTGGAAGTCAGTCGTACGGTGGGGATTCCCCGCGCCTGTCTCCGTGCAGCAGCATGGGCAAACTTAGCAAGTCTGACGAGCAGCTGTCCTCCATGGAGCAGGACAGCGGTCAGTGCTCTCGTAACACTAGCTGTGAAACTCTTGGTATGTCCATCATAAAACTCACGGCGCGATTGAAGGTATACAGGAGGATTTTCCCAAGTTTTAGGAAAGAACCGCCCACTACACTTTTTGAAAAAACTCTGGTCACATATCACCAGAATGATTGCTAATTAGGAGGATAAGTCTCTGTGATCCACCCGGAAGTACAAAATCATCTACTTTCATTCAGTTGTTTGACATAAATACATAGATATACGTTTCCTCTTCAACTTTATAGAGACTAGAAATTGATTGGGAAGAAATAAGACTTCTGACCTCTCCCCATCTACATACTGTACATACATTCACTTCAGCTGCCTGTTCATTAACACAGCTAATCCAATCCAATCCAATCCACTTTATTTCTATAGCACATTTAAACAACAGAACAGTTCCAAAGTGCTGCACACAAAAAAGTACAAAAAAGCTATTTCAACAACGACTATTATAAATTATATTGTATAATAATTACTGTCTATCTTCATTCTCGTCACTATCGTCATGTTTATGTTTATAATTTTTGTCATGAAAATTATTATTATTATTATTATTCAATTCGACCATGTAAAGTCACATTTGTTCCCTTTTTTGTAACAGAATGAGCCACAGTAGCCACCTTACCCACACTGGGTTAATCTTGCACAGTTTTTCCAATGTGGTTTTACTGCAGATGGCAAATAAATTCTTGAATCTTGAATCCTCCTATATACCTTTTATTATATGCATTGAAAGATTTCTAAACGCTTTTAACTAGTCTTTTCCCATTTAGACAATGCTGAAAACTATGACCCGGATTACGACTTCCTCCATCAGGACTTGTCAAATGGAGAAAACCTGCCCCCTATCCCAGTGGGGGGTTGTCTCAGCCCTCTCCCAGAATCCCACAGCGAATCCTCATCCCCTGTGCCCGGACAGCACCCTTCTCATCCTCGCTTCTGCGCCCCAACATCGCAGCAACGGCCCGAATACTGGACGCCACAACCGAACCAGACCAACCCTTTACACGCATCTCGCATAAGCGCACCCCCTGCATTGCCTCAAAAGAAGAGGCGGAGCACGCAGACGTCGGCCTTCTCGGACGGCTCTCGCGTGCTCTACGAACGTTATCCCTCTCAATACGACAACCTGTCAGAGGAGGAGCTTCACCCGACCCCACCCTTCCCCCTTTTTACTCCCATCTCGCCGATGCCTCAGTCCAACGGAGGAGTTTTCGTCGCTCAGTACATGGCGAGTGAGAATCCAGACGTGCCCTCCAGCCCGCCTCCTTTACCCGAGAAGAAAAGTCGGCACAGTAAGTGGAAGAAAAGGATATGATTTATTATTAGGCCTTATTTACATAATCAATACAGTACTGTACAGGACTTTTAAACGAGCCTGTATCGAAACCACTCCAGCGAAAAAGGTATACATTTAACATATATACATACCGATTTCACTACATAGATATAAACACATCCACATCCACCTCAGTGACCTGAAGGGCTGTTGCTGATTATTACTATTGTTAGCTTTTAGAATGATCAATTTTATTTTCTATTTTTGCTGCTACTGGACACCTGAATTTCTCCTACCGGGATCAATAAAGTATCTATCTATCTAAACAGTCAGATAAACAGGTAGACGTACAGTCAGACGTTGGCGGCAAAAGAGTTGAAGGGGGAGGAAAATTATCAGTAAAAAAACACCAACTAAACACCAAAATTAGTCTGTATTTGAATATAAGCCAGAGGTTTTCACGTTATGTCACACTTGACCAACAGCTGATGCTGCGATTACCCGATAGACGACTGGTCACTGGTTATATGTAGTGTTTTAAGGCACTGTTGACTGGTTATAGACCAAGCTAAAGGTAAATAAGATCAACCTTTATTTGTCCCTCACTGGAAAAATGTCACTGTCATAGTTGCGCACATTACAGCAGAGTAAAAGGAGAATTAAGGTTATGCACACATCAAACAAGATGTATTGTTTAAGATGATAGATAACTGTTAACTCTGAGGAGGCGAATGTTAAATATTAGCTTTCATGGCAAGACTCGTTTATCTATTTTGACAATAAATGAGCTACTAAACCTGGATGGAGTCATAATATTAAGTCCATAAACTCTGTTCTGACAGCAGACCAACTCCACCACAAAAGAATATATACATTGGCCTCACCGCTCATGGGCCACAGGGCTCAAAGAACTTGCCTCACACACATTATTTTGTTTATATAAATGTAGTATTCACGTGGATTAAATCAGTTACTTTTTAACACTAAGCTATTTCCTCAAGAGCAGGTATGCATTTGTGTATGTAATTCATCTGCAAATAAGTAAATACTGCAATCATGTGCAATACTGCAATTTCAGAATGTCCACTGAATGTCACTTTACCTACTTATTATCCTGCCCTATATGTGTATAACTTTACACAATATATGGATAGAGATATTAACGGCTTATTAACCGAGCGCGAGGTCTGTATGAAGAAATATCAGACCGCGGCCTTAATCAAAAAGGCCAAGGTCTGATATTTCTCTGTACAGACCGAGCAAGCGAGGTTAATAAATGTTTTATTATATGACTTTCGTCTGTGTCTTTACCAATGCTTTTGAGATATTTGTGAAGTATGTTCATGTCCGACTTGGTTTTGTGTGATACGCGCTGCGGACAGATTGTCATGGTAACGGTCCGAGGTGGGAAAATATCAGACCGCAAATCAACCAATCAGAGCGCGCATACGGTCCAAGTCATATAATAAATAATGATATTGAAGTATTTACAGCTAGTTAAGAAACAGCAGATACTTATATTGTATATTTTGTGTTCTCCCTATGTGCTCTTACTACTGTCCTGTATGTGCGCTGCCACATTGAAATTTCCCCACTGTGGGACGAATAAAGGATCTTTTATCTAATCTTATAAACTTTACATGTTGCCACTGAGGCCACGCAAAGCAGTGACAGACTGTTTTCAGACCATTTGTGCAGCCGAGATATAAAACATACCATGGAATAAAGGAAACAAACAGCAGATGCTTATTCTTGGGTTACCATGACGATCTAAATGAAGTAGTGTACAGACAGGAAGTGGGTACCGGATATGCTACAATGGGTTCAGGGTTAAAGGAGGCAGCATTGGTCCTTTTCCTGACACACCTGCTTCGTCCTATCTACCTCCTGGGCTATTGCGGTAGCTCACTTCATGCAGCCCTTCCTGTCTGTGTTCATTTGTGATATGGGAAACTTACAGGCCCAGAATGAGCTCTCATAATAAAAACATCGTCGCACAAAATGAAATGTTTACCCTCTCTCGTCATATATTATCTTCTCTTTTTTTTAGTTCTCCAGTACATGCAGTTTGTGGAGGACTACTCGGAGCCGCAGCCTTCTGTATTCTACCAAATGCCACAGAGTGAGAGCATCTACGAACAGCGTAATAAGCGCTTTCAGGAAGTCTACGGCTTTAATGACTCCTTCAGCAGCACAGACTCTGTCCACGAGCCAGTCCAACCTCCAGCACTACCACCAAAGCAACGACAACTGGTAAGAAAGAGGTTTGATCGTGACAAAACCCAATGAGTTTTGTCGTTTTGTTGCGTTTGGGTATAAACTGGGAGAAACTCTTATCGACCAGAAACTTCGAACTATTCCACCTTAACTCCTCATTTGAAACACTTTTACTCACTTTGCCCTAACCCTTTATAAAGTGCTTCCTCCATCTGCCTACATTTGTTTAAACTGGTGCACAAGAGGGCTCCTTGTGGATTATAATAACCTTTACAAGCTCCGCACAAGAGAGCCGTATCGTGTCAGCTTCAAGGTCTGTGTTAATTAAGACTTGGGGAATATTTGGCAAAAACTCTTCAGATCAGAACATTTAATTCTCAATGTTATTGTTGTGGAGTTTTGTAATATCCATCCATCCATTTTCTTCCCCTTAATCCATTTCTGGGTCGGGGGGGTGGCAGTCAGAGCTGCACCCAGTACACAGAGCACCAGCCCCTCACTGATCCTCCTGCAGGTGGTGAGTCCACAGGAGCTGAGATCTTTCAGTGGGAGCTTCAGGCAAAGTGGGGTTAAGTGTCTTGCCCAAGGACACAACGACAGCAGTCATCAGTGGGAGTCGTGAAGTAGGTCTTATGGTGGGCTTGAACCCACGACCTTCAGGCCCAAAGGCCAATGCTCTACCAACTGAGCTACTGTCGCCCTGAGGGAGTTTTGTAATAATCCTTCAAAAAGATGTATTAATTACAAATGTGAACTTACAGTACTTCCTGGACTATCAAGCAGACCAGACCAGATAAATAGAGTAAAATTGAAGTTGAATGTAAGCCGCAGGTTTAACTGGTCACAACATGATTCAAACACGCCGTAAATAAATCCAGTTGTTTTTTTTTTTTTTAAGATAACATTCAGACTGAAACTCAATGGAGTCAAAATCATAAACTCTGCTTTGACAATAGTATCATAATGTTCTATGTAATCCCCTGCACTTCTTCGCGTCTGCTCTCTGCTATTCACATAATCACACTGAAGCAGGAATGTTTGCTACGTCATCAGCTCTAGAGACTAAAGAGCTATGTCCAAACTAGTTCCAGCGACTCAGGAGGAACTCTTTAACACAACAAAAACAATTGCATAAGCAGCATTGTTATATAGGCTGTGGCCAAATAACTTTAAAATTTAGTGGCTTATTGTCCAGCAATGACTTTAATCCAGGTGTCTCTAACCTTTTACTATTGGAGAGCTGCTTTTATCAAACCCTAACATGGTAGAGGGCTTTATATTATTTATTAATTCAATCTTTATTTTCAGACGCAGAGAAAGGTCCATATAACACAAAAACAAATGTAGATAAACGACACACAAACATACAATACTTACAAAATTCAGTAAAGACACTTTCTCTAAGGCCTATAATAACAAAAGCTGATCATAGAGAGCACACCTACCACATGCTGTACAAAATATATCATTATACTATAGCATTCATGAAAAGATGTATAGTTAAATGGATATGGATATTCAGGATCATCTGTTAAATACTAAAATCCTTTGGGGAGCTACCTGATAGGGGGTGGTGAGCTACTGGTGGCTATTTTTAATGCAGCTCTTCCCTCCTTAGACACTAGGACTAAACCGTTTTTTTGGAATAAAATCTGAATTTCTGAGTTCCCAATCCACCCACATATGAACTAATCTTAACAAATCCCCGAGGAATCTGATCAATGGTTGGACCGATATTAAAGCGTAATCAACGGTCGCCCGTGTGTAATCAGATTTCCTGTGGTGGTGGGAAACGCACCAAACAGAACTGGCTCAAGCTGATAACGCCATCAGCAAAGCCTAATCTGGCCGCATGTTGTGGATTTGATGAAACCGTGACCTAGCAAAACGAGACAAGCTTTGCACAAACGCCCATATTCGCTCTGCAGAGTCGACACGCAGGGAAAAAAAACTTCAGAGAGAAACTCGTGAGGCCTTTATTCAGCAATGGCTATTCTTAGTGCTTGGATTTTGTTTCTTCAATTCTCTGTCCTGCTTTCGCTGCTCTTCTACTGAGTGAATCTGCTGTAATTCAGGATGTAGAGATCATTAGGGCTATCAATAATTATGATTATTCAGGTCACATGTGTCATCTTATATTAGATGGATAGTTCATTGATCCCAGTATCAGCAGAAACACAGCCATACATCAATCATTCTAAAAAAATAGCTAAGAATGGTGAAAAATACAACCGCACTTTAGGTCACAGCAGCAGAGATGGAGTAGCCCTAATTTAGCTGAAAAAAAAAAAACATTTAATTTATTTTTGTATAGCCTAAACCATAACGGCAGTCGTATCGGAGAAGTTCACAAAGTTGTCGATTCCCCAGCAACAGTGAATCCAGATATTTAAAAACGCACAAGAAATATCAAAAACATCAAAAATTCAATTCAATTAATAATTAAAAACCTTAGGGTCCATAAGGAGCGGGATGAGCAATGTCCATAAAACCTCCTTCAGACCCTGTTCTCAACCCATTTAATCCCAGCAATGGATTCTCATCAGAGTGAAATTGTGTTCTCTTTTACAGTAAAATATTAAATAGTATAATAGCAAAATAAATTATACCATTTTTGTTCAATGGTAATAATAAAAATGAAATGTGGGCTGGAAAGCACATCTATGAAAAATGAGATTCACAATGTTGTGCTCACATTCTTCGATTTGGCAACAGAATTAAAAATGTGGTGTGCGTCTAAAATTCAGAACTTTTTGTCCTTTATTTTGATGTTACCCAGACAACTTTATTAACAGTTTATCATGTATTGGGTGTAGCACGATACAGAAATCTCATGCACAACTCACACTACTACTACTACTAGCTTACTTTTTTTGTCAATAATTGCAAATATTAGTTAAATTGTGGCCTTTTTTCCTCACAATAATCGTAATTCTGAAATTTGAAATCGTCACATCCCTAGCTATGAGTTATTATTTCTAATCTAAGCACCTTTTCACCTTCCTCTCACTAATAATTAACCCTTTCTTTTCTACCTTGTGTCTCTTTCTTCCTGCCCTTGCTTTCTTTCTCAGGCGTCTCACTCCTCTTCCCCTTCTTCCTCCTCTTCCTCCTCTTTGTCTTGCCACCTCCAGCCGTCTATCGCGGCCATGGAGGACTCGGGCTCAGGTCTGGGCCTCAGCATGTCTGTGTCTAACTCATACCTGATTGGCCAGACCTCTCTGACCACTCCCACGGTGAGTCTAGTCGCACGGGCCGGTGTCGTTCAGGTCCATTCATCAGCGTGTGCAGTGTGTGTCTCTCATCATGTGTCCTTTGCTGTGTGTGTGAGTTCATTTAGCTTGCCTCAAACTCAAGCTGACGTGTTTTTTTGCTTTTTCGTGACTCATCGTTTTTTGTTTTTTACTTTACCTGGGGGAATTTTGATAGATAAGAAAGATATTGAAGCTGCAGTAGCTGGTTTTCACACAGAACGGTATCTCTTGAAATCTATCAAATGCGTTCCTATCTCAAACCCCTGAAGACAAAGTGAACTCTAACCTGCATGCGGTTATCACGGCTTTAGAAGGGATTTTTCAGACTGGAATCAGAAGAAGGGATCACCTCTCTTGAACTTTCAATCAATCCCATCAGCATCAAATAGTGACTCACATGGCTTTGGTTTTTAAGAGTATATTAAGGCAATGTGTGGCTGTCTATCTTTAGTCTTCTCTATTCTCTATTTTGAATATATTTTCTCTGTACGTATTCTTGGGTTTCATTAAACTGGCCAGTATCGGGCGAATCAGCAGAAGGGGAAATCAGTTTTGCTCCCATTGAAAACCATGTAAATCGTGTCTGTTTTGGAGTCAAAAGTCTCTCCTCCTGCGGTGTACGGTTGTTGTAACAGTCTTAATCGGGGACACTCAATTCTAAGGGAGTACTAAAAATATATTTCTCAAAAGAGTCTTGATTTCGGGCATTTTTGAAAAAAATAAATAAACAGAAGAAATGTCTGCGTTTCATTCTGGTGGCCTGCAGGGGGCGCTTATCTGGGAAAGCCTTGATCCACCTCGCACGCCTCATTCGAGTGATTTTTTCAAAGTGTCCTCCTTTATATGAGACCACAGTTGGAACACGGAAGAAACTCTTGTCTCTCTCTATTTGTGCGGTTGCTACAAGCGTACACCGCACAAAAAGATGGCATTTTGACAGCGCTTCTTCTTCTACTATATCTCCGTGTATAAACCCGGCAGACTGCACCGCCAGGATACGTCACGTCCTGTCCTACGTTTGTTATTCGTGCCACTGCCCTGACGTCATATGAAACCCAAGAATATGTATCCCAGCTCTTTTAGGCAATTAACATGACAGGCTTTTTTCTAATGGTGATATTTCTGAGTGAAGTTTGCAATGGTGATCCATAGTGTTGGCTCGGTGTAGGAGGCAGGGAGGGTGTCCCTGAGGATATCTGTGGAGGAATGCAGCTCCAGATGGACCTGATGGAAAACACATTTCTCTGTCTGCTTCATCCTCTCCTCTTCACATTCTGACTGTCGGAGCATTTGTGTTGCATCATCCAGTTTCCAAATCACTTGCTGCGTCGTCTGATTACAACATGAAATGAATGTACAGTACATCTCCTGAACACAAAATGGCACATGATTTAGTCTAAAAAAATATTAAAACTGAAATATCTGGCGTGCAAAAGTATTAGCCCCATTGAACTGTATATGGGGTTTTTTTTGCCGATACAACTTCAAACATTTTTGGATTTTTGTCTCTTGCAGCTTTGCACATCTAGAGACTGACAGCGTTTCTGATTCCTCTTTGCAAATCTCTGTCAGATTAGATCCAGGGTGTTTGTGAACAGCAGGTAAAGACTTCAGCAGCTTTACTTCCAATATTATCCTGTTATTGTCCCTGCTGAAGAAAAGCAGCCCCACAGCGTGATTCTGCCTCCACCAGGTTTGACCCGGGAGACGATGCACTGGGCCGTTTGCAATCAGTCCCATTTGACCCATTTCTTCCACGTGTTGATTGTGTCCCAAATTTAACTTTATTTGTTGTTCCATAAATGCCTCATGTACAGATTGCCCCGCTCAGCTGTGGCCTCTAGAGTCACCACAGGCCTCTTGTCTACATCTGTGTTCAGTACTGTCCTTGTTCGGTTTGTTTGTTTGGGCAGACGGCAATGTCTTGGTAGGTTTGCACTGCAGTTGTGCCACTCTTTCTATTCCCAGATGAATTTTAAAAGGTACTCTCTGTGTTAGATGTTCAAAGCTTTGGAAATCTTTGTATTGTCTAACTATGTTTTAAACTTCTCCCAAACTTCATCGTCTGACCTCTTGGACATTATGGGGCAGTTTAGTGACCGATATTCTGCTGAAATTACACTAAGATTAGTTTAAATGCAGGTGAACTTTACTTATTAATTAGGTCGACTTTGACCATTAATCTGGCAACTTCTAGACACTCAGGGCTGATTACTTTTGCACGCTACACTTTTTGTTTTTAAATGTTTTGTTTGATAATTATAAAATTGTGTATCAACTGGCAGTCACTTTGATCTTGCTCTTTGTGTTTGTGTATAATAACAATAAACACAAATTCAATTCAAACATAAAATCATTGCTTGGCTGAAGATGAAGTGAACCCATGCTTACTGAATTAATTGGGGAAAGTATTTTTGTATAGCACAATGTGTACAATAGGCTCAAAGTGCTTCACTAAACAAGATGGAAACACAATCATGAATAATCACAGTACATTATAAATATGCAATTCTTCAGTTCACTCTTATGTATGATCCTATACACATTACAGAAGTATTTGGTTCTTCTATACCAGAAGAACCAAATATATTTTTTTACAAATTTTTACTCAGAAGACAAGATGAACATTCCTAAACAAAATTAACAATCTTGAATCTTGAATCCTAAACAAAAATTTAAAAGAAAGCTCGAACAGTGGTTAAGACACACAGTGAATTGAACTGAATGTATTGTTTGAAATGTATTTTATCTGTAAAAACCCGCTGTGGATTAGTGTTAAACTATAAAACATACTGCCATGCATTTGGTTCGTCCAATGTTATTATGTCCATATTAAATTGATAAAATAGAAAATAATAAGAAATGGACAAGGATATGTTACAGTATTTCACCGATTGGAGAAGCAGGAGAATTCATTGCAAAGAGGAGAATTTAACACCAAGTAGTTTCAGCATAAAAAACCCATTTGATAAAGAAGAACCAAATACTTGTATATTTACTGAGAAGACGAGACAAAACCTTCCTAAACCAAATACACATCATGTTGTTGTGAGCACCTCGTTTCACCCACATGCGTCTGTCTCATTCCCGTCCTTTTTCTTTGGAATGTTAGCATTCCTCACTTCCTCTGGGTATGAGTTTTTTAGGGTGTCACTGAAGAGCAAAGATTTCCCCGTGTTGGGGAAATCTGCTTTGCGAAACAGAAAACTGAAGAAATACATTATGTGTCACTGCGGATTTGATTCACGGCATGATGTTATTATTCTCTTTTTACGGACGTTTATGTTTATGCCTGAAAACCTGGAGCCGGCTTTCTCGGTGAACTGTGCCTGCCGCTGCATGAATACATTTGTGTTGCAGTGTTTATCAGGGATCTGCGTATGAGCTGCTGGTATGTTGAAACAGAGCTGGTATGTGCGGCGTGTTGCTACAGGTAGTACCTCACTGCCCCTGCTGACTATCACCACACGCATTTACCGCCAAGTCGTCTCCAGGGTCAACTTTGCACTTTGTTGCTACATTGTCTTCCCTCCTTTTTTTTTTTCCCATCTCGTGCTTTCCCACCGCTGAAGCCTGTGTCTCGTCCAGTCAGTCGCAAACGCCCATGTCGCGATCATTCCCGAGTTTCATTTGTGTAAGATTGGTCACAAATGGTCTATGTATGCGAGTAGGTGCAGTGTGTGTGCTGTCCCTTCTCAAAGAGTACATTTCCTTTCTTTCAGCTCTGACACTTCTCACTGCTTTTGTTCCTGTATTTTGCTAATCGCAGAGCTTGGACCAGGGCGCCTTGACCAATGCCACCTGTCTGGAAGGCAGCGGGACTGGCTCAATGGGCTCTGTGGCTGTCTGTCTTCCCTCTGAGTCTTCTCTTACTGATTCTCTCCATACTTCTGCGGTGAGCACACAAATGAACAGGCAGACCTTGTTTAGAAGAAGAGACTGAAGGATGTAAATGAGTCTTCTATACACAACTGGCTGGAGAAATGTATAAGTGGTTGTTTTCTAGCGCTGTCCTGAGAGTTGATGCTCTGTGCCACTACTTGGATAATGTAGAAAGTTGTGATGTTTGCATATCGTGTGATGACTGGCCCACATAGTCCTCCATAAGACTCTCCTACAGTCTTCTGCACTGCATGTTGTTTTGCCACTAATGTTGAAATGATGCACTCTAGTACCCCCTGGTGGTCCTTCAGTTATGTGCGATACAATCCTTTTGCTAGCTACTTTCCTTGCCATAGTCCCACCCATAGAAAACATGATTCCCCTCTCCGCTCCTGACACACTCGGGCTGTGTTCCTCCTCTCTTCCTGTAGAGCGAGAGCGCCAACGACGAGGGTGGAGAGGGGGAGTACGTCAACTTGTACTCATCCAGCCAGGCCAATGGGGAGCGACTCCTCTCCCACAGAGTAAGTAGCAGAATGCCACCAGTGAAAGGTCATTTCCATTTGCACACAGAATCACTTCGGGACATGAATCAATAAGAATACGGATTTTGAGTTTGGAGGTCTGTGGTATTGATTCATATCTTGAACTGGTCGCTCTGAGATGGAATCTGAACAAATGTTGACCGCATGGGCTTTGCACTGGTTTGCCTGCAAGACGCTTTTGTGCTTAACTTGTGGATGTGCGTTCTCGCTGTCGGCTGCTTTTTCCTCCAGCTTTTGAAAATGTGCTTTAACACTGTTAACACTGCTCCACTCTAACATCTTATATCCTAGTGCTCCTAATGGACGGGAACACGGTGGCATTTCCACATAATATTCCTCCTAACAGTGTTTGTTTTGGTGATAGTGTGTATGTGGTGTGCTTTATGGGCTCTGTAATTACTAGTATTCGGAACAATTAACTCATTGGATGCGTGTTCATGGTTGTGTAATAGTGTTTGTGTATTTACCGTCTCACTTGGGTGTTCAGTCATCTGTCATGTGCGTCATAGTTGCAATGATTTCATGTCGTCATCTCTTAGTTGTTACATGTCAACCTAACAATAAAATGTATTAACAGTTGGTGATACATTAAACTATAGCCCTGACATTGTGCTGCAAACAATTATAACATGATTTCTTTCTTCTTAGGAAACTAATTCCACTGAGGATGTGCTTCAAGATTCAACGCCTCAAATTACATCAAGCAATAGCAAAGAAGCGATAGACAAAGCACGGTAAGAACACCTGCTGACCGTCGGATGGAGAGAGCATTAGTGATCATGTGACCTTCTGCCTCATCACAGGAGAACAAAGTCTGAAGATTCAGCCGAGAGCGATGAAGAAGACGTTGATGAGTTGTCCCTTATTGACCACAAAGAGATTATGAGCAGAATAACCCTAAAACAAGAGGTATTTTTCACTCGGTGTGTGTGTTACCATTGGGCAAGTTTATTTGGGCGGCATGGTGGCTGAGTGCAGGGCCTTTCTGAGTGGAGTTTGCATGTTCTCCCCGTGTCTGCGTAGGTTTCCTCCTGGTGCTTCGGTTTTCCCTACCACTAAAAACATGTACAATAAATTCTGGCATGCGCCTCCTGTACTGGCCCCGCCCCCATCTCTGTGTGGAGTGAGAGGTCAAAACAAGCCCACAATTGTAATGTGCTCTGGTCTGTGAAAGGCGCTATATAAATAGAGATTTCTTACTTATTTGTATAGCACAGCAGTTTATACATAAGGCAACTCATTGTGCTGAACTAAATAAGATCATAAATAATTTGCAAGAGTGAACATACAATCCTTCAGTTGTATGCATAGCTAATTAGAACTTGTTTTTGTTTTAAACACAGGTTATTCAATGATGATAAATACAGGGGAGCCGTTGGTCCATAGGGGGCAGTTAACAAATGTTCATAAATGTTCATTAATGTCCATAAATGTCCTGGATCATCACTGTCCTTGGACCATCCTGCATCTGCAAGGATTGACTCATAAACCCAGTGGGAAAAAGTGAAAAACCTCAAGGACATTAAGAGAAGGATCTGCTCCCACGGAAAGACAGGCTACAGTCTGTCCGAGAGACTATTTCAATGTTTTAGCTGTGTAAATGTGAAATAGTGCCTCTTTCCTCAGTCCCATTATGAGGCCAGTCCCTGTGCTCCTCAGAGTCCCAGCATGAGGCCAGTCCCTGTGCTCCTCAGAGTCCCAGCATGAGGCCAGTCCCTGTGCTCCTCAGAGTCCCAGCATGAGGCCAGTCCCTGTGCTCCTCAGAGTCCGAGTTGACACAGTCAGACCAGGGGAAGCCAGTGCAGAGACCTGAGCAAATTAAAACCACCTCTTTTACACCAGTGTAGATGCATATTTTCTAAGTTAACATTGAAACATCCTATAGTTATTGAACTGTTGATTTTATCCCACATTATAATTCATGTGTTTCTAATTTGTATTCCTGCTTTACCTTTAAAACCAGCTTGTGTTTTCCACCTACTGAATGTGACGTCTTGTCCATCGGTCTCATCGTGTTGTTTGGTGTTGTCTTTGCAGAACGATGACGGCCCCGATGTTCGAGCCGGATCGGGGGACATTTTATTAGTCCACGCAACGGAAACTGACAGAAAAGGTGCAGCACAGTACGAAGAGAAGGTCGAAGACATGATTGTCGAGTCGCAACTAAGCTATGTTGTTTTTGTTTTAACAGATCTGGTTCTCTACTGTGAAGCATTTCTGACGACTTACCGGACTTTCATCTCCCCAGAAGACCTGATCAAGAAGCTGCACTATAGATATCCTTTTTATGAATATACACAGTTATAGAGTTGATTCCATAGATGACGTTTGTTCATGTAACTGGGCAAAGTGGTTTCTCTTGGATGATCACAGAAGTCTTGAACCACTCAGGAGGACTTTGTGTTTTAAAATGCTATTAGGCTGTTTCTTTCGGGGACAATGCATTTGTGTCAGACTGGTTTAAATCTAATTGTGTGGAGTTCTTCCTTGTTATCCTTGACAACGCTGCACATACACAAGGTTTTGTCACAGTCCGGATATATTCAAGAAGAGAGTCAGCAAGAATACGTTCTTTGTGCTGGTCCGAGTGGTGGATGAGCTGTGGTGAGTTTTTCAACCCAGCGTTCTCTTACAGTATGTTCCATGATTCCCAGACTATAGGCTGCTACTTGTTTTCCATAAAGGTTTTTTTTAACTCCTGCAGTTTATGTGGTGATGCGGCCAATGTATGTTTTTTTTTATTTTGGGGTAGTGTATTCTGCAGAACCGGACAAAGCTCTATCAGCTGTTTATAATAATGATAATAGACCTTCATTTGTACTGCATGTTATCACAGTCTGCATAAAACAACACAAGTTGATAAAAAACTTCATTAAAATATGAAGAAATGCAGTAAAATAAAATAGATGGAGGCTGTTTTTTAAAATCACTTCTTAAAGGCTTTTATCAAGAGGATACCGATGGTGCTAGCATTATTTTGTTATGTTTATGTGAACAGTGCAGAGAGCCATCATGAGGAGATGCAGGGAAATTCAAAGGACTTGTTTTTATGTGATTACGGCTGTCGCCAGAGCTCCAATCACTATGGACTTATTATTTTTGACTCCAACGAGTTTTAGTAGCTACAGGACGCTTGTCGAGAGTCCCAACCAGGAAACTAACATGTATGTTCTTGTTTTCCTCCTCAAGATTATTGTTATTTATATTATATTATATGTTATTTTTTATCGTAACAGTGCGTTAAAACAACTCGTCATTCTAAAATAATGCATCCTTTTTTGATGCAGAGCGTTTTTGGACACTCAGACACTTCACACGTCAATATTCATTCTTTCCATGATAAACAGCTATTGTAGCCACAGCTGCCCTGGGGCACACTGACAGAAGCGAGGCAACCACCACCAGCCATTCACACACACACACACCATATATATTTACTTATATCAGGCAATCTTTTTAGTCAAGTCTTGTCTGTTTGGTGAAAATGCAGCGATTGTGTTGTGCTTCCCTCAGTCTGGTGGAGCTCACGGAGGATATCCTGAAGCAGCTGATGGACCTGGTGTTCAGGCTGGTGTGTAACGGGGAGCTGAGCCTCGCCCGCGTGCTCCGCAAAAACATCTTGGACAAAGTGGAGCAGAAGCGGCTGCTGCGCTACACCAACTCCCTGAAGCCGCTGTCTGCGCGCGGCGTCTCTGCCAGGTACAGTCTGCCCGCGTCACAAACACACACACTAAACCGGACTCTTGAGTTTGAATTTATGTGGATTTTCTGAGGTTTTAACTATTTTTTTGTTATTATTTTATTGAACTTTCTCTTTTGTGTCCTTTGTTTTATTTGTTGAATTTGAACCTGTTAAACATTGAGGTTTCATGGAAATTTAAGGTGCATTATCAATGAAATGTATTATTACAACAAACAATGAGGACCGTCTAACACCGCCGACCTGAATTCTCATCTGTGCAATAATTCTGTGCAATCATTTGAACTAATGTCAGAATGTGCAATATAGAACCACATGTGTCCACTGTCTCTTTACTGAGTCACTGTGTCCCAGACCCTCATGCTGCAACATGTGCAGATGTAAACATACAACGAGGTGACAGTAGCTCCGTTGGTGGAGCGTTTGCCTTTGAGCCAGAAGGTCCTGGGTTCGAGCCCAACTCAAGACTCCATCACCATCGACTCCCACTGACTACTGTCGTTGTGTCCTTGGCAAGACACAGTGGGGCGGCTGCGGCTGTAAAGTGCCAAACTGCTGTTGTGTACTTTGGCAAGACACTTTACCCCCATTGCCTAGAATGAGTCTGGTGTGTGTTTGTGGCTGTTGGTGGTGGTCGGAGGGGCCGATGGCACATACTGGTTGCCTCGCTTCTGTCAGTGTGCCCCAGGGCAGTAGTTTATCACCACCGTGTATGTGAAGCGTCTTCGAGTGTCCAAAAAAGCGTGATATAAAACCAGTACATTATTATTATTATTATTAACAATATATTGCTTGCACTAGAATAAACAGGATATACCGACTTGCTTCTTCATTATGCTAAAGCTGGCGATTTTATTCCTGCTTATTTATTTTGCTAAAGTTAGAAATGTTGAATTTTTCAGTGTCTTGTGCTGTGTGCTCCTCATTCCTACTGTTCTGTAACCCATGATGCAACACTGACATTTCCCCACTGTTGTGTTTGTTCAGACCTGGAACGCTCCACGACTTCCGCAGTCATGAGATTGCAGATCAGCTCACTCTTCTCGACGCGGAACTCTTCTATAAAATTGAGGTAATTATTTTCTATCTGTGTATTTTTTGTTTAGCAACGTGACTTTTAAAATAAGCGATAATGCGTGTTTCCAGATTCCTGAAGTTCTTCTTTGGGCGAAAGAGCAAAATGAAGAGAAGAGTCCAAACCTGACACAGTTTACAGAACATTTCAACAACATGAGTTACTGGTACTGTGTTTTTATAAAGATGAATTATTTCTTGAGTCCTTTTGAGTCAAGAAGTAAAAACAAAATTGTCTTTTTCGTAGGGTTCGCTCGTTAATAATCCAGCAGGAAAAACCCCAAGACCGGGAGAAGCTGCTTCTCAAGTTCATAAAAATAATGAAGGTCGGTCACTCATGGTCAAATCTGTCCTTTTTGAATTGTCATTAACTGGTATTTTATTATTTTATTTTGTTTTTATTGTTTACTTCATACATCATTTTACTTATGTTTTATACGTATACGCTGGGAAACCTGTATATATTAAATGTGTTTCTTACTGTATCTTTGTGCAGCACTTTGGAAACTTGTTTTATAAAATGAAATGGTACAGTAGTAGGAACACAGGGAGAACACAAAATATACAATATAAGTATCTGCTATGTTTCTTAGCTAGCTGTAAATCCTTAAATGTGTTTCTTAGCTAGCTGTAAATGCTTCAATTTTATTTTATCGATTTATCTCTATCTATATATAGTGTACAGTTTTATATTCATCTTTAATTCAGACTCAAATCAAATCAGTCCAATTATATACATATAGGGAGGAGGATATGTAGATGAAGAGACATTCAGTGGACATGCTGGAATTACAAATGTGTTATATAAATAAAGTAGATTGAATTGTCATTGTCTGATTTGTTTTCTATTATTATTATTATTCAGCACTTACGAAAACTGAATAATTTCAACTCGTACTTGGCCATACTGTCCGCGCTGGACTCGGCCCCCATCAGGAGACTGGAGTGGCAGAAGCAGACGTCTGAGGTCAGAGAACACTGAGACGCTGTGACTTTATTATGTTTTAAAATCATGATCTTTCAACACATCCTCGTCTCACAGGGACTGGAGGAGTATTGCACTTTGATTGACAGCTCCTCGTCCTTCAGAGCGTACAGAGCGGCGCTGGCGGAAGTGGAACCTCCGTGTATCCCCTATTTGTGAGTCTTTCTAACATGAACATAGATCTCATGTCTGTCCTCGTTCTACAGCCCGAGTCCTGGATCTACATTTTAGCCCGTCCACTGAGGTTTTTAGAGTTGTTCCTTGCTGATGCAGGAGGGTTCAAAGACGGTGGTGATGATCCAGGACACTCAACATAAAACAAGATTTATGGATTTATCAATAGTTATGGACGATGGTCATAAGAGCTGGGATTTTAATATATTCGAATATTTATTTTGACCAATAAATGCTTGTAATATCTCCAAGGCTCCAAGGGTATTTAAAAAAAAAAAAAGTTATAGCAGCGATTGTTTTGTCCACCAGAGGGCAGTGCACGCAAGATGGTGTCTATCACTGACTTATAAACAAGCGTGTAAATAACTGGGCCTGCAGTCGCCCTGTGGGTACGGATAAAAACACATTTCTGACCGGGCCTAAAAATGGTTAATTTATCTAAGCATGACTGTCTGTGATCAACATTTGCTGCTAATACACACAAAAATCATGCCAGTCTAATATTCGAATTTTAAAGGTATACAGGAGGATTTTTCCAAATAGCAGGAAAGAGCCGCCCTCTCCACTTTTTTAACAAAACTCTCCGGTCTTATTTGATGAGCCCGCATCAGCATTGACCCTTGGGAGGACCAATAGTCTTGATGATCCAACCAGAAGTAGAATATCTTCCTATATTCCTTTTAAGGGCTGTCTAAAAATTGGTTGAATGTCAGTTCAATGTTCCCAGTTTTAGTGCTCATCTGCCCCTTATGGACCAATGGATCTATGTGTTTTCTATCATTGCATTTCTTGTGTTTAAACTGTTTGATTCTCTGATCTGTGTTGGCCACGGTTTCAACGATTTTGTAAAGTCATCAGAGAAAACTACTGTTGTGATTTAGGGCGATACAAAAACAAATTGAATTTAATCTTTTAATTGTGTTTGCTGTGACATTAAAACACCTTTTCTGCCTCGTAGGGGTCTAATTCTACAGGACCTGACCTTTGTGCATTTGGGGAATCCAGATCTCATTGAGGGGAAAGTAAACTTCTCCAAACGCTGGCAGCAGTTTAACATTTTGGACAGCATGCGGCGGTTCCAGCAAGTGTACGTGTGAAAACAAGGTCCAACAACAATGGAGTTTATTACAAATGGTTAATAAAACATTTCTTCTCCTTCCAGGCATTATGAGCTGAAACGGAATGAAGATATTGTATGTTTCTTCAATGACTTCAGTGACCACCTGGCGGAGGAGGCACTATGGGAGCTGTCACTTAAAATAAAGCCCAGGAACATTGCTAGACGTAAAACAGAACGCGAGGAGAAGACCTAGGCCTGGCGAGCCTCGATCCTGAGGCTCTCCAAATGACCTCCGACTGTGCTCCATGACACTATCTCCACTTTTCTACAGAATGAAAGTTAAAAGGATGGATGCTCTGCTCTTGGCTGTGGGAGACTCATGTTGAGGAATAAAAACAGTAATGTGTTTACAAAGAGCTCCACTGCTGCGATGCTATTGGGATTACTACGGCTCTTGTACTTGACCGTGAAGAACGCCTGGGACTGAGGAATACGAGTCACAAAGTGGACGATGGTGAAATAACCAACGTCTGCCTCCTGGAGTCTGTTTTAGAGTGGAGTGAGTGTGAGTGAGTTTGAGGTGAATGGTCCATTACGTTTCTCTTTCCCCAACATTATATTATGTGCCATTTAATGGTCATCTTCTGAAGCCTGACCCCAAACAGCCTCAAGCACGACTCGGACTGAACTGTCGCAGGCCTGGGAATCTTGAAGCTAGAAAGGAACTGAACTTGAAGAAAGGATGACCTTTAAAGACTGGAACTGATGAGTTTGTTTTGAAACATTTTGTCAGAAATCAAGTATGGTTATAATATGTATTATATACAGTTCTCCTTTTGTTTATAAAAGGATGTTTGTTTATGCTAATGAGAAGAGCTTGGCTTCTCACGTGCCATACATATGTGCACTAAAAAAGCTAAAGAAATATTGATTACAAAAGATGCTGTGATCTATGTACATCAAACTGAATCATGTGTGCAGTGTTAAAATAGAACCATCAGGCGCAGGTTTGTGTGTCTGTGAGAGTGGAATTATGACTGAAGTCCTCCGAGACGTGTGCTTGTCATTCCAAAACGTTCTATAGTAAATCATTTCAGCTCATTTTTAATATTGGTCCAAACCACACGTTACACCCTAATCAATAAAACAAATGTTTCTACTTGTGTTTCGATGCTAGTTCTTGCACAAAGAGTACGATTATCAAAGGAGAAAAAGCCACACATGTAAGAGAACTATACGTGTATTTATTATTTAAATATAATACATATATAAACATAAAATCCAGTAACAATTTCAGATCAAACAGTAGTAATGGAAGACCAATAAAATAAATATTCTCGACATAATATAACTTTAAAATGCACACCTGGGTGAAACTGTTAAGTGGAGAGGTTGTGGGAAAACAAACCACACCTCTTCAGTAGTCACATTGGCTTCAACACCGAGGCGGGGGCTAAAACATCTGCAGAACTTTTGAAGGAATTATATTTTCTGTTTACTCTCGAGTCTTGGCTCTGCAGTGACAATGCTCGTGTCCTCGTGCCATGTTATTTTTACGATATATTTATAGGAAACAAGCTTTATAAATTATAGCTTCTGTATCAGTGCGGTTAAGTTTAAGTGAACCGTTTCTCAGTGCGGCCTACTGCTCGGTTCCAACAGAATCCTCTTTCCTGGAGCAGTTCCGTTCTGTAAGTTGCCCTGCTCCGAAACGCCCCTTTTAAATCCTCTGCCGCCGATCGATGTACGTTGCCATTTGCAAATATCACCATTCAAAATATCTTGAATGTGCTGGACAATCAGGTTAATTGCCACTATGAAGAAATGGAGGAGAGGGAGTGGGGGTTACATTGAATCAAGGCAACAAATTGGAATGGAGAAAAGAAATGACCTACCCATATTATCAACGCCTCTTGGGATGATGACGTCTGCATATTTTTTAGTCTGGTAGAAAAAATAGAGGGAAAATATGTGACTCGAGAGATTGTGCGTACTTGTGCCTGTAAAGCTTGACCTTTAGGACAGAAAATCACTTGCTGTTTGATAATAGATCAAAAATGGGGTTAATTCATACCGGGAGACAGAACTCCTCAAATGCAGGCTTGACAAATGTTGTGTACTGAGTGAGAATCTGATCCAGGTCTCTGCCACGGTTTACATCTCGAAGAACTAAAGACGATAATAAAAGAAGCATTGTACTTGAGTAAAAATAAAATAAGATTCCTTTATTTGTTCCACAGTGGGGAAATGTCAGTGTCATCGTTGCGCACATTACAGCAGAGAAAGGAGATAAGAGCACTCAGATTGCACACATCAAGAAGAGTCTTATTTAAGATAATAGACAATAGAATTAAAATAAGCTATAATTGCACTTGGTTCAGAAGTATTTACAGATGTGTTTTTTGTACTTTAGCAGCAGAGAATATGAATGGATATGTTATAACGCAGTAATAACCGGTAAAGGTAAAAACAGTTGCGCTAATGTAACGTGTGTTTGGATGAGCCGTACCTCTGCGGGACAATCTGACGTCTGAATCGGTGTCGACAAAGAGCTTCATATGAAACATTTCTCTCACTTTCAGCGGATAAAAAACAAGAATCCCTTCGAATAAGACGACATCTGCCGGGTAAAAGGTTATGCTCTCTGGAAGTCTGGAAGCATTCAGAAACAAAACATGCATTTCAAGAGGCGCTGCACTGAGGGAGAAGCAAATCGTGTTATGGCTCATACCTGGAGTGAGTAACAAAGTCATATGTTGGGACTTCAACGACTCTGCCCTCGACAATGTCTTTCAGCGTTTGGTGCATCAGTTCTGTGTCAAATGCCTCTGTAATGAATAACACATTTTAATTCATGTATTACAACTGGATAAGAAATTAATAACAATAATTCAGTGTATTTCATAATAATTACATGACATTTTGTAAAGCCCTTAACCATAACAGTCGGTGTAAGGAAGACTTGCCAACAACAGATGAGACATGCAAACAGTTTGAAAACAGGAAATGCAATGATAATAAACCCAAAGGAGCCATTGGTCCAGAGGGAGCGGGATGACAAATGACCATAAATGTCCTTATATGTCCAGGATTATATCACTGTCTTACTATAGACCCGCCTGTATCGGCAAGGAACAAAAAAACAGCGGGAAAATCCTGGATCTATAAAGGGGAGTCGATGGCTCACCTGGATGGTCGAAGTTGTACTGTCCTCTAAGGGCCTTGGCTTTTTGCTCAGGTGTGAGTATTTTATAGAAGCTGTCCTGGCTTATGATGGCAACCTTTCTTTGGTGATGATCCACTTCATTCTGTCCCAAAAGCTCCATAATTTTGGCACATACTGTTGACTAAGAACACACATCATTTAGTAACGTACTGGTTAAAGCGCAGTATGGGCCTTGATTAAGAATGATATATTTGTTACATGCTTATAACCCGTTATTATAGATCCATGCGTGTAACCTGCTCTATAGCTACATGTCTCGTGCACAGCGTTATGCATGTGACACATAAAACTAAGCTAGGATACATTCATGAGGGTCTGGTTTCACACATAAGGTAACAGCCCGTGTGTCTATAACAATGGAAAAGCTGTATTACTAATAAGCTTTCTTTACATTACAATCCTGTAAAATGGGCGTGGCGCATTTGACAGATAGTGAGAAAACCCGTAAGTGTAAGCTAATGCTAACCTAAAGCTAACCCTACAGCTGATAAGTGCGAGGGTCACGTTAATGCCCATTTCCTGCACATTTTTGCCTTAATTATGACCATACCTTTCCGCTGGCAGTTCCACCGCTAACTCCAATGAGGAATGGATGATGCCGTGGCTTTTCCAACCCGACTAAAGTTTCCAAAGCTGCCATATCAGTAATTAACTCTTCAAAGCTAAATGCTAGTTTCGTAGCATAAACAAACGTGTGATCTCGCGAGACTTTGGCTTGGGTAAAAATGTATGTACAGAACTACAAATTAAATACCACTTTATTACAAACGTGAATCCTCACAAGTTTATGTTTTTGTTGTGTCACAGTTTTCCTTTTGTAAATCATGTTGGCATTTATCTTCCAGAGATTTGTCCATTAGAATTTCCAACGCTGTACTGCCTTCCACCCTCTTCACTGTTTCTCCCTTTGCAGCAAGAATTTCTTCAATATTCCTAAAAGAGATGAAATAAAATCGGGCATTGTTGGGTTATTAGATCAGTCTTACTGAAGCCTGATGTGCTTCATACATCATACATCATGCATTCTGCAAAGAGATGTGACACGCATTGACACTCAGCTACATTATGGTTCTCCCTAATGTTTCCCCTTTTTCCACAGAACAGGGGATGCTTGAGACATTAATCCATTTGACTGGCTATTAAATTGATTTGACTAATAGTCATAATACAACAAATTATACAAAATATAACAGTAATTAAGATTCAGATGCCACTATTAACACTGGTCCACACAATACATGATTTACATTGATAACAGTTTACAGTAAAGAGATATCAGAAAATACAAGTATAAAGAAATATTAAAAGAAGCTAAAGTTTCACTTCGCTGATGTTCAAAACGTTTTGTTTTTTATATTAATGACATCTATAGCCAAATAATTTCACATCAGCATGGCCCTATACAAAGCAGTCCTGTTCTGCCTGTTGATTCTGGCTCTTGACAGTGTTCTTTCACCCTTGGGGTTAAATGGAAATGTCTATTTAGGCTGAACAGGATGAACGATAGTAGTAGTTATGGCACCTCAACATTGCTCTATTTTAAATGATGAATGAAGAAACTAAAGATTGAGTTATTGTCCTTATTATGTTTGGTGCCGTAGTTCAAACTCGTATTTGGTTCATCTTTAAATAGACAGTTCAGAGTGGTTCTCAAAATAGGGTCTTGGGACACTGTGGGGGCCATGTGTTGGGGGCATCCGCCAAAATAATTTAAACATTATTATAATAGGTTATTACTTGAATACTTGTCTTGTCTTGGACAGCTCCTAAAAACTGTAGAGTCGGAACTTTCCCAACTAAAAGAATGGTTTGATGATGATAATAAGCTATCAATACATTTGAATAAAACTAAGTATATGATTTTTGGAAATAAGAAAATCAACACTCAATGTCACATAAAAATTGGCAATAGGGAAATGGAAAGAGTACACACAACAAAGTTTTTAGGAATTCATATCGATGAGAAAATTAATTGGAAGCTACACATAAATGTTATGAAAACAAAGTTGTCAAAAATTATAGCAATGTTGCACAAAGTAAAATACATTTAGTAAAATGTAAGTAAAATACACTTAAAATGCACTCTTTCATACTTCCATATCTCAATTATTGTGTCGAAATATGGGGAAACAATTTCAAATCCAACGTCCAATCAGTTGTTTTGCTCCAAAAGAAGGCTGTCAGAATAGTTAATTATGCAGATTTTTATGCTCCTACAAACGCCCTCTTCATCAAATTAAAAACATAAAAATTTCATGACCTTGTTGACCTAAACACTGCGATTTTCATGTACAAAGCCCATAACCACCTGCTCCCTCAGCGCATACAGGAGAGGTTCAAACCTAGAGAGAGTCCTTATGAATTAAGAGGTGTGTATGTCTTTAAGAAACCAAATGTGAGAACCAGTTTAAAAAGTAGATGCATCTCTGTCAGGGGGGTTCATCTTTGGAATGGCCTGGATGAGCAACTCAAATGTTCCACCTCAATTCACACATTTAAAACCATGTAATGCGCTTTAAGGCTATTGTTGAAGAAAAGTATAAATCACTAGAATAATAATAATAATAATAACAATGATGATGGTGGTAGTAATGGTGGTGATAATGATACTAATGGTAATGATGATAAATATAATAACACATATATTCTACATGTAAAATATTATCAATATTAAAAAAAAAAATATATATATATATATATATATATACATATAAATTAATAATAATAATAATAAACATATCTGTGTATATTGTGTATATGTATAGATATGTTATGTGTGCACTGCATATGTGAATGTATGTATGCAGGTACAGGTATAGGTGTATGTTTGTATGTGTGTATGTATATATATATATGTATATGTATGAATGTGTGTATGTGCATGTAAATGCATGTATAGATATATATATATTATATACATAAAAGGAAGAAAATTTAAATAAATAAATAATAATAAAAAAAATAAAACACATTATATATATATATATTTATATATATATATATATATATATATATATATATATTATATATATATATTAGTCATATTATGTGTTTATGTATATAACCAAGGAATATTTCTTTGAATTAGTACAAACTATTTATTTTCTTACAATGAAAATTGTATTTGGAAATACTGTAAGCTCTGTGGACCGAGGTGAAGTTAGTCGAACGTTTGATATTCGCCTGATATTTGAACAAAATCCCCCTGGATTCAAAGTCTGTCCATATTTTCAGTTGAGTGAAGAGTGTAGTATTAAATACTGTTCACAATGTTGCCACCTATCAAAAAAAAAACTGACTTAGGCTGCAGCTCACGACGGTGTAGTAGCTCCTAATAACTGATAGCTAGCTACTACAGCCAAACCTTTGGGGAAAATATTGTTTTCCCCTTCACAGTAGGAATAATGAAATAGGAAAAATTCACTAAAAATCAACAAAGATGTTTTTTCCAGTTTTGATGGGTGTAGTAGCTCCATTTGAGCAATAGCTAGCTACTACAGGCAAGAATTTGAGAAAAAAATAGTTGTCCCCTTCACAGTAACAAAAATGAAATTGGAAAAATTCACAAAAAATCAAAAAAGACAGTTTTCCCAGTTTTGATGGGTGTAGTAGCTCCTAATAACTGATAGCTAGCTACTACAGCCAAACCTTTGGGAAAAATATTGTTTTCCCCTTCACAGTAGGAAAAATGAAATAGGAAAAATTCACAAAAAATCAACAAAGATGTTTTTTCCAGTTTTGATGGGTGTAGTAGCTCCATTTGAGCAATAGCTAGCTACTACAGCCAAACTTTTGGGAAAAATATTGTTTTTCCCTTCACAGTAACGAAAAGGAAATTGAAAAAAATCACTAAAAATCAACAAAGACAGTTTTTCCAGTTTTGATGGGTGTAGTAGCTCCCAATAAGTGATAGCTAGCTACTACAGCCAAACCTTTGGGAAAAATATTGTTTTCCCCTTCACAGTAGGAATAATGAAATTGGAAAAATTCACTAAAAATCAACAAAGATGTTTTTTCCAGTTTTGATGGGTGTAGTAGCTCCATTTGAGCAATAGCTAGCTACTACAGGCAAGAATTCAGGAAAAATATTGTTTTCCCACTAGTAGAAACTACACTACTACACCCATCAAATGTGGGAAAAATATCTTTGTTGATTTGTAGTGAATTTTTCCAATTTCATTTTTGTTGCTGTGAAGGGGAAAACAATATTTTTCCCAAATTCTTGCCTGTAGTAGCTAGCTATTGCTCAAATGGAGCTACTACACCCATCAAAACTGGGAAAATTATCTTTGTTGATTTTTAGTTAATTTTTCCAATTTCATTATTCCTACTGTGAAGGGGAAAACAATATTTTTCCCAAAAATGTGGCTGTAGTAGCTAGCTATTGTTCAAATGGAGCTACTACGCCCATCAAAACTGGGAAAAATATCTGTGTTGATTTTTTGTGAATTTTTCCAATTTAATTTATGCTACTGTGAAGGGGAAAATCAAAATTTTCCCAAATTGTTGCCTGTAGTAGCTAGCTATCATTAAATGGGAGCTACTACACCCATCAATTCTGGGAAAAATATCTTTGTTGATTTTTAGTCTTTATTAGTCGTTTTGACCTCTTGCAATTTGCAGACGGCCCCTTGCTAATATCAGGCGAATATCAAACGTTCGGCCAACTTCACCTCGGTGCTCTGTGGATCCGCTACATTGTATATAAGTAAGAAATGTAATTTTGTTATTTGTTAATAGGGTTAGGCGAAATAAGTGTTAAACTTCAGCCTAACCCTTTCGGTCAGTATATAATTTATAATTTGTGAATGTCAAATGTTTTCTTATTTTCTGCTGATGGCCGAAGAATAAACAAATATATATACAATAAAAAAATACTGACATTTCTTATGTTATACAAAGTTGGCATTACATGGTTTTATAGTTTAATGGTAGTGGAAGATGGATTTGTGGTTTATAGCCAAAGCCTTCCATAGAAAGAACCATGAGGTTCAGGACTGAGTCAGGCGGTTTTCATCAGCAAACATATATCATGATGCTTTATAACTATGTTACAAACCTTTTCCCCTCAAGATCAGAAAACCATCCAAGATTATCAGCAATTATGTGATGATTTTTGCATCCTGGACATGTTACAATAACTACTCCTTGATGGTACGCCAACTTTGATATCTTCTCAGTGGATCTGGCCGAGCACACCTGGAACCCAGCAATACAATACATCGGTTTGTATAATACATTAATTTCACTAGATCTTGTGATACAGGTGCAGGTACCTTGCATGTGTAAACAAGGTGATAATGTGTTGTTGTGATTTTCCCAACAGCATTACTACCTTCGTTTGAACACGTTGAAAAGGTCTTGAAACCTAATCCCAGACCAAATCTGTCATTTCTCACAAAAATATTGCGAATACTCTCCGGTTGTGTGGAACCATGCTGATCCGTGCCCGACACAGAGGTGCAACTGTATGACGGCCTGTGGCGTGTTGACCCAGAGCGGTGACACTTGAATAAACTAATGACTTTGTGCCTTTCCCGCAATCCTAAAAAGGCAGCACGAAACATTGTAAAAGTTTGACGAAGTGGGAAGCTCAAGCAGTAAACATTTCTGTTTTTTTTTTTTTTTTTTTTTGCAATAGCGAGTCGCTGACTTATGACGTCACAACAGCTTTCACTCTTATTTTTTTCCTACCCACCTATTTTCAGGCGGTCTGTTGCGAGTGTTTGTGTGCTGGTAAATGTTTAATTTTGAAAAATTAAAAACGTCATTATAAATATAATTATTTTGAAGTTGTAGAAACCGCTGATTTGATTAAGGTTTGGACAATGGGAAAGTTATGCTGGTCGCCTAGTCAGAATTGCGTTCGTTAAAAAAAAAAAGTGAAATGACGCAGAAAAATAATATTATTGCTTTACGATATATGTTTTTATCCCTCTGAAATGCCAGCACTTAGATGTATTCCTAAATTATTATATCACATCAAAAAGCCATAGTTTCATAGATTTCGCCGAAACGCTAGGTGTCTCCAAAGCTCACATTCAGCAGCTGCCAAACAGAAAGGCGCACGGGGCCTGGGGTTCGGACGAAACAAATAGAATAGAAAATAAAACAACAGCTAAATACGTGATAGAAATGTGTGACCCGACCGTGGGAAGGATACGAGACATAAACTCCAACAGAACTGGTAGGTTTGCACTGTGTTCTTTACAAATGCGAGGCCGATTCTGCCCAGAAACGCGTTTTATTTGACTGGAATTCCTTAGAAGAATGTGTCGGGAGAAAATGAAGTTTCCCTGAAAAGGTCGCTCCAGGGCCCAGACACCTGAACCGTACACGCTCATCTACAGACCTATGCTTCGGGAGCTCCGTTGTAATAATATGTTTTATGACGGTGTTTGGGGCAGGGATTTTGTGCTGTGGTTGTGATTTTAGGAATTGATGACACATCTGTTAAAATGTCATGGATTAAGTGAACAAAGTTTGAGCTTATCTCTGCTCTATATTCTCCTTATAAACCACTGGTTCAGAACAAAGCCTGTTAGAATTATCCTGATAGAGTTTGCAAGACAAACTTTAATTGCTATAATCTATCTAAAGTCCAAAGAACACCAGACAGCAGTTAATATATTTAACATTTTCACTGTAGAAGCTAGGTGATTAGTATTACAGATTTTTTTTTAAATGAGATTTATTACCCACAGATGCATAGAAGCTGTTTATTCATTTGTAGTTTGGAAATAAATCTTGTAATCGCTGATCATGGCAATAATCTAATGATTAGGGGAGACTGGGGTTGGTTGGTTGGTTGGTTTTCACAATTTTTACATTGATCTGAATTTATCAAAAAATATATGCGTCAGTGCAAGAAATAAATCTTAAGTCTAATGTCACTTTTTGTCACAAAAAGTGACATTAGACTTTGTGTTCATTTATCTCTAAAACAATGTCACATTTAAACAAATGTATTGAAGAAGATGACAAAGTCTGGGATCGCGTCTTTAATTCAGACAGAAGACATGTTTTATTGTCGATGGTAGAGACAGCACGAACACAGATACAACAGAATGCAAGTGTATTATACAGAGCGGAGGCATGGAGACCTCCAATCAGCAGCTTCCACGGTGCCATGTAGCTTGGCCTTCAGATAGACACAACAAGGGAAAAGTACTGGCTTCTGCACATTGATAGAATGATGAGTTTAACTTTAACAAAAGTTGCTTAAAAGTGTTGAAATCTCACAGTATCAACAAAAAATTAACTGTGCCTCATGGTTACTGAGATTCAGGTTGTGAAACCAACAACAACCAACCCTTGACAACCAACTCCCCGACTTTCATACTGTTGTGTTATTCATGTGCCATAGAAACTGTCATGTCTAATGTGTATTGTTTCATGTACTGTCACACACACTGTGTCACACATGTAATAGTTCAGAAACTCCTGAACACACGAACATGGACATTACATATTTAAAAGCTGCAGAAAATAAGGAAACCTGTCTGTATTCTTGGAACTTTTTAAACATTTACTGAAATTTTTATTTCGAGTTCAATTTATAACTTAGATTTACAACATAGATTTATTTTAAATAACTAAATATCAACTCGAAAAAGGAGTGAGAATAAGTATCTTATATACTCCCACCACTATAGGTCTCAGTTGTTTTTTGCTTGACAAATTGACCAATATACTTCACCTAAACCTGTGCTAGAGGATACAAAAAATAATAATTACATTTATAATAAAACTTATTTTGCAACTATTGTTACATTCAAGATATCTTGACTGTTCTTGGGTTTCCTTGTCCAAGGAAATGGTGGTGTAACAGCTGACCTTTTACTTTAAACACAAATGACATCACAAATAAAAGTAGAAATATCTTACTGTTTTTTTTTTCTTTTCAGTTAAAACATCATGATACCCATCACAGAACTCCGGTATTTTGCTGACACCCAGCCAGCCTACCGCATCCTGAAGCCATGGTGGGATGTTTTCACAGACTACATCTCGGTGGTCATGTTGATGATTGCAGTGTTCGGGGGCACACTGCAGGTCACTCAGGACAAGATGATTTGCCTGCCTTGCAAGTGGGTGAGAAACGCAACCTGTGAAACCAGGCCCGTGCCAAACGTCACCATTCCCTTTGCGCCGGAGCCTAAGGGCATCCAGTACGACCTCGACCGCCATCAGTATAACTATGTTGACGCTGTTTGCTATGAGAACAAACTGCACTGGTTTGCCAAATACTTCCCTTATCTGGTGCTGCTTCACACTCTCATCTTTCTTGCTTCTAGTAATTTCTGGTTCAAATTCCCTCGCACAAGTTCAAAACTGGAGCATTTTGTTTCCATACTTCTCAAGTGCTTTGACTCGCCGTGGACAACGAGAGCTTTGTCTGAAACTGTGGTGGAGGAGAGTGACCCAAAGCCTCAGGGAAAAATTAACGGCTCTCTGGATAAAAAGGCATCTAGTATTAGCGAAGATGTGGAGGCAAGTGTGCCCATGCTTCAGCGAACCAAGTCCAGATTTGAACAAGGGATCGTAGACCGTTCGGACACTGGGGTTTTAGACAAGAAAGAGGGCGAGCAGGCGAAGGCACTTTTTGAGAAAGTGAAGAAGTTTAGGATTCACGTTGAAGAAGGCGATATAGTCTACTCTCTTTACATACGGCAGACTATCATCAAAGTCATCAAGTTCATTCTCATCATCTCCTACACTGCTTACTACGTCCAGAACATAAAGTTTAACGTCATCTGCAACGTAAAGGCCATGGAGAAGCTCACCGGGTATAGCATGTTTTACTGTGCCCACCCACTGGCGACTCTCTTTAAGATCTTGGCGTGTTTTTACATCAGTTTGGTCGGTGTTTATGGTTTGATCTGCATGTACACGCTTTGCTGGATGCTCAGTCGATCCCTAAAACGATACTCCTTCGAATCCATCCGTGAAGAAAGCAGTTACAGCGACATACCCGACGTCAAGAACGATTTCGCGTTCATGTTACATATGATAGATCAGTACGACCCGTTGTACTCCAAGCGTTTTGCCGTTTTCCTTTCTGAGGTGAGCGAGAACAAGCTGAGACAACTCAACCTGAACAACGAGTGGACTCTGGAGAAGCTCAGACAGCGCATCACCAAGAATTCCCAAGATAAGCTGGAGCTACACCTCTTCATGCTCAGTGGTATTCCGGACACAGTCTTTGACCTGGTGGAGCTCGAGGTGCTCAAACTGGAGCTAATACCAGACGTTACTATTCCTCCAATCATCGCGCAGCTTTCCAACTTGAGAGAGATGTGGCTGTATCACACTCCGGCTAAAATCGAGGCCCCTGCTCTGGCTTTTCTGAGAGAGAACCTCAAGTCTCTTCACATAAAGTTCACGGATATAAAAGAAATCCCATTATGGATCTACAGCTTAAAGAATCTCAGTGAGCTGCACCTTACCGGCAATCTTAGCGCTGATAACAACCGCTTTATTGTCATTGATGGTCTGCGCGAGCTTAAGTGTCTTAAAGTTCTGCGTCTGAAGAGTAATCTGACTAAACTTCCTCAGGTTGTGACCGATGTCGGCGTCCATCTCCAGAAGCTCTCGATCAACAACGAAGGAACCAAGCTCATGGTTCTCAACAGTCTGAAGAAAATGGTCAACCTCTCAGAGCTCGAACTGGTCCGATGCGACCTCGAACGCATCCCTCACTCCATTTTTAGTTTGCACAACCTGCAGGAGATCGATCTGAAGGACAACAATCTGAAGACCATCGAGGAGATCATCAGCTTTCAGCACTTGCACCAGCTCGTGTGCCTCAAGCTGTGGTACAACCAGATCGCGTACATCCCCATTCAGATCGGCACGCTCACCAACCTGGAGAAGCTCTATCTCAACAGGAACAAGATCGAGAAAATCCCTAATCAGCTTTTTTACTGTCGCAAGCTTCGGTTCCTCGACCTGAGTCACAACAACCTGACGATTATCCCAGCAGACGTCGGCTTCCTCCAAAACATTCAATACTTGGCCGTCACTGCAAACAGGGTGAGTATTTCAAACATTGTATACGAAACTACTAGAACTCCCTAGAGCCGTCATTTTGACAACTCCCATTCAGACCAATGAAATTCAGAGAAATTGCAGCAACAAACTATAGTTTTCTTCCAAATTTATAAAAAATTTAAAGGTTTTTCACCTTTACCTACCTTTTAAATAGAGCTAAAACTGGTGACTAAAACTTGAAATTCAGCAAAAACATTTTGTCCTTGAGTTTCAGTCATTTATTTGGGTATGTGACTGTATAAGAAGCTGATGCATCTGTGGATAGTTTTTTACATTTACTTAACTTTGAAAAAGAAAAAAACTCATACGCTGTGCTTGCTTGTACGTTTTTCTACTTTTATTTATTTTGTTAACGTTAAGGTACAGTATATTGAGAATGGATTATGGAAAGGATTATTTTAATGGTTGGACTGTGTTACTTTTTCTTCAACCGTTCTGTTCTGTTCAGATCGAGACGTTGCCTCCAGAGTTATTCCAGTGCAAGAAGCTGCGCACCCTGAACCTGGGGAACAACTGCTTGCTGACTCTGCCGTCGAGGTTTGGGGAGCTCACCGGGCTCACGCAGCTGGAGCTCAGGGGGAACCGGCTGGAGTGCCTCCCGGTGGAGCTGGGAGAGTGTCGCCTGCTGAAGAAGAGTGGCCTGGTGGTGGAGGAGGATCTCTTCAACACTCTGCCATCAGAAGTGAAAGAACAGCTTTGGAGAGCCGACAAGGAGCAAGTTTGAGACAAAAACTTTGTTCGGAAAAAATACAGTCCAAAGCTTTTTACTAATGGGAGGGTTTAAAGAAGAAAAACAAGCAAGATGTATAGTTGTTTTTCTATGGCTATGGATGCACAAACAGGTGCACTGAAGTCACTGTGTGTGCCTATAAGCTTTATTTGTTCTGCCTCTGGGACCACTTTCACACTTGTTGGTCTGGTTCACTTTAACTGGAACAACTCTGGTTCACTCTGTGGTAGCCTGGTCTTAGCCACCCGTAAACTCCGGTCAATGATTGTATTCCCTACATGTGCGTCTGCGTCTGGTCCTAGTGGCTGCGGTTACCTCAGTTGAATCCCCTTCGACTATTGAGGGAACGGGGGAGACGGGTGTTGTAGGTGACGTCAAGTGTTTGTGCCGAATTTGCTGGTTGTAGTTTGGGAATGGCGGCAAATACGGTAGTAAAGTAATCTGTTCTGGTTCGGCTCCAAATATCTAGAAATTTACGAGGAATGTTTAGCATATTTCATTGCTGCAAAGATGTTGTGGCTCTACTCCCCACAGGCTCCGTTAATGACAAAGGAGATGGCTAAAGCTAGGCTAAATGCTAGATGCCTTCCTCCCTCGGGCACTAAAACTCAGATCCAATCGTTTCAATCTGCAAAAGGTGTTAACCCCTCCCACCTGTTAACGGAGCTCAAAGGAGCACATCCAGACCAACGTACGAAATGAAATTAATACGATGGTATGGTAGCCTAATAGTCCAGAAAGTACAGTTCTCGTTCGGTGGTTTTCCGTCTGCAAATAAAGTGAACTAGAATTGGTTGAGTTAAAGTGAACCAAACCAATACATGTGTGTGTGCCCTAAATCTAATTATAAATCACGGCTGATCTCTGACCTTGCCCCACGCTCTAGATATTCACTTTGTAGAATTCTGAGTATAGCAAAAAAGTATGTTTCTGATGCTAAACCAAGATTCATAGACAAACAAGTCTCAAGATCTGAAAATGTTCTTGTCGAAATGGTATTTTAGCAATATTTTTTTACAATGTTAATTATCCTAAGACCGCCGTCCTTTTCTTTCTCTCTCTTTTTTCTGTCTTCAAGCTGAATCCACAGATAATATTTGCCTTAATCAAAAACGTTAATTGAGCTGTTTTAATGTACATTTACTGTTTAAACACTTAATTATTTCAATCAGCACTCCATGAAGTACCGACATTGCCATAAGCAGCATTTTGAAAGGTGTCAAATGAACTGTTATGTACTTTTAACTTGACTTTTCTCTTGCATGGTTTTCATCCCATCTTTGAGCATGTGAAACAGGGTTGAGGTTTTTGGCCTAATGTTTATATTGACCGTTTTGTATTGTTATGTTATGTAAAAAAAAAACAAAAATCAGAAAGACCTTTTAAGTATATTGGTACTTGCTTTGCTGTACTGAGGCCTAGTATGAGGTGTACCTTTTGGACGGGGATCAAGTTTTGTAACCTCCAGTCTTAATGCATTTTTTGATTGTCGTGACATGAATGAAGCAGGTTTGCACAGTGCGATTGTGAAGTTTCAATATATTCACTGAGGGCCTGAGGCTTTACTTTTTTGATACTGCATGCTTTCGTGGGGTGAATGTGTACACTGAAAAAAGTGGTGAAAAATAAGTCAAAAATTGCTTAAAGTTGGCAAAAGGTATCTTCATTTGAGGACATTTTGTCTGGATTAAAACAAGATTTGTGAATGGGGACCAAGCAAAATAATCTTGTTTTAAAGAAATGTCTCCCTTGGAATGAGAAAAGAAAGCAGCAGTTCTTGAAATAAGGCTTAGTCCCATTGGAGAATCTTGTTTTAACACAGTCGGAATGTGCTCAAATTAAGATAAAAACACTTGATTCAAGCAATTATTACCTCCATGTTTTATCATTTTTTGCAGTGTAACTAACATAATGTCGACTTCTTGTTAAAGCCTTACTCTGGATGTATACTGTATACGGAAATGTACACGCTTTTGATTGTCTTGCTGGTACTTTCGCCATGACCAGCTGTTGTTCTGCTTTTTTTTAAATGTAATTTTACGTGAAAGCCAGATCTTGTCAGAACTCTGAAGCTAAGATGTGTCCTGAGGCAAGGTGTGTGTGTGTGTGTGTGTGTGTGTGTGTGTGTGTGTGTGTGTGCGTTTAGAATGTGATAGAAAAACCAATGCATTGTTATTATTTTCCGAAGCAACTACAGGTTTTCTATCCAAGCTTTTTTTTTCAGCGCTCTGAAAGTTTTTTGCATTAGCCACTTCCTCTTTGAATCATTACTAAGGCAGATTCACCAAGCATGACGTGTGGGGATAAAGAGGCGTCAGCAACTTCAACAGAACCTTTGTGAGAGTTGGCGTCATGAGATTTTACTTGCTTTGTTAATTTTGCACCTTTTTTATATTGACAATCAAGGAATATTGTGTACATTTAAATCATGGTCTGACAAATATTATTCATATTTAATGGATAATTGTACTTTGCTTGTATTTGTATATTCTGGGCTTCACTGGTTTTTCATTTTACATTCACTTCACTGCAGAAAGTGGCGAAATATAGTCAAAAAGTTGCTCAAATTTGGCAAAATGTATATTAAGGTGAGCACATTTTGAGTGCGTTAAAACAAGATTTGTCAATGGGGCGAGCAAAATTATGCTGTTTTAAAATTATATAAGAAAAAGTTCATGAGATAAGACTAAGTGAATTTATCCCATTGGCAAATCTTGCTTGAAGACTGTCAGAATGTACAAAAACAATTCACAACACTCAATTATTATCAAATTTGTTATTTTTTGCAGTGTTCCCTCTAGTCTCTGTCTGTCTCGCCTGATCAGTCCACTCCAAATCATTGACAAGGGCCGAAATGTAACACTCAACATTACAAAAAAAGTAGATTTCTTTGTTGTTTTTGTAATCATCAGCTATTTTAATAACGTGAATAATTTTTAACTGCTATATGACTCCAACTGTGCTGTAAGGAAAAAATATTGTACTCAAACAGCAGTAAAAGGTGCTTTTTGTGGCTCAAATTCTGAATGATTCTTCCAGTGGTTATTGTACTGAAAAAAATATATATATTCAGTTTCACGTTACAAACAGTACACTTTCTGACACAGACACTGGACTATGTTTGGTTGCATATAATAGGCAAGGCAAGTTTATTTATAGCACAGTTCATACACAGGGCAAACTCATAATAACACATATATGTCCTTTTTAACTACTGTAATTTCTGGACTATAAACCGCAATGTTTTTCTAGTTTAGCTTTCATGCAGCCAATACCTTGTGATAGAGTTGGGCTGTTATCAGAGCAGGGATAATTTATTATTTTGACTCCAAAATGTACTAGCTAGAGGACACTCGTTTATTCTCAAATTAGCTGAAGGTGAATAGTCTATGGTATGGACATGGAAGCTAACACCTCATTATTCAATCATTTTGCCGTCTCTCTGCTACATTACAATATGAAAACCTGCAGCTTATATTCAGGTGTGGGCTATATATGGACAGCATTTACTTTCTTTTAAAATGTTGCTAGTGTGGATTAATATACAGGTGCTCCTTATATTCCAGAATGTACAGTCATTTTAACCTTTTTGTCATGTGAGACTGAGTAAAAAAGAGATAAAAAGTTTTATCAAATGTCAATGTCAAGGTTATTTCTATAGAACATTTACAACACACAATACAAAAAAGGCTATAGTAAAAACAGATCAACAAATATTACAACAGTGCAACGCCTCTTAGTTGCCAAAGGCCGGAGTAAAAAGATTTTAAAATGTCACGAGACAAGATTAAAACAAAATTCTTCATTGTACCAAAAACAGTTATTTCCCCCTTAATTTGTAAACTGAATGATTTGAAAGAATAAAGATTGTAACATGAAACATAAGTGTGCAACTTTCTTTGTATGCCTTGCTATAAAGTCGTGTTTTAGGTTATAATCTGGTTATAACCCGTCCCTTTAGTGAAACTCGACCTCTGCATTTGACCCATATTTCATTGCCGTTCAAATCTCCGTTTCTCCATCTATAAATGTTGATGCTTGTTCAGAGCCAGAGCTATAGGAATTTTTCGATTGTACAATGGTTTTAGCGGTATTGGGGAAACCGGAGCGCCCGGAGGAAACCTATGCAGACAAGGGGAGAGCATGCAAACTCCTCTCAGAAAGGGTCTGTTCCGAATTGAGATTTGAACCCAGGACCTTCGTACTGAGAGAATTATAAATAAGATGCTTCTTTAGTTTAACATTGAATATATTGACGCATGGTCACAGCGAGCACGCAGTTTCAGGCCACATCTGCAGGGGGTGACAATAAAAACAGCTGTTATTGAGTAGATTCACTATGTGTTGATAGACAAGGCAAGTTTATTTGTATAGCACAGTTCATACACAAGGTAAACCAATGTGCTTAATAAAACAAGAAAAGAAAAATGGAGACAAATAAAAAGTGAATTTGCCATTAGTACCATCAGGCTTACAATTTCCCATATTTTTTGTTTTTGTTTAAGCCAGATCTATTATAGTCCCATATAAATGAAGTTTATTTTAAATGTGCTGCTTACAAAAAAAAACTAAATTCCCGTAAGAGTAATAAAATGTTTTCACAATTTCTGATCATACAGTTCCCACTATGGTTCCCACAGTAAAACACGGCCTCTAGCGGCCAAAGCACGCCATCGCACCTACATAGAAGAGTCCAAAATCCGATTAGTTTGCTGCCTACGAGTTGTGCACATGAACAGAAACCAGTCTCCGTGAGTTCAGTCCTCGTCCAGTCCAGTCTGGGGCGCTGCTTCTGTGTCCAGCCCACCATCAAAACTTGGACCAGTCTTGCCCTGTACTTCTAAGCGGACGCCTCTGCAGAAAAACAATGGATTTTATGTCCGATCGTCACATGCAAACGGTGAGTACCACTTTGGAAAAAAACATCTTAAATGCAAATAGCTTGGATGAGTTTGCAATAAGGCTGGATATGGCATTTGTCTCTGGTTGCGTAATAGTGTGTTCGTGCTGCAGGCTGACAGCTCTCTCCTGCAGAGACGGTTAATCGTGTTTGTGTTCAGTACATGGAGGATGGATACGTGGTGTTGGATGGATTGCTGACCCCGCGGGAGTGTGATGAGCTCCGGCAGAGAATGGCAGACATTGTGGAGCACATGGACGTCCCGGAGCACTGCCGCACCACCTTCTCCACGTACCACGACGAGCAACTCAAAACACAGGTAAATGAAATAATAATAACAAACATGCGCGGAAAGGACACGTGACCAGATTCAGACGCGCGTTTACGTCAATACGTTTTTATTTTTGCTTCATGCTTCGTTCTGTGTAAAGATGCAGGTGAGTGTAACCTTTGAGCATAGATGTCTGTGTAATAGAAAACTCTTATGTCAACATTTATGTGTGCGTGTATTTGTGTGTGTGGGGGCGTGTGCGTGTGCTTGCGTGCGTGTGTTTTTACTTTGTACATTATGTTTTACTTCTATTTTGTTAAACATAAAGCTGGTAAACCTGTATATTTATATGTAAATGGGTTACTTTTATCTCTCGGTCTCTGGTCTCTCTCTCTCTGTGTGTGTGTGTGTGTGTGTGTGTGTGTGTGTGTGTGTGTGTGTGTGTGTGTGTGTGTGTGTGTGTGTGTGTGTGTGTGTGTGTGTGTGTGTGTGTGTGTGTGTGTGTGTGTGTGTGTGTGTGTGTGTGGCTGGCAAACCTGTTTATTTATGTTACTTTCATCTCTGTGCAGCACTTTTGAAACTTGTTTTTAAAAGGGATTGGATTGGAGAGAGTTTGTGTGTGTTTGAGAGAGAGTGTTGAGTGTCTCTCTCTCACACACACACACACTCTTTCTCTCTCTTACTCACTCTCTCTCTCTCCCTCTCTCACACACACAGAGAGAGACAGAGAGTGACAGACTGAGGCCTGTACCCTAAACCTGTCCCAGTAACGATGACCTATAACCTTAACAACCCACAGGGGAATGCAGACTACTTCATCACCAGCGGAGACAAGATTCGATTCTTCTTTGAAAAGGGAGTTTTCGACGACAAAGGCACGTTCTGTGAATCTGTGATGTCGTCTCGTCCGTCAAATGTAAATTCTGAAATGACTGTCTCTTTCTCTGGCAGGAGAGTTCATCGTCCCCAGGCAGAGGTCTCTCAATAAAGTAGGACACGGTGAGAAACAGAAAGATTGGTCCCAGTTCAAAACATTATCTAATTCATGTTTTCATCCACACTCCAGCCCTGCATGCCTATGAGCCTCTGTTTAAAAGAGTAACACATTCACCACAGATCCAGGTGAGTGCGCTACCGATAGCATAGAAGAGCAAGAGTGTTCTTTTTGAATTCCATGTTTTGTAAATGAAACAAACACATCATTTATAACTCTCTGCAGGTTTATGTAATGTAACACCTGCAGAGAAGAGCGCTGTAGCCTCTGAATCACTAACAGTAGAACTCCTAGAGCAGTCAATTCGACGGATTTTAGTTTTGGAAGTGTAATTACTCTGCATTTGTGTCGTTTTGGTCTTCATAACCTTTTTCAGTGTCTTTACTTGACGAGTGTCTAGAAAGGTGCATAAGATTTTATTTATTTATTATTATTATTATGAAATTGTCTTTTATTTTTGATTTGTGAGTAGTTCTTAATTTAGCTCTATTCAATTGAATGTAAAATTTAAATTTAGCCATTTTAGATTTTTTTTCCCCTTTATATTTAAACTATTCTTTCTATTTCTATTATCATGAAGGCCCCATTTCAAGGTGCTGGTTCTGGACTGATCCTGGACTGGTCCATCTTGGTTTTTCCAGAACCCAGTAACTAGCCAGGGCTAGTTACCATAGTAATACAATGTTTACCCCCAAAAAAAACTAAACCTTTTGGGGGGGAGTGTCTCAGAATCCCATGAGAGCAGTCAAAATGATGGTTCTGGAGTTCAAGTAGTTTCATATTTGTGGGAGTACTAATGTTAAGAACCATTTCAGACCCAGCAGTATCATTTTAATTGTATTATCTGTTATTATTATTACTGCATAATTACATATCCATCTGATACTTCTGCCATTCACTAGTCACTTTACCTGTTGATATTATTACTGATGTTTATTCTGCTCATATTCTCCGCTGCTAAAGTACAATATACACATCTGTAAATACTTCTGAATCACGTGCATTTTTGGCTCCAGAGATTATTTTATTTTATTCTTGATTCTTAATCTTAATCGTGTCTGTCTCCTCAGGGTATAGCAAAGAAATTAGGCCTAACTCTCCCTGTCATTCTACAAAGCATGTACATCTTTAAGGTAAGTTTATTCAAATACAACATCCTTGCTGCTGCTTTACCGGTTTGTTGATGTGTTTTCTCTTCTATATTATGTAGCAACCCGGAAACGGAGGAGAAGGTGGGGCAGATATTATTTTCTGGTAGATTTTCATACAGTCTTGAATCACATTATAACAATATTTAAGTTTACTTGATGTTGTTGCTGTGTATGTGGCCTTTCCGACGCCATATTGCACATACAGTATATTGCACGGTTCTAAACCTCTCTTTGTTCAGTGACACCTCATCAAGACGCCACGTTCCTGTACACGGAACCACTGGGCAGAGTCGTCGGGGTGTGGATCGCTTTAGAGGACGCCACGGTGGATAACGGCTGCCTCTGGTTCATCCCAGGGTCGCAAAACAGTGAGTGATTCAAAGAGTGCTGAACAAAACAAGACAGCATTAAAATCATGATCCTCAGTTGTACTATCGTTAGCTTTTTAGAATAATCAGTTCATTATTTGTGTGAATGGATGTGTTTTTGCCTGAATTTCTCCAACGGGGATCAATAAAGTATCTAACTAGCTAATTCACACCTTGTTCTGGTTCACTTTAACTGGACCAAATTAATTAAATGTATTTTTGCATAGCCCTAAATCACCAGAGTAGTTATCTTGTTATTGAAACTTTTTTTTTTTGATTATCTTTTTAATGAATTTTGAGATCATAATGTTTTAAATCCGGCCGATATATATATATATATATATATATATATATATATTAGTACTCTCATCTCCTAGAGGTCTGGTGGGAGGTGTTGCATGCAGATGTGGGCCATTGTCTCCTTTGCCTCCTGTGTCCTGTATGCATATGTTCGACTATTTGCATGTTAATATGGAGGGCTTCCCATGACTGTTTTGTGGGTGTGTTTTGAGACTGTGGTTCATTGAATAAAGTAGGTTGCTTCATGGAGGAGAGATTAGAAGACCTTGGTTTGGAGCTGTGGAAACACGGCTGCCTTCTGCTGTCTCCTCCACGGACGTCTAACCATGTAAAATAGAATGATAACTTTGGCCTAATCTTTGTGTGCTTTTGTCCAGATGACCTGCAGTCGAACTAGTTTTTAATCAACTCTCAATTCACCAACACAGGCAGAGAAACACAGGATATGCAACATAGAGACATTGGTCCATAAGGGGCTGATGGTCAATGTCCATAAATGTTAATAAATGTTAATAAATGTAGATTAATGTTAACAGATGTACATACATGTCGTTAAATGTCCTGGATCATCACCACTGTGCTTAGACCCAAAAAAACCCAGTGGGAAATAAGTGAGAAACCTCAAGGAAACACAGAGGCGGTTCCAAGGCAGGTGGATCATTTTAGCTGGACCAAGTCTGGTTCACTTTAACCGGACCAAGTCTGGTTCATGTTAACTGGAAAAAGTCTGGTTCACTTTAACTGGACTAAGTCTGGTTCACTTGGTGTGAGATATGAATCATCAGTTGTTTGTATGGATCTATTATAATATTGGTTATTTTGTGGTTTTAACATCAATAAATATAACTTGTGTTTGTCCCCAGTTAAAGTGAACCAGATCGAGCTTGAACACTCCCTAAATATAATCTATTTAAGTCTTTCTAAAATTATGTCTGTTTTAAAATGGACCTCAGAGTCTGTAATAAAGTTGACTTGAATGTGTTCCTGCAGACGGTATAACTCGGCGCATGGTGCGGACTCCAAAAGGCACTTATCCACTCACCAACTTCATCGGCCGAGAACAGACGTATGAAGACGACAAGTTTGTGCCTGCACCAGTTAAGAAAGGTAACTGTACTTTGGTTTCAATACGTTTCAGGTATTATAACAAGATTTATTTGTTTTTTTATGATTGATTAATAATAATGTCAGAATGTGCATTATACCCTCCTGCTGCTAACAATGTACACATTTTATACTTGTGTTTGATGCTAGAGTTAGAGATGTTTTTTAATCTATATTTTATTATTTTGTGCTGTATGCCCCTCATTTCTACTGTTCTGTAAATTGTGATGCAACACTGAAATTTCCCTCTGTGGGACGAATATATGATCTCCTAATCTTAATCTTAACCCTCCTGCTGCTAACAGATGTAAACACACAACTACGTATACATTTATGGCACTAGAATATTACTTCCTTATTATGCTAAAGTCAGAGATGTTTGTTTATTGGGATCCGTGTTAGCTTCCATCACTGCAGTTGATAATCTTCCTGAGGTCCCAGTAAAGATGAGCGTATTACAAAAATTAAAATAATAACAATACCTTAATTCATTGCCATCATATTAAATACTGTGTTGGCTTCTATAAGCGATCATGTAGCCATCCTTTGGGTGTCCGCTTTCTGACTCACAGCATCAAACACAACACGTAGCCGTAGATCCATTTCCAAAGTTTTATTTCAAATCAAATCAAGTAGTCTGCGCTGCGTTGCGTGCGTGCGTTGGTCGGTCACCCTCATTATGCCGATTCCCCCACACCTGTCCCATCTATGACTACTCTGTCCCGTCTGTCCCGCCCTCTCTAGCTCTAAATAAAGGAATATTAATATTGATTTCTATATTTAACATTATCATAAGTAACAAATATATATTTCAGGATGTTTTTAAATAATGATTTTAAATTTCAGAACTAATTTTAAGATAAGATAAGATGTGCTTTATTTATCTCACAGAGGAGAAATTTACATGTCACATTTAGCATGGATAGAACACTCAGATTGTGCAAAAGGAGGAAATGTGCAAACATGTTACATGCAGGATATATGTACAACAAAAGTGACAAGTGTCAATTGGAAACAGTGTCAATATTAGTGCAGGTTTTCACACAGTGATCATTTAAAGTGACTTATTGTACAGTCTGACAGCGGTGGGGATAAAGGCCCTGCGGTAGCGCTCCTTCCTACACTGAGGGTGCCTCAGTCTTCCACTGAAGGAGCTCCTCAGCTCCTCTACAGTCCTGTGCAGTGGGTGGGAGGTATTGTTCATGATGGAGGTGGCTTTGGCTAGCACCCTCCTGTCCCTCACCTCCTCCACAGAGTCCAGGGAGCAGCCCAGAGTGGAGCTGGCCCTCCTGACCAGCTGGTTCAGTCTGTTTCTGTCCCGCTCTGTGCTGCCCGGGGCCCAGCACACGGCAGCGTAGTAAATGGCAGAAGCTACCACAGAGTCATAAAAAGTCCTGAGCAGAGGCCTGCTCACTCCGAAGGACCTCAGCCTAGACTTAAACATTTTAGAATTTTAGACTTTCAGGCATTTTGATATAAACTAAATTATGGCCTTAACAAATACAGGCATTGACCAAGCCATACATTATATCAATGCATTGTACATTGAGCTGACTTATTTTCAGCTGCTCTGAAAATAAGTCCTTTTGCAATAATTTAGTTCTAGGTTGATCAATGGCCAAGTCAGCATTACGAGCCTGCAGTAGAATGGGAGTCAATCTGATACATATGTGATTGTTTCGGACATACTTCAGCTTATTGTGAACCGAAAGCCAAGATTAAATGTTAAGCCTTTCGTTTATACTAGCAACACAAGCACAATTTAAAACTAGCCTCGCCTCTGCACAACCTACAATCTAGTTATGTCTGTATTTCATGCAGCAGACCGTATAATGGAGCAGTATTTATGTTATACTTGCTTCTTTTTATTTTAGTACAGACTTTGTTTTCTCTACCACTGTCGCGCTAACAACAGAGCCTGAGCATTGGCCTTTGAGCCTGAAGGTCGTGGGTTCGAGCCCACTACAAGACTTTCTCTACCGACTTTCACTGATGTCTGCTGATGTCTGCTTGGCAAGACACTTAACCTCTGGGAACACCAGGTGCCAGTGGGGCGGCTGCGGCTGTAAAGTGCCAAACTGGCTGCCTCGCTTCTGTCAGTGTGCCCCAGGGCAGCTGTGGCTATAGTTGTAGTGTATCACCAGAAGTGTCTTTGAGTGTCCAAAAAAGTGCGATATAAAACCCATGCCTTATTATTATCTGGTGCTGTGTGCTTCTCATTCCTACTGTTCTGTTACAGATGATGCAACACTGAAATTTCCCTGATGTGTGACGAGTAAAGCATCTATGTTAATTGTTTTGGTGCAGGTGGCGTTGTCCTAATCCACGGAGAAGTGGTCCACCGCAGCGACGAAAACAAATCAGAGAGTTCCCGTCACGTCTATACTTTCCACATGATGGAGTTGCAGCAAACTCAATGGAGCCCTGAGAACTGGTAAACTCACATTTCTATTCACAAAAACAGAGAAACTGAGATAGTTACGGTTTTGTCTTTCAGGTTGCAGCCGACCGAGGACCTCCCCTTCCCAAAACTTTACACCAAATAAATATAGAAAATCAAACTTTTCCACATCCAGCCTTTTTTTATTCAGCTTGTTGCTTGTTTGGGTAGCGGATAAATCCCCCTTTTCTACCCATTATTATTGTTTTGTCCTTTAACAAAGACAGTTTTTCAAGTTTATTTGATTAAAAGGAATAATAAATATGACATAAGTAATTTAAATAACACATTCATTAGGAAATATACACAGATAATATCAAAGCAGTTCAACAAATAAAAGGGTTTTTTTTCACAGTAAGGTTCAAACAAATATATGAAAAGGCAAAAGCAGTCGGGTCATGCAGGTATAATGCACAATAACATATTTATAAAGAAGAGAATCCAGACAAAAGTTAATCTCCCGCTCTATTAAAGACTCTTAAAAACAGCGGGGTTTCTAATGGCTACTCACAGAATGAAAATGATCTAAAACAGGGGTCTCCAACCTGTAGCTAGCCAGCCCCTTTCAGGTAGCTCGCCAAAGGAATTAGAATTTAAACAAGTGATCTTGAATGAATACTTTTTTAGCCATTACATATCTATTATAAGTATAAATATAGGGTTATACAGTATTATGGTATTTTTTACATCTGTTTTCTATGATTTGTTGTAATTTTTAGATAGATTTTTACTACAACTGCAAAAAGGAGTAGCTCTTTGCCTCTTGTTTGTATGAAAGTAGCTCTCCAATTGAAAAAGGTTGGCGACCCTTGATCTAAAAGCTTGCATCTTTAGTTTGTTCATGCAGATCATAAATGAGAAAGAGGCCCTGGATACGCAGTGTTGGAAGAAAACTGTAAAAAATGTGTCTTAGTTACAGAATACTGAAAACCTGTCCTTTGCCATTATTATGCATCTACACTGTAGTCTGAATACTTTTTCACTCATATATTTATATTAAGTGCTATATTCACATTTCTTGTGTTGTGTGCTTCTCATTCATACAGTCATTTGAGATGCAACACTGAAATTTCCCCACTGTGGAAGACAATAAAGGATCTCTTTCTCTTACTTACGGTCTAGCAATGTGGCAATAGATAAAAAACCTGCCAAGTTATTTTTTTTTTAATGTATAATAACAAAAAAGTAAGACCAGAGAGGGGAGAGGACAGTTCTTTCCTAAAATTTGGGAAAGTCCTCCTATATACAGTACCTTTAACTAAGTGATCAAATAAAATAATTCATTTCTTAATAAATCAGCTGTATTCTGAATAACACCAAAATAAAAGTAACCCTACTATAATACTATTGTACAAGTATTTCCGACATGTGTTGTTACTCCCCAACACTGGGTATGTACTATTTCATACAATAGTTTTAGTGATACAAATGTTAAGGCAATCATGTCTCATATTCTCCACATTTTACAGAAAAAAAACTTCATTTAATTTTGTTTTTTCTTTACATCAAGTTTGTTCTTTAAGGGCAGTATCCCTCGTTTAAAGGGTAAAGTACCTCTGAGTTTGATAATTATCCAGAACCTCTTAAGCAATCACGTCATCTGTGTTCCATAAAGTCAATACTCCGTCCAACACTATTTTGCTAAAATTGTTGCATTCTTTGATGGTTTTTCTCCCGACTAAAAAGGTAGTTTACGCAGGCGATGTACGAGTTTATTCCAGTGCTGACCTTTAAAGCAACAGCAGGATGAAGAGGTACAGTGGCAGGAGGAGGTTGTCGATTTGCGATGTGTAGGCTTCGAGCATGGCCACCAGAGTGATGGACCCAACAATCCATGAGTAAGTAGAGTTTAGATTAATATTCCCATCAAAGATAAGAAACAAAGCAACAGCAATGATCTGTGCAAACACTGACGTTGCCGTTCCCTCCATGGTTTTCTTTGTGCCAGGCCATTGGATCTCCCCCATGGTGCTGCCGAACACCGAGGCCACAGTGTCTCCAACCCCCACCGCCAGCACCCCGGCATAAGGCACCAGACCTCCGGCACCAGAGAGGACCCCTTTAGGAGCACAGGGCCCTGGGAACAGCCACACAGGCAGAGACATCCCCATCAGCAGATAGATGTGTGTGAGGATGAGAGGCCCGGAGTCCCTCTCGTCCAGGAATAATGTAAGCAACTGCCGCAGAAGCTGCCCTAGTGGCTGTATACGGAAATAACGCACATATTCCAGGAACAGAAACACTGCGAGACAACCCACAGATGCCACATGGAGCAACTGTCGGTCGTAGATCAGCCCTGGAACAAATGTGGCCACTATAATCAAGTGGAAGTATTTTCTGACTATTGTTGATGCTTGATATTTCTTGGACCCTGATTGTCTCTGATAGTTTTGCTGAACAACGACACAGGTGGCTCCGACTGAGAGGAAAACCCAGTACCCCAAAAGACACAGTCTCTTGTCATTTAATGTGAGAAAGTCTATCAGCCACATAATGGGATGACGTCCAATAAACAAAGCCAGCCACGGCAGGAGGATTCCAAGCCCCAGGACAGAAGTCATTATGTGAAAAAATAATGATGAAACCCATGTCTCTGACTCCATGAAGCAGAAGAGCAAAGCAAAAAATATTCCCAGTAACAAAGAACCCAAGATGACCACTGGTAGTAAATAGTTAACCGGGTCACCTTTGACCTCAGTCAGATTCAGAGAGCGTTTAATGAGCTGGTTAACTATGAAACTGATTCCTCCCATAATGAGAAGAGCTTCTCCAGGTGTGAAGCAGCGCGGCAGGAGATACAGCACTATCAAACTGAGATACACAAATATTAACAGCACCTCCAAAACCTCGATGACCTCAGAGACCGTCAGAGTTTGTTTAGTTGTGTAGACAATAGCACTGGCAGCCATACCTGCAATAACGCAGGTGTTTGTGGGAATGGGTCTGGTGATGCCAAGAGCGATTAGAGAGAGAAACAGAGCCAGCATCATGCCTGTGATTGTGATGACCATGGAAAAGCGCTCAAAATAAACATTCCCTGAAGCAGAACATTTTTCTTTTAGTGCCAGTCCCAGGAGAGGCATCACCATCGAAGCCGGGACAATGCCACTGTTTGCAGAAGGGCGGAACTGAAAAACTGCGCCTCCTGATTTGAGTAGACGGTCCCATTTGTGTTGTACATAAAAAGCTTGAATGAAGAGGGCTATACTGCACCAGGAGTGCTGGTTCCAGACCGCCAGGTGGACACACAGCACTACAGCCAGCACCACAGAAGACTCCACTATAGCTGGGTTGATATCCATAACGACTGGACCCAGGGCAAAGGTACAGAATGTGGATCCGAGTCGATGAACCGGCAATGAACCTCTGTCACTTCCTCTGAGTGGGACAATTCATGGTCTGGTAGGCACATGCAGGTTAAAGCGCCTGCAAAATAAAAGGAGACATTTTTAACACATTTTCAATTTGAGAAGTTGTATAGAAAATAACAGTTAGCCCAGATCATATTTCACGACACTTAAGACATGCCTCTCAACAGAACAGAGACAAAATATATACATAGAGTAAGCACATTACCATTACAATACCCATCGGAGCTGCAGAGAATGTTTTTGGGTCGAGCATTTTAAAAACTAATCTACACAAGAGGGTCGCTTTGGTGTATTATTGAACAGCCCACAACACTGCCAACACTGGGAATGCGTACTGCTAATGCGGACTTCCAAACACATGACTGCAAATAAAGCTAAAAGATGAATACTGAAACATTATACAAACCACTGTGTAATTAGGACGTTCATGCAGTAAGTGTTCGTGGTCCTCAGATCAGGATTTTTGTAGTAGTCGGTTGTGGCTTTTGCTTTTCTCACACCCAGAAGGAAGGGGCCATATTTGACAGCGTGGTCACGTGGTCCCCTTACGTTTTTTAAAGGGGTTCTGTTCTGTCGAGCAACTGTGAAATGTGTTTAGTTCAGTGCTTTAGGATAGTTCTGTGTTGAGCAGAGACAGTATATCATAGTTTAAGATTAGTTTAAGACTAGAATTCTGGGAACACGACTAGACTCCCAGAATTCTGAAACATTACCAGAAGTCCAAGAACCGTCAGTTTGACTGCTCTCATTCAAACTAATACAATTTTGAGAAATTCTCCTTAACAGTTGTATAGTTTTCTAGATGTATTAAAAGTAACTAATGTATATGTTGTTTTTTTTTTTTTTTTTTACCTTTAAAACCATCAGAATAACAAAATCTAGTGTAAATAAAAAAATTATATGCATACACATTTATTTACAATATAATAAAAAATAATACAAAATATCCAACTTAGGCAGACATTATGATTCAAAATAATAATAATAATTTGAATGAACTGAACACACTCTGACGCCGCTTCCTGTCAACAGCCAATCGGAAGTCAGCTTCGAAAATGGCGGATTCAGGGGTGATCGTCAGGTGAGAAATTAGCCTTAAACTTTTAATTATTAACAAGTTATCCAACTGAAAATATCCAAATAGCTTCAGTTTCATGCAGATATTTTTGTGGGCTGTCCAGTCTCTGTCATGCAAAGTACCGGGTTAGCTTTCCCAGTCACAGCCTCACATGCTAGTTTAGCTTAGCACGCGCTGCTGCTGCGTTTCAAACGGTTTCAGTTTGAAGTGAGATTTCCACATGACAACAACAGCTGGCGCGTGTTGTTTGTGCGCGTGGGAAGCAGAATACAGACAGGGCTTGATTATTAATGTATCTCATATCATGTTTATTAAAGTGTTTGCTCAAATCCACTGTTGTCATCTGTTTAAAAATAAAGTAACTAAAGAACACATGCTTGGAAATGAGAGTGAACGCGAGTGCCACTGCTAACCTGTTTACATGCTACTATTTAATTTATTAAGTTACTGCTAATTTATTCTGTTTTGAAGCACAGTCAGCATGATATCTGATGTTTGATCAATCTGAACAGGTGATGGATGATGTGTGTATTGTAGTTGGCTGGAGTAAGCAAGATAAGATTGAGATACATTTTATTGATCTCACAATGGAAAAATGTACACAAATACAGCTACGAGCTACTGTCTGTGTCCAGTACGTCTAGACAGTGCAGATGTCATTCAATCACTTTAAATTTCTTCATGGCATTGACATCTGTGTGCCCTACTGCCCTTACTGTCTTGTATGTGCGCTGCAACACTGACATTTACCCCCTGTGGGACGAATACAAATGATTTAAATTCATGTATGAGCAGTTTGCATCCCCACAAACATGATTAGTACTTTATCTTGTTTGTCTTTGCACTAATTGGAAACATTGAAATAGCTTGGCATACATTTTATATACAAAAATGCTGGCGACTTCCATAACAAATTGTTAGCGTTACAGAAAACATAAAATACAATAGATGTACAGGTCCAGGTGTCTTGAAATATTCACAGCTCTTACCATGTGATGTGCACAGAATTGTGAATATATTATAGTGAACACTAAACAGTTAATAAATCCGACTCATTATTGTTTGTTTATTCCCAGGAGCTGTAGAGAATTATGGACGATACTCTTGGGGAGATCTGCGCTACGTGAGCCAGTATGTACTTCACATTGTATATGTTTTATTATCAAATGCTACTGTTTAACTGTTTTTTTATTCGTTCATTTTTTCCCCAAGCCTCAAATAGAAGAGGAGCTTGATAAACACTGGGATATGTTACACCAAGGTCTCAGTTACTACAAACCACCCAGGTATTGTTACACTTATAAACATATGAACAACATCTACATTAATTTTACATACAAATATTCATGTATATATTTGTTTTCAAACTAGCCCTGCATCTGCCCAGAAGCTCAAAGAGAAGAAGGATGTTGCTCAAGCATTGAAGGATTTTGGCCTCAGAATCAGCAAACTGATGGTGATTATTTGATCATTTCATTTTGGAGGTGGATTAATCTGTTAATTAGAGGTTTGAAAATATGTTTGTTGTTCTTTCTAGTGTCTTGACGAGCAACAAAGTGTTCAGCTCTTACAGTGCTACTTACAAGAGGATTATAGAGGCACACAAGATTCACTCAAGGTGTTTTGGGGTTTTTAAAAACACGTCTATCGTATTTTATTTTAAAGGAATAGTTCACCGCGTTTCCCCCGCGACCCGGCAACGGATAAAGCGGAAGAAAATGGATGGATGGATGGATAGTTCACCGTTTTTACATACTGACATATGTTCTTACCTTACCTTAGACTAGTTAATACATACCTGTCTGGTCTTAGTCCGTGCGCTCTGTCATGCAAACGGAGCAAAAACGGGAGCACAACCGCAGCCTCCTCTGTATATTTTGTAGCACCAAAAGGTAGCTCCCGCTAGAAGCTACCAAACTCTTCCAAGTGTTCCCTATTAAATGTATATAGTTACGTGACGTGTTACACTGCAAAGTATAGTAACACAGAAATGTAACAGTCGATTTTCTCAGCGGATAAAACGGGTACTATATTGTGAGGCGTAGTAATCTGAGGGGCGCTACGTCCGCGCACTAACTTCTCTCCGGAGACTTCTCTCTCGCTCACTTCCGTCAATAGAAGCAGCGTGACTTGTAATACACACAGTAGCAGCGAGAGAGAAGTCTCCGGAGAGAAGTTAGTGCGCGGACGTAGCGCCCCTCAGATTACTACGCCTCACAATATAGTACCCGTTTTATCCGCTGAGAAAATCGACTGTTACATTTCTGTGTTACTATACTTTGCAGTGTAACACGTCACGTAACTATATACATTTAATAGGGAACACTTGGAAGAGTTTGGTAGCTTCTAGCGGGAGCTACCTTTTGGTGCTACAAAATATACAGAGGAGGCTGCGGTTGTGCTCCCGTTTTTGCTCCGTTTGCATGACAGAGCGCACGGACTAAGACCAGACAGGTACGTATTAACTAGTCTAAGGTAAGGTAAGAACATATGTCAGTATGTAAAAACGGTGAACTATTCCTTTAAATGATAAGATAATGTGCTAATGCTTTTTCACAGGTCGTACTGAAAGATGAGCGACAAAGTCAGGCTCTGCTACTAAAGGTCTGCCTTTACCTCTTCTAATGTGTTTTGATTATTAGACTCCAGGCTCACTGCCTGTATGTGTTTACAGATCGCTGACTACTACTATGAAGAGCGTTTGTGTCTGCTGAGATGTATCCTCCTCTTGCTGACATACTTTCAGGACGAGAGACATCCCTTTAGGGTAAGAAGCCTTTACTCTTCTCATTTTAGTAGTAATCCTTATGGTGTGTTATTGTTGATGTCATGTCTGTGCAGGTTGAATACCACAACTGTGTCTCTAAACTTGAAAAAGACCTCGTAAACAACTATCAAACACAGTTCAAAGATTTGTTTAATGCAGAAGCGCCAACATGGGAGACCCACGGACCCCTCATGGTGAGTCTTTTTACAACAGACCATTGCTTCTTTATACTCTAACCCCTATTGACTTTACTACTTTACTTTTTGCATTTTTAGACCGAGCGGCAAGTTTCACGATGGTTCTTCCAGTGTTTGAGAGAGCAGTCCTTGCTTCTTGAGATACTGTTTCTCTACTATGCGTATTTTGAGATGGCCCCAGCCGATCTCCTGGGCTTCACCAGAATGTTTAAGGAGCAAGGGTTTGGACTGCGGCAGACAAACCGTCACCTGGTGGACAAAAGTATGGACGCGCTGGTGGAACGTATCGGGTAAATGAATCAATCTTTATTGATAGAGTGCTTTTCCAACACAAAGCGCTTCACAGTCCACATCACTGAAGGGAAACAATTAATCATCACATAAAGCACCATTAAAATCACACAGGTAATTAAAAACATTAAAGTATTAAAATCACAAGGGGCTAAAATAATAAATAATGCATTAGAAAGAGATGAAATCCTTCAGTTGTATGCACAGGCAAACAGAACAGTCTTTGAAAATTAGTTTATGTCGACGTAGAACGGTTTTGAAATCAATTGTGGTCACTTATGTTGTATTGGTTTGTGTTGCAGCTACCTTGGTTCTCTAATCTTGGTCGAGGGAATGGACATAGACTTTCTTCACAAGTGTGCTCTGGAGGATCGTACTGAACAACACCAGTTTTCAAACGCCACTGATGTCGTCAAGGTCACTATCTTACTCACACAGTTCAAATCCACCCTCGTGTGTTTAGACAAGTTACTTACACCATATCTACACCATCCACTGTTCATGCAGATTTTAACTTTGTATTTGAACTGTTTTTATGCACTTTTGTACTTGTCTGTACCTTGGGTGGCAACAAAGGCGCCTAAGAAATAGAATACATTATTATTATTATTATTATTACTGAAACCATATCGATGTTAGGAGACTTAAGTCATGGTGGTGTTTGTTTTTCTTCAGGTGATGGACCAGCTACTAGTTACTTTTGGAGACATCCACCACCACGGCCCGGTCCTGCTCGCCTGGGTCCTCCTGAGGCACACTCTGAGGCCCGAGGAGACCAGTCCTGTCATCAGAAGGATTGGAAACACCGCCTTGCAGCTGGGAGTGTTTCAGTACCTCTCTACTATGCTGAAAAGTCTTGGAGCTTCAGGAAACAACGTAATAACATATAGCTTTTATTATTATTACCCGGTATTATTCATCTTGATGTGTACAAGAACGTTGTAAAGCGCTTTGGGTGACCTTGGTCTGTAAAAATGCGGTGTATATAATTAAAGATTATGATGTATACAGTCAGTCCAAGCAGATCTATAGATGGTAGAGTGAATCTGTTCAGTGCTTTCTCATTTTACTGTTAGACTTAGACAGACTTTATGGATCCACAAGGGAAATTGCGTTGTCACAGTAGCTTGCACAGTATTTCACAATAAAAATAACATTAAACGGAGTCTGAGTGACTGTGTTCTCTCGTTGGTGGAGAACCATTTATTATTATTGTGGTTCACTTCTTAGTTAAAGCTGCACTAACTGACTTTGGGATTTTGAAGCCGCAGACTCGCTGGCCTCTCTCTTTCTGCTCCCCTCCCCGCACCCACGAAGCTATCGCCCCCACACACACCCACTGTTGGGACGGAGCTAGTGTCTCTCAATATGGATAATACATGGATATGGATTTGCACGTGGATGGCGTGACCATAGAACGATAGAACCGGGAAGCGCGGAGGAACGAGACTTTCTTTTGGATGGCTGTCTCGCTGTGTAACCGGTGACGAAGACGAGGAAGCTTCAGGTTAGCTCCTCGGCTTGTTGTGCTAACTTAGCAGTCTGTGCTAACGGACCTGTAGATTTCTCACGAAAGTGGGGGCTAGTGGTTCGCTGTGATTGGTCACAATCTGCGACCCGAAACACATTCTCTTCCTTGTTTCATCAAAACTTGATCTAAAATATAATGTCACGCCAGCACAAATCTGCGCTACTTTTTCTTCAAAAGGACGTATATCCCAATGCCCTACACGGACATGGATAGCATTTTAGTAATTAATACAAAAATAAAGTCAGTTAGTGCAGCTTTAAACTGAGACGGTCAACAATATGTGTTTGTTCCAGTGCACGGCGAGCACAGCAAAGATGTGCATCTACGGCCTCCTGTCCTTCGTGGTGACCTCCTTTGAAGAGGACAGCCTGCAGGTACAGCAGATACAGGCCATGTTTGGATACAGACATCCTTTTCACGTTATCGTCACAACTATTTCAAACTCTTTTTACAGACGGAAAGAGGGTCGTCTGGTTCTCACCTGATCGATGCGGCCTGCGAGGTCCTTTCCGCTCCCAGTCTGGCAGAGATCTTTTGGGAAATGGTGAGAGATAAACGTACATTCACAAACATAACATGCTATTTATATATAGAGAATGGAGTAAGTGGAAGTGGACTGCTGCTGTAGTCCATTTGAATATTATTATGCAGATCACTGAACAGGGACAATGATGTGTCGTAATTCAGATGTGTTTTTCTTCACAACTTTAAGACTTATTGAACGTCCTTTTCAGAAGCCCAACATGGGATTGGGGGTGATTCTGGACAGTGCCGCTGGAATGTTTCCTCAAAAAATTGCGCCTTTGTTGCAACTTCTGACGGCGCTGCTTTCAAACAAGACCACAGTCAAAAAGGTTTGTTTCTGTCGTGTTTGTTTGTATTCTTAAAGCTGTTATTCACTACTCGTTCTTTATACTAGATTTGCTTTTCTTTTACAGGTTTACAACTTTTTAGATAAGATGTCATTCTACACAGAAATTCACAAACAAAAACCAAATGACATCATCTCCAAGGACGACGAAACGCTGTGGAAGAGAACGACACCCAAACTCCTCTATCCTCTCGGTGTGTATCGTTTTAATGTGAGTTTATGGTGAATGTGCGACCTGTGACCTGTGATGGTTGTGGCTTCAGGCTCGGGGCAGACAAACCTGTGGCTGCCCCAAGGCGTGCTGGGGCAGGTGCTGATGGGGCCGGAGCAGGACTTTGTAGTGCGCTGGGATTACTCCTACAGCGCCTGGACTCTGTTCACGTGTGAAGTGGAGCTGCTGCTGCACGTGGTTTCTACTGCAGGTGAGAGTTTGTTTGTCACACGTCTATAATACTATAATCATGTTCTTTGATAACATTTCTGCATCTTTCTAGATGTTCTTGCTCATTGCACTCGTGTGAAGCCCATCCTGGATCTAGTCCATAAGATCATCAGCACTGACTGGTCTGTGTCAGACTGTCTTCTCCCTCTCACGTCTCGCATCTACATGCTTTTACAGAGGTAAGGATTTAACATATAAAGGAAAAACACATAAATAACATGAATGAAACTCAGAGTGTGGCTCCTGCTCCTGACAGGCTGACGTCAGTCATCAGTCCTCCAGTCGATGTGATTGCGTCGTGTGTAAACTGCCTTTCTGTTCTGGCTGCACGGATGCCTGGAAAGGTAATTGAAAACACTCATGTTGTAGTTATTGTCTTTTGATTTTTAATATTAACTTTAATGTAACTCTTCAGGTGTGGTCAAGTCTGCAGCACACAGGGTTTTTGCCATTTTCATCTAATGCACTGACGTCCATGGCTCAATGTATTAGGTATAAAGTTAAACATTTAAGTTCTTTCTTCACCTGTGAACGTGTCAGAATCCAAAACATTTAACACTTTTTCAGCGCTGAGGGCATGAAAGCTGGTAACTACGGCAACCTGTTGGTTCAAATTGAGCAGCCGAGAGGGGAGTATCCTGTGACCATTGCCTTTCTTCGCCTTATTACAACTTTAGTGAAGGTTTGTTTGAACCGTCTGTAAAAGGATTAGAAGCATCAGTGTTTGGTTATATTCATCCGCACTTTCTGTTAGGGTCAGCTCGGAAGCACTCAGAACAACGGCCTGGTGCCCTGTGTGCTGTTGGTGTTGAAGGAAATGCTCCCGACTTACCACAAGTGGCGCTATAACACCTACGGAGTGCGCGAGAGAATTGGTATTTCAGTATTTTTATAATAGTATTGCTAATATTAGTATAGTATTGTTGATAACTGGTGTTTTATCTAATGAAATGATTGCAGGTTGTCTGATATTGGAACTAATACATGCCATTCTGAACCTGAGCCCCGAAGGAGAGAGTCAGGGGAGGTAAGTTATTCACAGTCTGACACTGGAATCTAAATGTAAAGGAACAATGTTTTATAGGAAATAGATGAATGGTTAATGCTGTTTTTTATTGAATATGGATTATCATATCTCTTCTTTCAGCACTCCTTCTCTACAGTCTTTGTGCATCTACAGTCTGGCAAACACAGAAGCCGGTCAAGCCATCGTCAATATAATGGGAGTTGGGGTGGACACCATAGACGTGGTACTGGCTGCACAACCCAGCAGGTAAATCACCTTTAAGTTTGTGTAAATGTCTCTCCCCTTTAAAAAAGGTGACACACTTTTCCTCTGGTTCAGCGGTGGCTCTGAGGGTCCAGGCCAAATCCTGATCCAAACTGTGAAACTGGCTTTCTCCGTCACAAACAACGTCATTCGCCTCAAACCTCAGTCTGACGTGGCGTCGCCGCTGGAGCAGGCTCTGACGCAGCACGGCGGCCACAGCAACAACCTCGTCGTCGTTTTAGCAAAGTACATTTACCACAAACACGACCCGGCTCTGCCCCGACTGGCCATCCAGCTGCTCAAACGCCTCGCCACGGTAAGTGAAGCAGACTTTCCTAAAGATGGGTCTACATCGGGGGTGTCAAACTCACGCCCATGGTCCAAATCTGGCCCTAAAGACCATTTTTAGTGGTATTGATGGTAAGCGGCAACTATGGCATGTTATACTTAATTTTAAAGCCTCAGGCCTCAAATAACCATATGATTTAATATGTTGAGTATTTACCATATTTAGATTCCTTATGGAAAGACTTTTTATACATTGTGATGTTGCCTACGCCGCTTACACTATATACACATGCAAATATACAAACATAGCTGTACAATCTAGTTTTACCATGTGTTTGTTTATTTACAATTTCAATATATTATAAGTTACAGTTACTCAATTATTATTTTTTATAACTATACATCTTCCAATACATCTCTTCTTGATATTTAACATTAGTTTGGCTTTTGGAGTTTATTTTTTTTTTTTACCACTTTTACACCTCTGGCACCAACCATCTCTTATATTTTAAATTTGCCCCTGACCCAAATGAGTTTTACCCCCTCTGGTCTACACCGAAGCTTCGTACCGTCTGCTTCACGGTCACGCTCTCTCCCACAGGTGGCGCCAATGTCCGTGTATGCCTGTTTGGGAAGCGACGCCGCAGCGATCCGCGACGCCTTCCTCACGCGGCTGCAGAGCAAGACCGAAGACATGAGGATCAAAGTCATGATCCTGGAGTTCCTGACGGTCGCCGTGGAAACGCAGCCGGGCCTCATCGAACTCTTCCTCAATTTAGAAGTCAAAGAAAGTAGCGACGGGTCAAAGGTGAAGGTTTTTTATTGCGCTGAACTGATTCATAATATTAACATTTACAGTCTATGGTTGAACTGCTGCACTGCAAAAAGTGATTAAAGATTTGCCAACGGGACGAAACCATTTAGACTTATTTAAAGAACTGTTGCTTTATTTCCTCATTCTAAGGGAGATCTTGTTTTTAATGCAGTCAGAATGCGCTAAAATTAAAATACATTGAGCAAATTCGGAATTTTTGACTTATTTCTCATAACTTTTTGCAGTGTATACTTCATAAAACACCATGTTATTTATTTGTATTCAGTTAAATGCATCACTTCGAGACTACAGTTGAAAGCGGCCATTTTCTTTTAGTGTAGAGATATTGTTCGTGGATCTTTTGCTGTGTGCTCGTCATTCCTACTGTTCTGTAACCGGTGATGCAACACTGAACTTTCCCCACTGTGAGGCAAATGATGGCTCTCTTAATGTTAATCTTGACGTGTTGTGGCAGGAGTTTCGGTTGGGAGAATGGAGCTGTCTTCACGTGGTGTTGGACCTGATCGACTCTAAGCAGCAGGGCAAATACTGGTGTCCTCCGCTGCTGCACAGAGCCGCTCTGGCGTTCCTCCTCGCTCTGTGGCAAGACCGACGAGACAGCGCCATCTCTGTTCTGAGAATCAAGTAGGATTTTTACGTTACGTTAGATGTGGACATTTCTGCCATTCCAGAATTTAGATTCATCCTCGATTTTTTTGTGCCGTTCTAGGGACAAATTCTGGGAAAATTTGTCCACGCCGTTGTTTGGCAGCCTCCCTCCTCCTTCAGACACGGCAGAGGTATTCTGTTTTTTTACTCTCTCACCATGTGCTTTACACGACCTGTTTTCCTTTGACACTTGCTTCTTTATTATGCTAAAGCTAGAGATTTTATTTTGTTGTAGTACCTTTTTTGGGAGTTTAAGTTGCACTAGAGTATGATTTATATGTCACGTGTTTGGGGGATATATATTTAATAAAATTCAACCCCAAGAACAGACATTTCGTCTGAAAAAGGCAATTTAAATTAAAATAAGAATCGAGAACAACAGGCTGAATAAGTGTACGTTATATGACACATAAACACGGAACTGAGAATGTGCCTAGTTTGTTAACGTCGTTCTGAAGAAAAGGACAAAGTCTGGGATTGTGTCTTTAATTCAGAAAGACATGTTTTATTATTGATGGTAGAGATTTCATGACACTTGCTTCAAAGTGTCATGAAATCTCTAAAGTTCAAATAACAGCAAGAGCTGTGGTGTGTGTCGTCTGGTACACACCGGGCTAGCCTTGCACAGTTTTTCCAACGTGGTTTTACTGCAAATGGCAAATAAAATGAATCTGAATCTTTGTTCATTGATCTTGTGCTCCTCATTCCTGCTGTTCTGTAACCGGTGATGCAACACTGACATTTCCTCACTATGGGACAAGGATCTCTTGATCTAAACCTCAATCCTTCTGTTTGTAGCCATGCGTGCTGGAAACCTGTGCTTTTGTCATGAAAATCCTGGGCCTGGAGATCTACTACGTCGTGAGGTAAACGCTCAGACATCTTTCAAACACGATCTAGTTTTAAACTAGTTTTTTTGTGTTTGATGTTTTCAGTGGTTCGTTGGAGAAGTCTCTGAAGGACAGCCTGCAGAAATTCTCCAACAGCCGGCGCTACGAGTACTGGTCCCACTACGTGAAGTCGCTGGTGTGCCACGTGGCGGAGGTGGAGGAGGAGGGCGTCTGCTACTTGGCCGAGGCCCAGAAGCTGATGGCGGCGTGGAGGATGCTGCTGGTCCTCGCCACCTCTCACGTAGGTCGCGGCTCAGTGCCATTCCTCTCCCAGGCCACACAATGCCCTCACGCTGCTTTCAATCCCGTTCCAGTCCGAGGTGATGCATCTGACGGAAGATTCCACCAAGCTCAAGCTCTTCATGGATGTGTTGGACGGTGTTAAAGCTGCAGTGAGTTTATGTTTTAATGTTTGTGATTAAATGTTTATGGGATTGTACTTTTCATGTTTATGTTTATGTTATAGAACGTTCTAGCACAATCACTTTAAAAAACATTGAGTTATTGTATTTCCCTATTCCCACCTCCCCCTCACTCACACACACATACAAAAGCGTCTTTGAGTGTCCAAAAAAGCGCTATATAAGTTTGATTTATTATTATTATTATTATTATTATTATTATTATTATTATTATTATTAAAACTCTCTCTCCTTTTTCTTTCTTTCTCTCCTTTTTTTTCTTTCTCTCTTTCTCTCTCTCCTTTTTGTCTTTTTTTCTCCTCTCTCTCTTTCTACTTTTCTCTTTCCCTCTTTCTCTCTTTTTCTCTTTCTCTCCTCTCTCTTGTTCTTTCTCTTTTTCTCTCCTCTCTTTCTTTCTTTCTCTCCTTTTCTCTCTCCTTTCTCTCTCTCCAGGCAGGTATTGACTATTCAATGGATAAACACATAATAAATACATGATATAGTTCTATACATAATTTTGCTCATTTCCGAGCTCGACATTAAAAAGAGAGACGTGTGAATCTGTAATGTTCATAAACACAAACATGTTTAAAGCTGCAGTGAGTTTGTGGTAAAATCATCATGTGTTGTGTTTCCATGACTGAGTTTCTGTTTCTGTTTCTTTGCTCTTCAGCTCACGACTCCCTCCTCTGTGCCTTGTCTCCGACTCGGGTCCATGATGGCCACTCTGCTGCTCATCCTCCTCAAACAGTGGAAGAGGTTTGTATGTTGTCGTTAATATATGTATCAAAAGCAGTCATTTCTGGACTATACTATACTCCAGTAAATACACTATATTAATACATTTGTGTAAGCTGGGATTAGTCAGAGCAAAGGAAAGTTTCTCAACAAGATACAAATGAGAAACCTTCCTTTGCTTTCACTATGAATAAATTAAATACATGAAATAAGTTACATTGAAAAATAAAGATTAAAAAATCAATTGAAAATAAATACAAAATTACATACTGCACCAGTTTTTTCAAGTTCTTTTAAACCCCGAGGCCCGCACAGAGATGCAGCCAATAAATGTGTTTTTATTGTGTTGAGTTTCTTTCGGGACACTGATGAAGGTTTTGGGAACTGCTCTTTCACAATGAGACGAACGAAATGCAAAGGACGTTTTTATGTGAATAGAGCTGTTGTCAGGAGAGTAAGTGGATCAGGTTCAGCAGCTAATAGGACACATAAATACATGGGTAAATGTGTCCCGACATTAAATCTTAGCTAAGATGAAGATGCAAAGGTGATGTTATTGTTTGCCTCCTCAAAGTTCAGTCTTATTCACCTTTATCTTTCTCCATCACAAGTCGACGGTGAATTAAAACACCTCGTCCTGTGTTTTGCTCCATCAGCTGTCGTCTAAGTGTCACATTACAACCTGAAAACCTACGGCGCTGGAGTTCCTCCAGGTGCTCCGGTTTCCCCTACCACTAAAACCATGTACAATAGGTCTGCCATGCGCCTCCTGTATGTCGACCCCGCCCCCATCTCTGTGAAGAGTCAGAGACAAACGCCCACAATGATTGTAAAGTGTTTCGTGACCCGCACTACTATTTTATTTATTGTACGTAATATATCACGCAACAAAAGAGACTATATTTTCACCTTTTAAGATGTTTGTACACTTCCTGTCTTTATGCACACCCTGAGTGATCCTATCTATGCCAATTGTGACATGTAATTTCACCATTGTGAGATCTATAAAGTCTTATCTTGTGAAAGGCGCCGTATAAATTAGGATTACTTACTAAATAACTATTCTTGTATGTTCTCTTGTCTCCAGTGTGGTAGCTGCGGCGCCTGATATCCTCTGCCCCCTCTCTCTGATCCTGGAGAGTGTCCTTCAGGCCAACCAGCAGATGATGGAGAGAACCAAAGCCAAAATCTTCTCCGCTCTGATCTCTGTGCTGCAAATCCAAGGCCTCGACGGTACGGACGTTTGCGAGCGGTTTAGAAACGCACACAGGAAGTACGTACGGTCTGACTGTCGCCGCTGTTTCAGGAGGCGAGATCTCTCAGCTACCTCAACTCCTCCTGTCCGTCTGCGAAACTGTGAAAGACGAATCTCTGGCTCTCATCGACAACACGCGTCTCATCGGTCGAGCGGCAGAGACGGCGGAGGATGATGACTGCATGGAGACGGACTCCCCCCGCGGGCAACAGAAGGATCGCAGAGACGGGGTGAGAAGCCTCGGAAAGTCAATCAATGTTTATTTCTAAAGCACAGTTCAAACAGAATGAACGCCAAAGTGCTTCACCTTGACAGTATTTAGATCAATTAAAACACTGTAAAAACATAGACTAATGAAAATTGGGAAAATAAACTTTATAGAACAACACCTGATGATCCACTGCCTGATGATGATCATCACTCATAGGCACGACTAAAAAGAACCATTTTCAGTCTAGACTGAAGAAAGATGATAACTTTACATGGGAATTAACTGGGAAAAGTAAAGGTTTACTTTTTATAGGAAACTTAAATACTGTTGAGGACTGTATATTTTGTCATAATCATGACTAAAACAATAGAATTCAAATACACTGAAAATCCATGTCATTCCTCAATCACAGGCACACAGCACTGCTCCCTGTGGCTACTGAGACCACGCCCCCTACTGGCCCTGCACCTCCATCACATGTACAGAGGATTTATAGAAGACTGGACCAGACTTTTGAGCCTAAAGCACAATAATATTCAGTCCAGTATCAAATCTGTGCCTTGATCTCTTACACATACATCTGTTGTATCAAACCCAAGATTTCCATCAGATATTTAAATGTGATTACATTGCCAGTTATTGAATATTTCTATAATTCCCCTGCTTAATTTCCCGTGGAAAATTAGATGAAACTTTGCAGAAAGTAACCATAAATTCTCCACCCTTTGCAACCCTAACTTGAATATAGCTCAGGTAAACGCCTGTCTTACACTCAGGAAGATTGTCCCAGTTTTTAGGAACGCTGCCTCCTCCTGTCTCGTCATTTTAACGTTGCGTAGAAGTTTAAAGCTGCAGTACCTCACTTTATTTTTGTATTCATTACAAAAATTCAAGTCGTGGGAGGGCGATACCTTAGTGAGTGCGGGGAGGGGAGCAGAAAGAGCAAAGCCAGCGCTTGCATTTGAAAATGTGTTGTGTGAGTTGGTGCAGCTTTAAGTGTGTTTTCTCCTGCAGGTGTGTGTCCTCGCTCTGCATCTGGCCAAAGAACTGTGTCGCAGCGATGAAGACGGGGAGCAGTGGGTGTCGGTGATGAGGAAGGTCCCAGTTCTGCCGTCTGTTCTGAGCGCTCTGGAGCTGAGCCTGAGATCCAAACACAACCTGTACTTCACCGAGGCCGCGCTGCACCTGCTGCTCACTCTGGCGCGCACTCCACAGGTCAGGACCAGACTCTTTACTCTCTCTTGTCTCACCTGATACTGTAATCGTCCAATATCACAGATCATTTCAGAGCCACGGCCCACAGGTTGAACACAGTCTCCTTGTCATCTATGTTGTTATTATACACTGTACTGTTCTTACTGTTCTCAGGGAGCTGCAGCGGTGGCGGGCGCTGGCATCACTCAGACCATCTGCCTTCCTCTCTTAAGTGTGTACGAAGTGTCCACATCTTCTCAGGTATGAACTCTTTATTAAACAGAAACCTCTTCAGTCCACGACACTAACTAAACATGTGACGGCAGAGTTTCTCACGGAAGTCCCAGGACTCTGCGTGTTGGCCCAGTGTGTACCGTCTGTGCATGTCTCTGATGGAAAGTCTGCTCAAAACTCTGCGTTACACGTTCATCAACGAAGCACTGGACTTTGTCGGAGTTCATCAAGAGCGAATGCTGCAGGTGAAGAACGGCTCCAATAATAATAATAATGATGATGAATAATACATTGTACTTGTGTATTTTGGTTCTCTCGAGACGCTTGAATCGAGGTTGATAATGGTTCATGTTTGTTCTCAGTGTCTGAACGCGGTCCGCACGGTGCAGAGTCTGTCGTGTCTGGACGAGGCCGATCACACGGTCGGCTTCTTGCTTCAGCTTTCTAACTTCTGTAAAGAATGGCAGTTCCATTTGCCCAAACTTCTTGGAGACATTCAGGTAAAACTGATGAACCAGAGTCAGTTTCTCTGCTGCGGTCTCTCACCGCTGTTTTTGCCACAGATCAATCTGTGTTTCCTGTGTCAGACCTGCACATATCTGCTCCACAGCAAGAAGATGCTTCATCACTACCTCCAGGTCTGACCCTCACTGACTCCTCTTTCACATCGAAGCTTTATCACTTTTTCAAATGCATTTGTTTCAGGTGAAGAATGGGGAGGCGCTGCCCCCAGGTCCTCTCTCCAGAACGGGTCGACTGCCTCAGACTCCGTCAAAAGACGCTCCCAGTGGAGGAGAGCGAGAGGAGGTGGAGCAGAAGGCTCTGTTAGCCGTGCAGTGCAGCCTCCTGAAGATACTCAGCAAAACGTTAGCAACGCTGCAGCACTTCACCCCAGACTGCTGCCAGATCCTCCTCGATCAGGTGATGACTATTGTCATTGTTTCAATGCTTTGCATAAAGGCACAAAGATAATAACAGGTCTGTGTTTTCTCAGTGCATGGACTTAGCAGAATACAAAATCCTCTTCGTGCTGAGTTTCACCACTCCTGCATTTGACCCGGACGTCCCTCCTTCCTTTGGGACGTTGTTAGCCACGATTAATGTAGCTCTGAGTATTCTGAGTGAGGTCAGTCTTCAACATCAGAATGAAGCTTTGTGAGGTACTTTACTGATCAGGGTTTTACTTTAGATCGAGAAGAAGAAAGAACCAGCGTCTTTAAGCATCGTGTCACTCGCATCATCAGAGGAAATCCAAGCCCTGAAGTACGACATCTGCCATTTATATCAGAAACATTATAATATAGTGTTTGCAAAAGAATAATCCTGTATTTTCTGAAGGTCGTTGCTGTTGTTCACGATGGAGAACTGCTTCTATGTGCTGATCTCGCAGGCAGTTCGCTGTCTCAAAGACCATTCGATTCCTCCCAGAGACAAACAGCGGCTCAAACAGGAGCTCTGCTCTGAGCTGGTATGTTCTTATGTTTGTATGTTCTGCTGCCTCCTGTTTCACCCAAAGCTAACGTCACACGTGCCTTGTTTCCAGAGCACTCTTCTGTCCAGTTTGTCGCGTCACTTCCGCAGAGGATCCCCCTCGTCTCCTGCCAGCAGCGTCCTGCCCAAAGGAGCTGCTCCCAAAAACTCAGAGGGACAGGAGCCGTTGATCCAGCTGGTGCAGGCCTTCGTCAGACTCGTACAGAGATAGTTGTCGTTTTGGTGAAACATCAGAAATGACTAAACTGTCATCAGTCGTTGGAGTCGAGTGGCAGACTTGCGTTACACCTAAAGGCCTAGTTATATAGGTCTGACATCAGGCTCCTGATGTTGCTGTAAATGCACGAGCTTATTTTGTATGAACCTTCTGTAACCGGGACTTTTATAACAGACCAATCCTGTGCCTATGTGTCGAAATAAAACCACTTTTGTATCAGCAATGATTTTATTGTTTTATAAAAAATGCTGAAATTTGTGGATCATATACAAACACCAAAATAAAACATGATGCTGTTAAAAAATACACAAACTTTAGGAAAATATTTAGTACCGACATCTTTAAATAAATAATCCATAGCAGTTTATTTACAGGGAGAGAGCGTCGCTCTTCTGGCCCTCTAAAGTGCAGAGACGCTTCCAACAGCTGCTCCTGGGTCTACAGACTGTTCACCGGGATCTCCTGTAAGAAAACATGTTAGATTCACTTTAACTGTGTATGAATTAACACAATCCAAACTCAGGATGATGCTTCACTGAACACAGACTGAGCATCGTTCAAACAATGTTTTTGTGTCTGGTGCAAAAACAAGCAATCCAGGGCAGGTTTAAAGGAGAACTTGTTCATGCATCTTTTCTTACTGTTGGAGGCGAGAACAGGAGGTAAAGGGATCTTTTTGTAAAAGTCCAGAAGAGTTTGGAGCATGCACAACACGAGCTTCATGCTCAGATCCATACTGACCTTCAGAGGCCGCTCCAGACTGACCTTGGAGCCCAATGAGGGCACAATAATTTGTCTACCATTGTTTAAAATAAAGAATAAGAAAGTAGGAGAGTGATTTTCTTCTGCATCATTTAAAAAGTATTTATGAAAATGTAAAACACTCACCTCTAAGTTTCCTCGTGCCTTTTTCAAAATGCCGTGAGTCACGGACACTGCAGAACACAAATGTGGATCAATGAGAACCCGAGTTTCTCCTGAAGAGCGCGACACAGAAACAGTCCTTACACTGATCGATGATGACTCTTTCCATCCCCTCCTTCAGTTGGTTTGTCGTCCCCAGACGCTTCACGGCTCCATTCAGCATCTTCTCCTGCTGCACCACTCTGTTCTTCAGTCTGGAGATCTCTCTCTTCAGCAGCTCGTCCTGAGATGCAGGAACAGTTCAGATCAAACAGAACAGTGTTTCTGTGATGAAGAGGAGGAGGAAGAGGACGAGTGGTTAGCTACCTGCTGGTTGTGGCCCTGGTCTTGTGTCGTCACGGTGACGGGCAGCGACACTCGCCACATGAGTTTGAGCAGACGGTTGGCTTCCTCCAGGACGTGCTGCTGTGAGTCGATATTAGAGCACAGAGCTCTCAGAGGCTTCTGCTCCTCGCACTGAGCACAAGAATGAGAAAGATTCACTTTAGATTCACTTCATCATGAATGAGTCAAAGTGAAACGTACCTTTTCTGAACATTGTTCCTTAAACAACAGTAGCACTTCCTGCAGTTGTGCGTCCATGGTGTGCGACAGTTTACAGCCTTCAGAGATGTGTTTCCCCAGAGCGCTGTAGTCCTCAGTCAGACCCAGGACGTGGCGGCCATTACGGCTCGCCCACATGCGGTGACCGGGGACGAGGCGAGAAGGAGCCTCAGAGCTCTCCATAGAGCTGCTGCTCCCTGAACCTCCGTCCACCACTGCCCTCTGCTTTTGATCTGGAAACAAACACTTAATTTTTATCTTAACTATTTTAAGAACGTTTTTAAAATCACTCTTCAAACCGTGGTTGTTTCTTGCACGTTCTCTGCGTTGTGTGCTCCGCCCCTGAGTCGCTTCATCTAAAACACAAGTAAATAAAACTAAATTTACTTCTTTTTACATCATACATTTCTGTTCACTGCAAACAATGAAACAACATGAGGTCATCATTTCTTGAATCAAGTGTTCTCACCTTAAAGACCTTATGCCGGGTAAAAAAAAAAAAAAAAAAAGTGGATATCAAAATTGCATGGCAATGTCGATCTGAAATAGATTCCGGCAACAAAAATCCTATATTTTATAAAAAGAATGATTTTAAGTTGTCTATGCTCTAACCTGTGTGTGACGTCACAGCGGGTTACGCTCATGCATTGAAAACCATGGATCTATGCCACAGGACTGCCTTTTCTCTCTTCTCTCCACTGATGCCCAACACAATACTGCACTCTACAGGTGACAATTGCTCACTACAAATAAATTGCCGTTTTGAGAGTGAAAATGTGTCTCAGTTGGAATTTGAACCCCAGTATCTGGAGTGACAGTCCATCGACACAACCACTGGACTATCTCAGTGCCAACAAAGTGTTACAATCTAGTAGTAATCTCACACTCGCTGTACACGGCCTTGTCATCTTGAATATCCGCAAAAAAAGAACGAATACCAAATTGTAAATGTAACCCACATGAGTTAGCGGCTCAGTCCCTGCCCCGTCCCTGTCCCGTCCCTGTCATTTTATTTTGGCGGGCCCATTTCCCTTAAACCTGTCCCTTTAAACCTGGAACATCCGCCTACTCAGCCCCGCTGCTATTCAAGCTGCTCCTGCTGTGGCGTTGTCATTTTGAGTCATTGAGACAAAATACAGCCTCCATTCTGCATTCTAATCAAGCCAAACGCTGTTACGGGCGTATTTCTTGTGATCCCGTTACCGGTGAGTCAATCTGCTCTTTTGGTTTTGTGTGTTAAAGTAATCATCCGTATCATAGCGTTGACATGCATTCCGTCGCATCCCTGCAGATTGCTTTGGTTCTGTCATCTTCCCAGAACACTCATAAGCCTTTTGTAACCACCTCTCACCGGTGAGTGCCTTTTATTAGTTGTCTCTGCGTTTTATGTTGTGTTATGCACCGCAATTGTCCATGTAGCACCGATGCTGATATTAGCATACACACAGACATGCGTGCAGTCACGGTCAGCGCACTTATTCGCGTCTCTTTAAGTTCTTGGTTGAGCCAAGTTTAATTCTACTTAAACCGAACTGTACGGTACACTTTGCACATAATGTCAAAGTCTTTTGTTTTATTGTAGATGGCCATTAATGCCCTTTTCCCCAACTTTTTTGAATGAATTGCCTAAGCGGCTATATGACTTTTGAATTGGAATTCTTATTTGAAAATTACCTTTTTTATTGCGCAATACGATTTGATTCAATTGAAAATGCATTTATGTATTTTGTAAATTAGAAATTAACTTAGCTGTCTTGCTAATTACTGAAGCTTCATTTGAAAATGTATTTTGATTGTCCAATTATCATGTATCATCTCTAAGATGACAATGTTATTGAGATTTGTTGAGATTATTGTTTTTGCTGTTGCATATCGCATAGTTGCTGCTAAAGCTAAATTATGTTTTATTTATTTGTCTAATTGAATGTTTTGGTTGGCCTTATACAGGTCAGGTTTTTTTCCACCCACCCTGAACACTTCCCTTGTCCAACCACTTGATGGCGAGCTACCTACCCCTCCTCCTACCTGCACTGTGGTAGGAAAAAACGAACCTTATTTTTTCCTTCCTTTGGATTACATGGATTTAAACTGAGAAACTGAACTCTTGAGATGAACTGAACGTGAACTTGAACTCAGGACTATTTTTGTTTTCCTTGTATATTTGTTTTTTACATACATGTTTTTTTGTGTCTATTATTGATATTTGATATAACTTGTTATTAATATATACCTCTTAAAAGAAAAGAATACCTACCTTAAAAATACACAAGTACTTGAATATCTATATTTTTGTTGTCTTGTTTTAGTCACACCCTTGGCTCCGTGGCCGGACCTATTTCTGGTAGAGCCTAAGTATATTGGCCGCAGTCGGCGCCTAGCCTTTAATAGCGTTACATAAACAACCTACAGCGTTGAAACGTACCCACTCTGACATCACCAAGGGCTGTGAAGTTTTTTCGTCTCTAAGGGCGTTGCTATGGGGTTATTTCGATTTGGGGGGATCAGACAAAAAAAACAACAACTGATTTTGAAACCTTTAGTAGTTCTCTTCTAATATAAAATGGTATTAAAACTGTATTTCTAAATAAATCAAACCCGGCATAAGGTCTTTAATCTGAGCACATTCTGACTTTCTTAAAACACGATTTAACAATGGGACAAAGCCATTTTATTTTTTATTGTACATAATTATATCCTGCACAGACTATATTTTTCACCTTAAACATGTTGCACACTTCTGTCTTTTGCACAATCTGAGAGATTTCTATCCAAGCCAAATGTGACAGGTACATTTATCCAGTTTGAGATCAATAAAGTCGATCGAGACATTTCTTGTATCTTTTTAAAACAAGATCAGTTTGCTCTTTGTCCCATTGGCAAATCTTGTTTTAAGGCTCAGTCAGAATGTGCTCAAATTTAGACAAATTTTTTCCAAATTTTAATGACTTTGAACTTTTTCATCGGAGCCTAAACCACAGATAAACCAACTTGTGTCATGAACAGCGGAGGCTGCAGTAGTGACCTGGAGACGAGAGCAGATAGTTGATGTTGATGGTCTCGGAGTGGTTGGTGCCGTGGTTGACCTGCTCCTCCAGTTTGCGCCTCAGAGCGTTGTTGGTCTGGATGCTCCGCTCCAGCTGAAGTCTCAGGTGTTTGATTTCAGACATGAGCTCCCCCAGGTCCACTGCCCCCAACGCACACAGCGCCTCGTGCCCCTGTGCCGCCTTTCCGTCTTCTGCAACAGAAAATACGACACGTTAATCACATTATTCTATATAAGGAAGATAAAAACATCAGCACTGGTTCACTGCAAAAATGATCAAAAAATTAGGTAATATTTCCTTAGTTTTTCAAAAGTAGTTTTTATCTTAATTTGAGCACATTCTGACTGTGTTAAAACAAGATTTGCCAATGGGACAAATAATTTTAAGTAGCAGTATATAAAAATCTGGCCAAAAGTGGTACTGCAGCCTCTCCCACTCTCCCTGACTTAGGTTGCCAGATATGCAGACGAATCCAGCTGGGACCATAACAGCAGAATAGACAAGAGTTTTGTCAACAACAAATCTATAACCAACACCTTTTTCACAAAGATAGAAATCCTTGTTTTGTTTCTTGTTTTGTCGTTCATGATTTAAGAATCATAATGAGACCTTTATAGTTCTACGGCCAGTTCTACGGCCAGTTCTACGGCCAGTTCTACGGCCAGTTCTAGCTCGACGCAGTTCTGGCAACCCGGATCACGGACTTTCTGATTGGTGAAACGGTGGAGGGCGGGACATCAAAATTAAAACAATAACAAGATTTAGGGGCTGTAAAACTAATTTTTAAATCCAAATATCTCTGAACTACTGTTATCAGTTAAAGAAGTATTGGAAAAGATCATGTTTTATTAAAGCCTTTTGACAGATTAGGGCCCTTTAAAGATGACTTGACATGAAAATCTTACAAATTGCTACTTTAAGTCTTAAGAACTGTTGCTTTAATTCCTCATTCCAAGGAAGACATTTCTGGTATCTTTTTAAAATAAGATCATTTTGCTTTGTCCCGTTGGCAAATCTTGTTTTAAGTCAGAATGTGCTGAAATTCAGATACATGTTGCCAGATATGAGTAATTCTTTTCACCTGTGGATTTCAGGCCTTGGTTCTTGAGTCTTTCGTACACTTGCAGTTCCACACGCAGAGACTGAAGGAGGTCGTGTGAGTCTGACAACTGCTGGCTCTGAAGTCGCACCTCACACTGCAGCCTGGTAAACAACATGTGTGAATGTTAGAGTATATCACAAACATTCTTAAAGAGTGAAAACAATTCAAACAAACACTGGAATAAAACAAGCTATAGATAGAAGCTCCTGATGACTTACTGATGACAGCTTCTACTAGCTTTATTGTTGTATTATGGTCATATGTTTGTATGGGGCTCCACTTCTTGTCATATCGCTTATTTCCTGTGTTTTTATGTTATTTTTTGTTTTTATGTGCTGCTCAAACAAATAGCCCTGGTGGGATAAATAAAGTATGGAATCTTAATCTAAATCTGAGTGTGAGGAGGGTCTGAGGACAGTGGTGCTGATCATGGACATTTAACCCGTTATCGTTGAGTCAAAATGATGCCTCACAGAGATTAAAAGTAGAGAAAAACTACACTAAATTAGCTTCTAAAAGAGTATAAATGACCCAGGGCTGGTTAAGTTATGAGAAGTCATCAAAATTCAAATAACATTTTTATTTAGGGTGTTTTTGAATCACGGTGCCCGGTCGATTTGATCTGAGGATAGCACAAGGGTTGGAATTTATCAACATTTATGGACATTGGTCATCCGCCCCTTATGGACCAATGGCTCTATTTGTTTTTATATTGTTGCATCTCCTGTGTTCTCTGATCCGTTGTTGGCGAATCGACAACTTTGTTAAGATTTAGGACTATACAAAAATATATTACGTTGAATGGAATTGAGTCCTGCACTTTCTGGCACCAGTGCGACAAATGTAGAGAAATTTAATCCAAACAGTTTGAAATGAAGTCTGAGCTGCGGCTTCATTTCTCGCTGCTGTAAAGGGCAAGAAGTCAGTCTTCTCCGACCCTGGAGCGAGTGCTGGGGCTGGATTCTTAAATGCTGATTCTCATGTTTCAGGTTTCACACTGCTGTTAAGGACTTCCTCAAATGTCTGTGTGAAAGTCTGAGAACCTGCACTTGTACCTCTGGAGCTCCTCTTTGCTGCAGAGCACAGAGTCGTGGAGTTGAGCGTTCTCTTGGCTCAGAATCTCCAGCCTCTTTTTCATTCGCACGTTTTCCTGCTTCAACACGTCGCACTCCTTCCGGCTCTGCTCCAGCTTCGCCGTCCTTCTTGCCACAGAGTCACGGAGTCTGTCAATCTCACTTTGTTGATCTGTGAAGAGACACATTTAATGATTAGTTTGATTCACTGGTGTTTGGAATGTACTTTTTTTATTGGTGAAAATACAAATATACAATTCAGGTGCAGACAAACAGACAGAAAACATTGTGGACATTTACATAGGTGTGTGTGTAAGTATGCAGTGGTGTGTGTGTGTGTGTGTGTGTGTGTGTGTGTGTGTGTGTGTGTGTGTGTGTGAACTTGTGTATAAACTTTATTGATCTCACAATGGATGAAGGAATCTTGTGTACTGTACAACTACAAAGTGACATTGTCAGTGCAAACCCATCCACCTCCCTCCCTCTCTGCCCTATATTTTCTGTATCTACAGTGGTGCATTAAAATCCATATCCATATCCATGTTTGTATACATCTATTTTTTACAGATATATATTTTTGAATGCACTTGTACCTTGTGACTCAGAGTTTAGCTGCCCTTTTGACGCTTGATTTAGCTGCTCTCGCTCTTGGATAAAGATGTGTGTGCGTCCTGAGACAGCAGAAACATGGTCACAACAACAACAGCTCTGTTAAAGTTAAGGTCAAGACACACTTTGTTTATCCCCGTAGGTCAATTAGTCCTCTGCATTTGACCCATGCTGCAAAGCCACTAGGGTTAGGGTTGGTAGCAGTCTCTAGATGTTGAGGCTCGGCCTGGTTCAGGACCAGAGTTGGAAGGTTTTAGCCATTTTACATATATTTTAGTGGTAGGGGAAACCGGAGCACCTGGAGGAAACTTACCCCCCCTGTGCTGTATAAGCGTGGGATCGTACCTGGCTCTCTGTCCACTTCTGCGAGTCTCTTCTCCAGTTGTTCCCTGAGGCTGTCGTTGTTCCGGATGCTTTCTTCGAGGCGTTGACGCAGAGCTCGGATTTCTCGCAAATGCTCGGCTAATAAATCTGTGGAGAAATGTTTAAAAGTGTATTAGAAATGCTACAAACTGGTACAACAGTTAAAAACGTTTTTTTCATTGAATACTACAAAATGGGCATTTTCAGACCCCCAAAACGCCAGCTTCATATGAATGATACACTCTCTCTGTTCTCTCTGGTCTCTCTCATCTGTCTCTATCTAATCTGTCACTCTCTCTGGTCTCTCATCTTTCTCTCTGGTCTCTCTCTCATCTGTCTCTCTCGCTCTGGTCTCTCTCTCTGGTCTCTCGCTCGTCTTTCTCTCTCTCTGGTCTCTCCCTCTCCGGTCTCTCCCTCTCCGGTCTCTCCCTCTCCGGTCTCTCCCTCTCCGGTCTCTCCCTCTCTGGTCTCTCGTTTTCTGGTCTGTCTTTAAGGCTGTTGCGAACCACTACCTGGAGTGAGTGGACCCCCCAGTGGTGAGGCGGTGTGCGCCCCTGGTTTGGTCTCAGACCCGGTCTCGCCCTGGTCCCTGCTCTGGTCCATGATGTTGCAGCGCAGGTCGAGCTCGCTGCGCAGCGTGGTGTTCAGCTGCTCGCTGCTCCTCAGTCGCTCCTGCAGCCGAGCGTTCTGTCTGTGGAGGCCCTGGAGGCTGCTCAGCGTGTGATCGGACCCCGGAGCTCCTCCTCCTCCTCCGCAGACCGCCCAGTCAGCCGAATGCAGTCGACCTGGAGAATGCAACATGAAGCGTGGAGTAAGTGCTGAACACAAACACTAACAAGGAGAAAGTTTCACTGTGACCTACTGCTACTGCTCCAATAAGCGTCACAGATTGGAACAGCAGTATTTGTATTTCACACATATATCTACATTTGCATAAAACACTGAATCTGAGAGGGGCCACTGAATAATGCAACTTTAAGAGGAGGTGGATTCGTAACTGGACACCTGCCCTGCTCCTCACAACATGTATTGTTCTGTTCATCACAACAGAAAGTAAGTGGAGGCATTGCTGGTCTTTCCCTTCTGCTGCTGTCAGACTGTACAATGAGCATTGCTGAGCCAGTACATGTCATTCATCTGTAAATAGTAAATATTGCAATCATGCAGTGTGCAATACTGCAATTTCAGTTCACTGAATGTCACTTTATCTACTTATTATCCAGCCAGACCTTATATAGATAGATATATTGATATTTACTTCCTGCCCTTGCTGCTAGCTAGCAGCTACTTATATTGTATGTTTTAAGTTATCTTCCTACTGTCCTGTAAGTGTGCAGCAAATTTCCCCACTGTGGGACAAATAAAGGTTCTCTTATCTCATTTATCCTTTTTGGAGTCAGAAAGCACAGTGGCCCCTCACTGTAATGCAGTTCACGTGCATTTTTACAGTTGCTTCTTATTCACTGTGTGTAAACTTTCGTATTCCATCCATCCATCAATTTTCTACCCTTTAATCCATTTCTGGGTCAGGGGGGTGGCAGTCAGAGATGCCACCCAAGTCTCATAGCACCAGCCCCTCACTGACCCTCTGCAGGTGGTGAGTCCACAGGAGGACGGCTGCTCTGAGTGTGAGCATAGCCTTGATCTTTCAGTGGGGGCTTTGGGCAAAGTGGGGTTAAGTGTCTTGCCCAAGGACACAACGACAGCAGTCATCAGTGGGAGTTGGTGGAGAAGGTGCAGAGGTGGGAATTGAACCCACGACCTTCTGGCCTTAAGGCCAATGCTCTACCAACTGAGCTACTGTCGCCCCTGAGCTACTGTCGCCCCTTTATAACTTTCGTATTATAATCATATAACTAGATTAACATGACAGTCATAAGAAACCCTTTGTGGTTTGTGTGCACCGCTGTGACTATACCGTGGTCTTTCTGTAGCCCTCAGTGTATGCACAGCCTTTGACAGCTGCAGCAGAGCTCAGAAAAGTGCATAAAGTGTGTGTGAGGAGTTTTACAGATTTCACTTGATGCAAATTATTTTTACAATGAGACAAAATAGGGACCACTGTAAATGATTCCCAAGTAAATATGTTGATATAATGCACACAGCTCCATCCACATCAGTTTCATGATCTTACCTTGTGTTTGTTTGGACTCGGGGCTGTGAGGAGATGAAGAGTCCAGGTGCAAATCAGAATGTGAGCTGTGGCGGCTGCCTGGACTCTGCAGGGTCTGGATGAGGCGGTTCTTCTCCTGCAGATCTTTGTTCAACCTGAGGGACACAAAGAAATGCATAAACAAAATTGTTAACGACACAAATAAAAGCACAAAATGGTTTCTATTTAAATGAAATATGTCAAGAGTTAGAAGCAGAAAAGTAAAGTCGTCACTGCACACGAGATGACTATGTTCACACTCTACAGCTATTCTACTTTAAACAAAACCACAGAAAGAGCCGAGATCCTGCCGTGTGACGCCGCTCCTCACTCACAGGTCCAGCTGGTCCCTAGTGCGTTCTGCCACGGTGAGGTTCTGATGGACTAAGAGGCTGACATACTGCTGCAGAGCCTCCCTCTCCTCCTCTAGATCCACCTGGAGCCTATTCATGTCTCGCTGAATCTGAGCTGTGCTGTTATGAAGACCATCACTGCTCACACCGGGGACAACCACACAATCAGTTTATCTTCTGCTGGAGCAGTGTTTTCTTCTGTACACTTCTGTACACTTGTTCTGTACACTTCACAGAACAAAGAAACAATCACGCACCTGTGTGAGATGCTTGTGCCCGGTCCACTCCCAAAAAGATGTTCTCCTGTTGAACATAAACATATAGTTTAAAGTGCATCCGGAAAGTCTTCACAGCGCTTAACTTTTTCCACATTTTGTTACGTTACAGCCTTATTTCAAAATTGATTCAATTCATCCTCACAATTCTACACACAACACCCCATAATGACAACATTTTCTTGAGATTCTTATAAATTTATCAAAAATAAAAAAAAAACTTCACAGCCTTTGCTTAATACTTTGTTGATGCACCTTTGGCAGCAAATACAGCCTCAAGTCTTTTTGAATATGATGCCACAAGCTTGGCACACCTGTCTTTGGGCAGTTTTGCCCATTCCTTGAATACTTTCCGGATGCACTGTAAATTTCAATCAGCCACAAAAAACCCACAAAGTGAGTGAGTAATTAACTGAAAAAACATCAGTCATGTCGTCCTACATTCTACTGCAGCCTTGATTAAACATCCGTCACATGCATAATATAGGGATCATACTTGTTTTGAAAGCTGCTGACTGTGGACAGCAGAGGATTACCTTCTAAACAGCGTTGACTTCTATCAAGACGTCCTTCCAGACTGTCCATGATTGCAATGCTTCTGTCAAGCTGCTTTTTAACCTCTTCCCCCATGAGGCTGTCCAGTTTAGCAGACTGTATCAGATTACTGAAGGCCTGTCCCAAGTCCTCAAGCTGCTGGCGCTGCAGGGCCCCCAGCCTCCGGCTGTCCTTGATCTCCTGTCTCAGCTGCGACAGCTCTCTGGCCTGTGACTGGATCAGCGACTCCAGTCTGAGGTCCAAAACAACAATGACACAGTGGAACTTTACATAAAACATGAAAGTATTGAATGAAACCAGACCTGGCTGGTGACGTGGAGCCGCTCTGGAGCTGGTCACTGGTGCAGAGTGACCCCCGTCTCTCAGAGCTGATATTCAGGAGGCTCGGTTTGTCCAGAGCTGCTTTGTTCTTTACTGATCCCTCTTCTTCATCGAGGGGTTCATTGTGGTCCTCTTCCTGAATTACTGATGATTCAAATGTGCTGGCAACCACATCACTAGATAACGAACTTCTCCGCAAACTCTTTAGGCTTGCCTTAAAGGACAAGAATATATTGTACCTAAATACATTGTATTTATTACTGCATTGAGCAACTTTAATGACTGGGTTTACCTTCGCAGAGCTGAACACGGGGGACGTAGGGTATGTGCTGGATGCAGAGTAAAGGTTTTCTGTGGAGGAGAAAGCAGCCTGCTCCTGCTTCGACAGTGAAGGCAGACTAGATGCACCAATGATGGGTTTAAAACCAACCTCCAAATCTGTGAGGAAACGCACAAACATCTCAGACACTTTCCCTCATAAACTGATGAGGATTCCAAGACAGAAGTGAGACATTCCCAAAGAAAACACATGCAGATTTTGTCAGTGAGAAACGGTTCCAACCAAGAACAGTGCAACAGCTATTAGACCCAGAAAAGAGTGAAAAGTGAGTTGTGGTCCGCTCTTCATGCAGAGATCACACCCTGTTAGTTTCCAGACAGTCTGCCTGAGATCCAGCTACCTGTGCTACTGCTCTCCTCCCTATCGTTCTCACTCTTGCCACTGGTTTCGTAACCCAGGTCCTGCAAATCCACCTGCACGCCTTTCTCATCTCGCTTCAGAGCTGGCGTTCGAGGCAAGACAAACACGTAATTTATAGGTTAATCGCTCAAAATAATTTACAAAACAAAAGAAAACAACCGGGTGACGGGGAAAATCATGAGTTACCTTTCTGTGCTGCTCCTGGACTTGGTGTATTGGTCATTATCGACTGCGCTGTGGCTAGTTTCTCCTCCAGGTTTTTGCAAGCCTTTCTCTTCTCCCTAAGCTCCTTGTGAAGTGTCTCGATCTGGTTCTGCACGTTCGGCGGTAAGGCCTTGGCGTTCTGCGCTTGTCTCTGCGCGTCCGAGCTCTTTTGCAACGCCTGGAGCTCCGAAATGCTTTGTTGGAGACCGCAAAAGACCTCGTACAGGACTTGAAGGTTGTGATGAGGACTTTGTGGGTGCTGGTCTGTTTTTTGATGAGAGCTGGGTTTTTTTGAGTTGTCTATTTGAATATTGGGCAGTTTGTCTTTTTCACTAAACGCTTTCTTTAACTTATCTAGGCAGGTCTGCAGGTCGGTGGAGCAAGGCGAGTTCGTACAGTGCGCGGTCAAAGAAGCAACGGCGGACTCGGTGGTATTAAGGCAGTTCATGAGCACCGTCATCATATTGTTACGCGATTCGTTTATATGAAAGTCTACACCCTCTGTCTGGCCATCTCTCTCTACAGCATCAGCAGTTTTCTTAGAGTTCATGTTCAGATCCCAGTGCGCATTTGGAGCCAGCTTAGAACTAAATCCAGGCTGGTCCTCTTGTTGCATTGGCTCATTTCTCTGCAAAAGCGCTTTGATATCAACACCTGTGCTCTCATCATTTGGACAGGGATTTTTCGAGGAATTCAAAACGTTATCAGCCTTGTGGAGGAGTTCTGTCAATTCGGAAATATACTCCTCCTTCTCGTTCAAGGTTCGCTCAAGTTCTGTGCATTTGATTTGGAGAGAGGTGTTCGAATCACCTACGTTGGAGCCAAAAGCGCCCTGGTTATCTAAGCTACATGCAGTCAAATAGGCAATCGTGGATTCTGCGGCCTGGAGAGCCTCTGCGTACTGCACGTTCAGACGCTCCTTCTCTTGTAGCTGTGTCTGGAGCTCCTTCAGCTCTGCCAGTTTCTCATGTAGTCCCTGAATAAGCGTGTCCTTATCCTGGCACTGCTGCTGTAGCTCTGGCTGTAGCGTGGGAGGGACGTTGCTAGTGCTAATGTCTGGCACAAGTGGCTCATGGGAAGAAGAAGAAGAAGTTTCCCACTCAGAGAAACGCTTGTCCCGAAGGCTTTCTTCGACAGCAGCTTCGGGCATTCTTCTCACAGGGACCGGAAGGCGAGAGTGTGAGGACTTTAAAACAAAAAATGCCATGAATACAACACCCCACATAAGACATTCAAAAGGTGAGAGATTACACACGCTTACCCCGACTTTAGTCACACCAGATTTAGATCCATCTTTATGTCTAGATCGCCCTTTGCTGTTGGATTTCTGCAGAGCGGATTTGTTTGACTTAGTTGGATCATTAGACGTTGTCTCTTTGGGGACTTCGCCAAACTGCCCCAGACCATCACTGCACTTCTCCAGAGACACCTCATCTTTCCACTCTTCTTGTTCATTCTCTCTGCGATACATGATAGAAATATATTGATAAAAAGTTTAGTTGAAACTGACCGTAATTAATTAGGAAAAGGTTCCATATTTTCACTCACTTCGGGCATGAGTCAACGCAGGCCTCAAACGGACTTGAAATGGTGATATCATTCAGACAAAGGCTCTTGTTTTTACTGCTTCCATACAGAGTTTCTCCTCTTGTCTGTTCAACTGAACTTGTACTATTTCCTTTTCTTAGAGGGTCCCCACAAAAGTTCTAAATTTGGGAATGAGAAAAAAGCTGTTTTTAGCAGAATATTACAGATATTGTGATTGAACTGCAAAAAGTTATGAAAAATAAGTCCAAAAATGCTCAAATTTGGCAAAAATGAGCACATTTAAAACCAGATTTGCAAATGGGACAAAGCAAAATGATCTTGTTTTAAAAAGATACAAGAAATGTCACAAAAAAAAGACTAGAATGTGCTAAAATTAAGATTAAAAACCACTTGATTCAAGCATTTATTATTTAATCAAAAACTACCAGTATTACCTCTTCCAGCGCGGCGTCCGTCTGGCTCCCTTCATCCCGGCGAGTCGAAGGCTGCGAGGATAATGACATGGAAGGCGAGTGACGCAAATGGTTTGATAAAGAAATAATAATGATGGGACAGAATCAAGAAAACACTGCACAGTAACAGCAGAATGGCATGGTGCGTCTAATGTGGTGTGACACAAGACCAGTTTATGGGACACAGAGATAAGAGAAAACATGTTAGGAGAGGATTAGGAAAGAGGATTAGTTAATAAGGAAACACTTGATAAAAGAACTACATTAGGGAAAAAACATGACATGCTGAGAATCTGAACAAGTGCTGCACGATAATGGAGAGGCGGCTGGAAGAGGAAAGTATTTTCAGTTAAGAATGATCAAGGTCAATAAGTCCCTCCCTCATCTATGGTCATGAGCTTTGGGTAATGAACAAAAGGACGAGATCGCGGATACAAGTGGAATGAATTTTCTTTGCAAAGTGGCTGGGTGCTCCCTTAGAGTTAGGGCGAGGAGCTCAGTCACACGGGAGGAGCTCGGAGTAGAGCCACTGCTTCTCCACGTTGAGAGGAGCCAGTTGAGGTGGCTCGGGCATCTGCTTGGGATGCCTCCTGGGACGAGTTTGAGGAAGTGTGTGGATAGGGAAGTTTAGGTGTCTCTGCCTAGTCTGCTTCCCCCGGGACTCGGTAACGGAGCAAGTGGAAGAAAATGGAAAGAGGAAACGTTTTATTGTCGGAATCATTGGTGTGGTATAATCTTTGCCAATCCTTATCGTGCATCCAGAGTGTGAAGGTTAAAGACGTTGGAATAACGGGACACAATAGCAGAAGGGACTAATAGGATGGATGTTTAGATTGTTATCACAGCTACTACTAGACCATTGTATGTTGTTACACAGTGAAAGTTAGCAGCAGTGTCTCTCTCTCTCTCCTACTAACCTGCCTCCCTCTTTTCTGTGAGGCCACATTCTCATCATCGTTACTGAGACTTTTCAGATGTGACTTTTCCAGCAAGCTCAATTGGTTCTGAAGGTCTCTATTCAAAGCAAGCTGCCTGCTGATGTAGTCCTGGAGCTCCGCCACCTAAACCAACACACAATATTATTGTTGAAACTGTATTACGTTTCAATTTGAAGTCGTCTTAACCTTTTCCACCAGTTCCTTAGACGACAACTGAGACAAGCACTCCTCCTGCTCCTCTCCAACACAGATGCTCATGTAAGATGTCTGATCTCCCAGCAACATCAAAGAATCCCCTTGTACAAAACGACAAAGTGCACATTTATTGACCAGTTTAATGACTAAAATATACAACTTGTAACTAAAGGTCTATAACCCACCTTCACTGGCTCCGCCCACACCTCCTCCACGACTCTGGATTGCCCCCAAACGAAACTGCAGCGACATATTCCAGCGCTGAGCATCTTCGAGCTGATTTCTCATGCTCTCCAGCTCATTGGGGTCGACGTGGTTCATACCTGTGGAAGACGGATTATTCAGAAATGTTGCATTTGGCTTCTACTACGACTGCTACCACTACAACTTTACACTCATAAACTCAAATACATTGTCTTTTCTGTATGTGAAAACCTGTTTTAGAATTACAATGAAAGAAGTTATGAAAAATATGTCAAAGAGCGGTCAAATTTGGCAAATTGTGTCTTAATTTAAGCAAAATTTCACTGCATTAAAAAAAGATTTGCCACTTATTTTAAAACAATGCAAGAAATGTCTCCCTTGGAATGAAAAAATAAAGTAACAGTTCCGGAAATAAGACTAAATGGCTTTGTCTCATTGGCAACTCTTCTTTAAGACAGTGAAAATGTGCTCAAATCAAGATAAAATCTCCTCAATTCAAGCAAGTATTACCTAATATTTTATAATTTTTTACAGTGTACTTCATAACAAAATACAAAGACACAAAATTACGATACAACATAGATATAAATAGCAGTGATATACAATAATATATCTCCCTATCGTGGATTGTGTGTACACGACAAGCTACTTATGCAGTGGATTCTCAAGACACAACTTCCGATGCCTTTAATCAGTCTTAACACTCTGCCCTCGAGGCGAAGGAACCTCTCTACACCACATTAAGCAGGTGATGTCACGAGATAATAAACTTAAGACTGTCTTTGGGCACTGGGCTCTATTTGAGGAACGCCACAGTTGCCCATTAAAGTGTGGGTATAAAATAGACCAGGTGTCTCCAACCTTTTTCACCCAGAGAGCTACTTTCCCGGGACGATAAAGGCAGAGGGCTACTGTCCCGGGACGATAAAGGCAGAGAGTTACTGTCCCGGGACGATAAAGAGAGAGAGAGCTACTGTCCCGGGACGATAAAGGCAGAGAGCTACTATCCCGGGACGATAAAGGCAGAGAGCTACTATCCCGGGACGATAAAGGCAGAGAGCTACTGTCCCGGACGATAAAGCTCTGGGAAAAAACTGGTGTGAACAAGCCTGATAATGGGTGCAGTAATTATTTATCATTGAATATTTGTTATACTAGTGAACAGAGTAAACACATTTACAATAATAAATAATGATAATGGATAAAACAATCTGAAATATTATCTATATTTTTTGTTAATTTCTAAATTCTTTGGCGAGCTACCGGGAAGGGGGTGGCGAGCTACAGGTTGGAGACCCCTGAAATGGACGAATAAAGAATACATAATATAGGACTGGGAAGGTGGAACATACATAAAATGACAAGACAAGATTGTAAAGGAAGTGAAAGACTGACAGTTCAGGTCTTTATTTTGGTCCGACAGGGTTAGAATGAGACAGTTACAGGATGGTGAGATTAAATCATGCTCCAAAACAACATGCAGGATTATGGAAAGACAAAAGAACACAGAACAGACAGAAAAGTGGTGAAAGGTGAAAATAAGAATACATAAGAGAAAGAAAAAGAGGTTAGTTGAGAGTAAAAAGCCTGTGCTACCGTTTCATTTATTCAATCTCCGACCTCATCTCTAACGAATAGTGTTTTGACTGCACCTTCTCCAGTTTTGACTTTGTGCATTTCTCTCTCTAGGTCGTCTCTAAGTTCTTCATTTGCTTTGATGCTTTCCTCCAACTGCTGTCGGAGGAGTTGCACGGCCGTCAGTTCCAGCTGGAGAGCGTGAAGACGTTGGACGCTAAAAATTGTACATTATACAATTATGTGTCATTTATTTTTGTTCACAGAATCGGTTGTTGTGCTGCTGTTGCTGGTTCTTACCTGTCCTGCTCCTTCACCGTCCGGACCAGACTAGAATAAAGCTGCTGCTCTGCCTTCAGGGCTCTGTTCAAAGCCTCGTGCTCTTGTTGTAGGTATTTAGAACTGGGCACAGTCTGAAGAAATGACACACAATATGAATAAGATGTGATATCCACCTCTGCTGCTGTGACCTGAACCACTGTTGTATTTTTTAACTATTGTTTGCAACTTTTAGAATGATCTATTCATTTGTATTCTTTGTATGGAGATGGATATTTTTCTGCTGCTACTGGACACCTGAATTTTTCCTATGGGGATCACAAAAGTAAAATAATAATAATAATACATTTTATTTAAAAGCGCCTTTCTAGACACCCAAGGACACTGTACAGGACATAATAAAAAACAATAAAAACTGGATCAACAGAATAAAACAGTAGTCAAGTGCAATACGGAATGGTGGGTGCGTGTGTTAGGTGGGGTAGGACAGTCTGAACAGATGGCTTTTGAGTCTAGATTTGAAGAGTGGATAGAGTATCTATCCAAGTAGCTATCTAAATATCTATCTATCTAAGTTACTATCTAAGTAGCTATCTATCAAATAATCTAAGTATCTATCGATCTATGTATCTAAGTATCTATCTATCTAAGTATCTATCTATCTAAGTAGCTATCTAAGTATCCAAGTATCTATCTATCCATCTATCTATATGGATCTACAGTATGTAACTGGAACTACAAGTGTGAAGCGTCGTGTTCATTATGAATAAAGTGCCATAGAGAACTTACTCATCTGTGCAATAATAACTTTAATAATGTCAGAATGTGCACATGTGTTACTGTCACTTTAATTAGTCACTTTGGCCCATACCCGCAATTTCCTAGTCTGTACATGCTGCCAACATGTACAGATGTAAAACATACAACTATACATTTCTTGCACTAGAATATACAGTAATTTATACATGTAGAGATTTCATACTTCTTTATTTTACTAAAGTCAGAGTTGTTGCACTTATTACACTACAGATAGAGATTTTATTCTTGTTTCTGTTTGATGCTAGAGTTAGAGATTTCAGTATACAGTTATCGTTCATTGATCTTGTGCTGTGTGCTCCTCATTCCTACTGTTCTGTAACTGGGGCTGCAACACTGACATTTCAAACTGTAGGACGAATAAAGGATCTCTTCATCTTTCGTACCTGTCGTTCATCGTCTCCACCAATAATGGTCCTCGCTCTCTGTGGAAGCTTAGGAGGAAGTCTCTCTGTTCTGCTGCTGGAGCCGTGATCCTCAAACGCTAAAGATTCAGGCTTTTGACCGATGCGATGGTAAAGTGTCTGCCGGGACAAAAAACAACAGATTAGAATCATTTGTTTGTGTGTTTTGTCATTTTATTTCAAAGCGCCTAATTCTTACGTTGATTATCTCATCCTTGGTCTGTAGGGTGGCTGTTAGGGACTCGATATTAGCCGAAAAACGTTCACAGCGAACCTCCATCTCATTCAACATCAACTGAAACCCAGACCAGCCACAGTTACATTTTAAACTTGAACAGTACTTAAAATATAATAATTCTCTCGATGTACAGACCTTCAGCTCCGCTTCTCTTCTAAGTGCTTTGTTCAGAGCTTCGTTGGTTTGAAGCAGTTCTTTCTTGAGGAGGATGTGTTTCTTTGGGGATGGAATATTGCCTTCTTTATTCTCTCCAAACCTGACACACAGCTCAGCTTCAGGAGCAAAAGAGGAAACTTTTTTTACCAAGTTGTTCATGGTGATATATCATGTTTCGACGTCTCACCATCTTTTTCTTCCAGTTTTTCCTGCATGATTTGAATTGTTTGTTTGAGTTCCAGGACACGAGACAATTCTTCTGTGTGTCTCGTCTCATGTGTGAACTGATCTCTATCCTTTGCTTGTTGCAGAAGTTTCTACATATTTGACAAACAAACACAAGCACATAAAGTTATATCAGTAATAATAGCAGCAGCAGGTAAATTGATAAGAGAATTATCAGACATAATAATGGTATGATTTTTATTTTTTACAGTGTTCAATTAACATTAGCCAAGAGGAGAGATCCATTGTACCAGGTTGTAGCAGCAGTGCTAATTTACACCTGTAGTCCTTGAGCAGGTTAAAAAACAGGAAAAGTAATAGGATACATGACCATACATTTAGCAAACAGAAATTACAATTGAATTTACTGTATGAGTTATAATAAAATGACCCAGCCCCCATTCTTAATTTTCTTTCTCTCATACATACATTCCTATAATGACCTCACACTCTCTAATAATAGCAGGTAAAGTGACAAGTGACAACTAAAGTCAAGATACTGTAGTGAGACGGTGTTTTAAACGTGCTTACAGTGATGAGAGCGTCCTTCTCCTCCAGCAGACCTCTGAGCGCCGTGGCCTCCGTCAGAGCCTCCTGTGTTTTGGCCGAACACTGTCTCTCCGTGGCGTTCATCTGCTGCTGCCGCTCTGACAGCTGCTTCCTCAACTCGTCCAGCTCCTGCATGCGCTGAGACAACACGCACTTGTAATGTTCAGCTGACTCCTAAAGACAAACAAACTCGGTTAATGACACCATGTGGTTTTCCAGTGATGACTATTTACCAATAACACATGGTTGATATCTGTGAATGACCTTGAGAAGCAGATCCTTGCTGTTAATCGTAGCCAGCAGACCTTCCACCGCGCTCTCGTTGTCTGCGATAAGTTGTTCTCGGACTTTAACGGACTCGGCCAACATGGCTTCTGCGACTTTCACCCTCTGACTCATCTGCTCGCTGAAGTCCTGTGAGTGACTCTTGGAATGGCTCAGCATCGTGGTGGTCATCTCCTATAAAAGAATATCATTTACAGGTATTTATATTCATATTGTATAGTTCAGGGGTGTCAAACCAGTCCTCAAAAAGCCAGTGTGGCTGCAGGATTTCAAACCGACCAAGCTGAATGTCCTAATGCAAACAGTCGTTGTTTCGTGCTTTACAAACTTTCCTTTTCTTTTTTCTATCTGTAAATTTTACTACAGTACAGTGTTCATGGTATTACACTAATTCAGAGAGGTTTCACTGAAAAATGCTCTGCTCTAATTTCATGGTCCGAACCAAGCAGACATCGCCCAGTGAATAGGAAGCTGCTCATCACCAGCGGTTACACCACCTCTGCTGCTTTGACCTAAAGCTCAGTTGTACGGATGGACGTGTTTCTGCTGCTGGACACTCATATTTCTCCTACGGGGGATTAATAAAGCATCTAGCTATCTATCTACACTAGACTCACTAGATTTCCTCAAGTGAGTCCAGTCTCAACCTGAAGACTTGAGAAATGGAGCCACACCAGCCCTCTCTGGAACCAGATTGAGACTCCTGGTATAGATTGTTCTGTGTGATGTGTGTATTCTTGTTAACACAGACCTCCAAGTCTTTTGCTTTTCCTTCCAGAGACAACTGCAGCTGACTGATGATGGCGTCTTTTTCCCTCAAGGATCGACTCAAGTGATCTTCCATTTCCTGTTTAGATCTTTGCAAATTCTTCAAAGTGTTGGCGAGATTCTGTAATTCCACATCCTTCTCCTTGATCAGTCCATCGAGACTCTACAGAATACAACCAAATTCATATTTAAAATGATTATTCAAAACCTTGAACCGTCTTGAAAGCCACTTACGTTAATGGTCTCTTCATTGTTGGAGACTAAATTGTTTAGTCTTTCCAAGTCTCGCTCCTTTTCCCTTAAAGACAGCTGCAGCGTGTGTATCTCATTGTCTTTGTCTTCGAGCGCGGCAAACTTCTCATCCACGGCTTGCTATAATGAACGATAATCATTCAGATTAACATTAACATAAAATAACACAAAATATATACAGTTAATAGCAGGGGTGTCAAACTGGTTTCAGACAGGGCCAGTGTGGATGCAGGATTTCAAACCCCAAACTTTGTAAAGCAAATTCAAAGTTTGTAAAGAGATAACAACTGTTGTGATTTAGGACTATACCCATTTCCTCAAGTGAGTCATTTTATTTATTTATTGTAGAGTCTGGATTGCTCCTATTTATGCCCAGTCCTGGATCTACAGCCTGAGTCCTGGATCTACGGCCGGACTCCTGGATCTACGGCCTGAGATCTGGAGCTATGGTCTGACTCCTGGATCTATGGCCTGAGTCCTGGATCTACAGCCTGAGTCTTGGATCTACAGCCTGAGTCCTGGATATACAGCCTGAGTACTGTTTCTACAGCCTGAGTATGGATATACAGCCAGACTCTGGGATCTATGGCCTGAGTCCTGGATCTATGGCCTGAGTCCTGGATCTATGGCCTGAGTCCTGGATCTATGGCCTGAGTCCTGGATCTATGGCCTGAAATCTGGATCTACAGCCTGATTGAAATGTAATCCTGCAGCAGTCCACACCGGCCCTTTGAAGACTGGCTTGACATCTCTTGCTTTAAAAGATGATTCCGCAAACCTCCAGAGCCTTATCCTTGTCTTTAAGTCTTTGCCGCAGCGTAGAGACCATTGCATCAACGCCCTCTGAGGACTTTCCATGCTCCAAGTCTCTGATCATGCTTAAGTAGTCCTGAAAATTATACACAAGAATGATCATACAAAAATGCATGCAACACATTGGGGCGTATTTACTAAGTGTGTGTTGGGTCTCACTTGGAGCTGTTGTTCTTTATTCAACAGAGAAGATGTGAGTTGTTGGATCGTTGTCTCGTGGGAAAGAACCTTCTGTTTGATCTGACTCAGTGTTTCCTGGTACTGCTGCTCTAAAGCACCCTCTCTGTCTTTTATATCTCCATTCAACTTTTTCAGCTTATTGTTTAGGTCCTGTAATGAATGCAACCGTGAAATCCAAACGATAACACAACAAATATTTAACAAAAGAAATCCCCTTCCTCACATTGAGAGCTTTGTCGCCTTTCTTCTTCTGCTGTTGCGTCTCTTCCAGCTCCATCTCCAGTTGCTCTTTCGCCTGCTGCAGTCCGCTCAGCTCTTGCTCTTTTCTGTCCAACGCACGCTGCAGCTTCTGGGTCTCGAGCGTCTTGGCGTGATGGTCACCTTGGAGCTGGGCCAGTTCTGTTTGCTTCTCCATGAGTAAGTTTTGATGCTCCTCTGCTCCCTAAAAAGTAAAAAAATTGGTGAATATAGGGATGTTTTTTGAGATTTTTTGTGCGTTTATGTTAAGACTGAACTGGTCATTACAACGGTATGACCTCTGCATTTTTTGTTACTTCCTTCAGTTGGGGGAGGATGTGGGGACGTCTGAACAGCTAAATATCTACATTAGACTTCTTTTCTCTTTCTTTTAAGATTGTATTATCTCAGTAGAAGCCATGTTTTATGATTGGTTAAAAGCATACACTGCAAAATTAGGTTATAAATGCTTGAATTGAGTTATTTTCAGTTATTTTACCTGAGCACATTCGGACTGTATTAAAACAAGATTTTCTAATGGGACAAAGCCATTTAGTCTTATTTCAAGAACTGTTTCTGTACATTTCTTTTATCTTTTTAAACAAAATCTTGTTTTAAGACAGTCAAAAGGTGCTCAAAATAAGATAAACCATTTTTTAAAACTTATTTTCATCACTTTTTGCAGTGTACATGAGAAGATCATAGTTTTCACAGTGTGCCAAATGTTTTATACCAAGGCAAAATACGAAAGCTCCCCTCAGCGTCTTCCGTGTCGCCACTAAATACGTTTGTTTTGACCTTCAGACCAAAACATCAAAAGGAAAGGTATTGATGTCTGTCGTAATGACCAGTTCAGTTTTAACATAGCCATAGCTTACCCAAGATCCATACATACTTTCAACTCAAGGTAAAAAATAGTGAGACCAACCTGGTATTTCTGTAGCTGAGCCTTGTGAGCTGCTTCTCTTGCTTTGGAGAGTGCTTCGTCCCGGTCTTCAACCTCATGACACAGCTCCGCAATCTGTGTTTGAAAACAGACAAACGATTGGTTACAGTTTGATTAAAGTCGTGGGCTCAATCTTCCATTTCTGTTTGATTGTAAACTCGCCTCGTTTTCTTTTTCCCGGAGGATTTGGGTGAGACCTTGAATTGTTTTGTCTCTTTTCAGTGCATTTTTCTTCTCAGAGTTTAGATCATTTTCTTTTTCCTCCAGCGTTTTAGTCAGAACCTGTCCATCAGACAAGCCACATGTTTATTAAAAATACATGTACAACAAAATATAAAATACATTCACAAACAGCCGTACCATATTTTCATTCTTGATGTCCGCAAGTGTTTTAGTGAGGTTTTCACTCTCATTTCTTGCCTGAGTAACCTCTCTGGTGAGTTGTTGATTGAGAAACTCCAAACGGTGAAGTTCCGTCTTCTAAAAAAGAAAAAAAAAGTAAGGATTTTCTGCATTGAACAGTTGGTGAGCACAAAAACAAGCTACCTTCACACTAACAGGAGTGTATTCATCGTCAAATTCTTCGGCCATTTCATGCATTATCCTGCTATTGTGTCTGCATTGGAGGTAAGAGCTACTTATTCTCTTGTGAACAGGGATATGGCTTCCCACTGGGACGGATATTTGATGTGCAGTGACGCAACGCAAGATCTGGATCAGGTCAGAGATGATGGAAGGCTGAGTGGAGCTCTGGACTCTTGTCGGAGCCTGCCCCACGGAGCCGACGCCAGAGCTTTGTCTGCTTGACCCTTTGACAGCTTTAGGACATTCAGAGTCTCTGTTGAGTGACTGCAGTGATGTGGAGCGACCTTTAAAGCCGTATCTGGACTGAGGAGTTTTGCGATGGACCAGGTCTAGGTACATACTCTGTGACCGATGTCGTGTGCCTCGAAGACCAGAAGATTTCATGGAGGATTCAAACCCTGATCGAAATTTCATGCCACCATGCCCTGTATTTTTTCCAGCTATTCTGTCCAAGCTCACACATCTTCTCATGCGACTTTTTGAATAAATCCGCCCTTTGTCTTGACACTGGCTTTCAGTGGACTGTTGATCCGAAAAGTCATTACCAGGACTGGTGACAGGCAAGGACAAAACACGAGTTTTTAAACTTCTTTCCGCATCACTCATGTCCATTCCTGGGTTGTTTTTCTTGTACACGTGCATCATGCACTGTATGAGGTGGTCTTTGTCCGCTTGTAGTCTCTTGATGTGAGCGGTGTAGTCCTCTTCTAACTGGGTGATGTCCACATCACACCTCACCACCTTCTCCAGTTGAAACACACATTTCCCACAGAGAAACTCACCACGACCATCACGAATAAGCTCTCTTCCCAGAACGTGAGAGAGAATCACCTGCAGCTTGTTTTTGGCAGAAGGGCTAAAGATCCAGCGACACTGGTTTCCGACCAGACGAGCTCGACAAATGCGACACAGGTCCCTCATGTTTCTTCAGATTCTTCACACGTTCAATTAACACAAAGTCAACTAAAAAAATAATGATATTGCAACACCAACTTTGTGCATCAGAGAAAGGCCCAAAGCTTAATGACAGCGCAGACCAATCTAAGCCTAATCTCTTAATAATCCCTGAGCCCGCCTTCCTTTCCCTCCTGACACTGGATAACCCTAAACTGATGCAGCGATGTCGACAATGTGGAAAAAGGTCTTTATCTTGACAACAAGCACAAACTCAGGTGTCACCAGAGAGCTATAAAAAAAAAAAATACTATATTCCAAACTCATACGCAATGTGGCTGAAGTATCTTCCCTCAGGACACAACATCAGTTTGCCCCACTGTGGCACCTGGTGTTCACAGAGGTCTCCCATCACAGTACTAACCAGGCTCTGTCCATCTTAGCTTCTGAGCAGGTGCACCACAACATCAAGGGTCAGGAAATGCTAATGATCTAAACATATTTAGACTCATTGGAATCTGAAAAGCTATAGAAATGTACTCCATTACAAGCTTCTTCACTGACACAAAACCTCTTAGTAACAAGCTCGAAGGCAGAAACTACAAAGACGATGGCTCTGTGCCCTTTTCAGTGCTGTCAGAATGCAGAAGAATATGAGAAATCTTAATCTTCTGAGTAACAAAAAAAGCACAATGTAGAAATAAAATACATACATACATTCTGGTTCAGTTTAACTCCCTACAATAGCAATAAATATCAGTAAATCTAAACTGTTTAACTATATTAACAGAGGTATTTTCCACATCCACAAACTCACCTGCGGTTCTGGAGGAGCTTTGTTCCGTTCCTCTCTTAAGGCCTGAAAAAATACAACCAAAATTAAACTTTTTTAAATAGAGAAGCATCATCTATGATTGATCCCACAGAGCTCCTCAGTAACCATACCTGCAGCTCCAACTCTCTGCTTGAGAGGAGATCAGTCAGTTGTTTGACTTGGTCGGCTGACGGTGCGTTTGTTTTCTCAGGACTGTTTTTCAGACTGGCTTCGATCAAATTATCCTTGAGTTGGCGAATAAGACTGAGGAGCAATCATAATAATAATCAGTTACACAGCACGGTTTGCCAGTCACTTACATTGACGCCATATATACTGACTTGTCCTTTTCCCCCAGAGCTTGCTGCAGGTCATTAATCTGGTTTGTGTGAGGAGCTGAAGCATTTAGGTTTTGAAGCCGTTTTTCCATGTCGATGTTTTTACATTTTTCTTGTTCCGCAATCGATGCCATTCTGTTGATCTCTAGCTCGGCACCTTGCAAAGCCTGAGGTGACAACATGTTAATATAAGTTGCAGAAATATGACTTTTATAGATCCGTTATGAATTAACATTAAAAAGTAAGTTTTTGTATAATCCACCACTCTCTCTTCAAATACAAAACACATTTATTTTTAGTTCAGCGCTGGAAGCAGGGTCAGCTGATGGCAACATGTTTTTGCTCTTCTAAAAGGGACAAAGTCTGTGTCAAAGGACTGTGTGTGCCAGGTCAAAACAGATCCAAAACAGTTTCAAATATCAGACCGGTGATTGGTTAATAAAGCAGAAAGGAAAGCCTGTAGTTACACATATGAAATAGTCTCTTAATTTATTTAATATCTGAAGTAGATACCGATTGTTTACCGTTGCGTGAACTTATGTGTGTACATTTGAGATTGAGGCAGAGCAGAGCAGGGAGTAGTGCCAGGTGGCCGGGACATTGAAGGACATTTATTAGCATTAGTCATTCGTCCCCTATGGACCAATGGCTCCTATGTGTTTGTTATTATGGCATTTCCTGCGTTGGATCTGTTGTTGAGGCATTTACATCCTTGTCTAGTGCTCCAAAAAGCTGTTGTGATTTAAGGCTATACAAAAATACATTGAATTGGTCAAGGTGAGATGGTTGTTTACCTTGTATATGTGCACATTTAATAAATTAATAAAACTACACAGAGATTGTATTACAGCTCTGTGTTGGATTTTTTGTTTTTTCTTTATACTCTTTACCATTAACAGAAGTCCGCGTAACAAACAAGGTGCTATACATTCTAACCTGCTCCAAGTCGGCTATCTTCTTGTTGAAAGCGTCCCGAAGTGAGTCCATCTCTCTCTGGGCTTGCTCTCTCACGTGATGTGGCTCTCGTGAATCACGGCCAGCGAGACTCTCCAAAGCTTTTCTGACGTGACGAAGGCAAAAACACCCGTTGAGTATATTAATTGCAGATAAATACATACTTAGATTAGCTTGAGAAAAACGTACGAAGCTGAAATCAGAAGCTCCTGTTTTTCTGCCATCTCTCTCTTCATAGACTCCAGCTCAACCTTCAGCTCTATATTCTAATAAACAAACAAACATGATTAAATATACAATCCCTCAGAACAACCATTAAGTTTCGAAGTAATTCACCGTTTTAAAAATGTCTTCTGTGGAGTCGTCGCATTTCTGTTGCATGCGTTCCTCCATGAAGTAAATGCGCAGCTTGAGGTTAAAGTTTTCTTTCTTTAGAGCTGTGATTTGCTGCATGAGGAAAAAAAAGTCACAAAAATTATTAGTATTATTCCAACACAAAATTTTATTAAATAGAAAAAACCTTTAGTTGTTGATTAATGAAGGAGACCATTGTGTGTATGTGTGTGTGTGTGTGTTGTATACACAGAGCATTATTGTAGCTCGGGTGATGAGAAGCAGTCATCTGTTAGTGGGGGTTGGGGGGATATGAAACAATACAAAATACATAAAACCGCTAATAATGTTAAGAAAACATGAACTAGTATCAAGCATTTCACAGAATTTGAGAATATGGATTTTCTTGATTCCTAAAGAGAATTGCAGATTTGTTCCCAATTAATCAGTCACAACATGTGTAAACTTTTTGAATAAACATGTTTAATGAAAGTGGTGAGACATGTGAAACTTGTACTGCAATTTCTGGAGCAATTCACAAATATGGAGGCAATAGTTTTGTTTTAAGTAAGTAATGTTTATTTATTTAGCGCCTTCACCTTGTACAGACCAGAATCACAAAGCGCTTTACAATTGTTGTGGGAATTTGTGCTCTCGCTCCACACACAGGTTGATTTTAAAATGAGTATCTATGAGGTAAAGCTAACAACTACTGCAGGACTGTTTTTGAAAAAGGACATTTTTGCAATACCTTTATAAGCACCTGCATAAATCATAGGTAATATACATTTACTGTGGAATATTCTCTGAAGGAAAAAACTAATCTAGGACAAGGAGTCAGGTGTGTGGAGATGCAAGCCCACTCACACTCGACACATGATTTATACTTCAACAACACATCACTTTAGTCTACTTTCCAACTACAAAAGCAGGCTTAGAAGACCCTCTGAAAAGATATTTTGCAGTTCTGAAATACAATCTGCTTTACGACGTTCAAGTCAAGGCCAAATTACTTACATTTTCGTAGTCTTTCATGGTGAGAACTTTGACAGGAGACATCTTTTCAGGAAAGAATGGACCTGAGCACAAACACATGTGGGTGATTCAATACAACTACAGAACTGGCTGGACTCTTTACAGACCCATAAACCACCACCCGAATGTGATGAAGTAAATTTTGTCCACATAGACGACACAAATAAATATAAGCCATAGGTTTTCATGTTGTAATGTAACACAAACCAACAGCTGAAAGACAAATGTTACAAGATTTAATGAAGCACACTGTTGACTCGTGATGGGTAAAGCTAAAAGTAACTAAAACAATAACATTTGAGGATGCAAGGAGCGTTACCGCAGGGCCTTTATCCCCACCGCTGTCACTCGAAGTTGCTTGCATTAGGACTGAAAAAACCTGCACTACTATTGACACCGTTTCTTCATTGCCACTTTTTATTGTACATAATATCCTGCATTTAACATGTTTGCACATTTCTTTCTTTTGCACAATCTTGAGTGATTCTATCCATGCCTGATGTGACATGTAAATTTAACATGTACTCACGTTAGCATAGCATGTTTAGCTTAACTGTTAGGGTTAGGGTCCATGACGTATATACCAATACAAATATTATAGGACATTAAAGGAGCGTCTTAAAGCTAATAAAACCTGAGCCAAAATAATAAGTCCATAAACCTTGCTCTGAAAACTACCACAAAGAAATACATAGACTGAGTGCTTTGCTGTAGTGGACACAAACAACTCAACATTTCAAAGAATGCTATAGCAATTGTAGATTGTACGATTTGATCAGGTGTATTGGAGTTCCAGCTAAAGTTCTACAAACTGCAGAGGACTCCACCATCTTTCCACATAATGCAACACTAAAAGGTCTTTGCCAGAGGTGTCAGTGCACATGACTCATTAAACTCATGAATAACAGATGTACAACAAATGCAGAACTCCTCTGCCAGGAGCAACAGGGATTCTTTCTTACAACAGCACATTCTAGAGATCACCGTCACTGCTTAAGGGAAGCAAAGGCAGCTTAGTTTTTGTTCATCCGTCTCTAGAGCTGTACCACAAAATAACGCATTTGAAATGGACTGTAATGATGAGGCCAACATGATATTATATTAGCATAACTTCCCACCACCTAAACCTAAAACACAAATCATTTAAGCAAAGTGACTAGTTGTGAATTCTGAAACATGAACCATTGGTTTCTGTGTGTTAGTTAGTGTTACTATTCCTGTGTTCAACTGATTCTCTGATCTGTGTTGACAAATCAACAATTTTCAATCAACCTCTTTCAAGTCCTACGGGACGACTGCTGTTGAGATTTAGGGTTATACACAAATTAATTGAATTGAATTGAGGCCTGACACTCAGCAGTTAGACACAAATCATGCGGATTGAAGGAACACAAAAGGGATGTAATAATGATAATTTTTATTATTGCAAGCATTTAATACAGCAGAATTTGTTGTGGAATACAGTGCTACACAGAAGCACAGTACATAAACAATATCAAAGTGCAGTAGGGATTGGAAGTCTCTGTATAGTTCTTTACAATAAATGTATCGCAAATTACCTAATTTACGATACATTTATTTCATTATTACAAATGAAACTAGAAATAATTCTTATAACTAGTTTCATTTGTTTTTACCGTTTTCAGGATGTATTAATTATGCATTCTTTACAGTATCTCTGAGAACCAGGTCATGTGGAGAGCAGCACCCCCGGAAGTGTGTCGGCTCTACTATTTTATGTTTTCTGAATGTGTTGACAACTTTGATGTGATAATTACAGTCATACAACACTTTTTTTTAAATCTATGTTTGTCAATTCTCTAAGATAGCTGCTCTGAAACAGGGATGGTTAATGGTTGATGTGAGATTTTATCTTTTTTAAAGCTAGATTCAGTATGGAATGCCAATTTTTCATTAACATAAACCTTAACCAACTTAAACCAAAACAAATTAAATGGCCAATTAAGGCGTTTCTCAGGTTGGCTTTCACAGTACAGAGAAATAAAAATGTCCAATCATAAATTGCGTTTTAGTTTAAGATAAGATAAGAATTCCTTTATTCCATTTGTTTATGACCAAACAAATGGCAAACATGCATACTGGCAGTCTATCCCAAGTTGTAAAAAAACACAAATATCCTCCCGCCAGAAGCTCTGTTTAAACCTGTGACCAAAGAAAATTAAACAAGCAATAATTACATGAAATAACTTAGCAAAATATACTGTACTAAATTAGATTGTCAGAACAGATTTTTAAAAAGCTCCAACTCTATATCTTGTAATGGCTAAAAACAAACCAGTCATGTGACCACTAGACTCATGTATGTTGTAATTTATGCATTTGGCTTCCTAGGAACTACAGATGACAACTAGCTTTGTAGCTATAATCCATCATATTTACATTGGTTTTATACTGATGTTCGTCACTGTCTCTATCAAATAAACAAATGATAAACAATAAAATAAAAATATTGTGCTTTGGTACCAGTAGTAAACATTGCTCCGCTTGTCAATCGCAGCGTACAGACTTGGTTGCTATGCGGTTGCTACACACATTAATTTAGGACATAGGACACGAGAAAGACATGTGTACAATCGTAGCGTACCTGCTGGGCTTTCAGTGGAGTACTGTGCAGCATCCATGGAGCCCGTCAGTCGGCAGCTGAAAACAAGAATGTGTTAGAAATAAAATCAGGAGGAAAAGTCCTTCTACAAATCCAGCTTCATCTCGTTCATCTTTCTACAGACAGTGTTCTTTTTTGTGATGAATCTGTGTCGCGTTAGTCACAGTGACCGGTTCTGCTGCGCCCTGAGGATGCTCCATAAATAGGCTATCGCACGACCACTCTGTCCTAGTCTCAACCGTGAATGTGTGGAAACGGGAGCATGTGTCAGTGGCAGCAGAGGCTCATTCATTGTTGACCGAGAAACGGCCGTGTGAGAAGGCTTTCAGTGAGGGACAATAGTCTGCTGTTGGTCCGTCATCACACGTCTATAACCGAGAGAGAACACAGAGAGAGCAAACATCAACACTACACACTACACTAGAGGCTCCTGCATGTGCGGCTAAAGGCGAAGGGTCAACTGATCACGATTTGTATGTGCTCAACAACAATAATGAAGAGACAGGGGATAAACTCATTCGGGGGCTGGATTGAAAAAAATAATAGCTGGTCAGACAAAAGTATTCAAATATAAACTGTTTAAAGCTCATCTTTGCATCTGTGGATAAAATGCATTTTTTACATTATGAAGGTATTTGGACAAAAGGGTTACTTTAATTTAACCTGACTTTGGAGATTATTCTCTGGTAGATTTTTCTGAACAAGTCTCATAATCTAGCACAGTTACTGCATGTTAAAGGATTGGCCAATGATTTATATTTCTTAATTAGCAATTTAAAATGAAGCGTTAGGTTCAAATTCTAGAATAAAATAAGTTATATTGTTTGTCTTCTTGAGAAAATTAGCTTTAATGCCTTGCCTTTTACTGAGTACTTTGAGTTGCCCTGTGTATAAACTGTGCTATATAAACAAACTTGCCTTGCCTTGGAAATCAGGTATAACATGCCATGGCAGACCATATTGACCTAGCATCAATAGTAATATCCTTCCATTTTCTTCCCCTTAATCCATTTCTGGGACGGGGGGGAGGCAGTCAGAGCTACACCCAGTACACTTAGCACCAGCCCCTCACTGATCATCCTGCAGGTGGTGAGTCCACAGGAGCCTTGGTCTTCTAGCGGGGGATTAAGGTAAAGTGGGGGTAAGTGTCTTGCCCAAGGACACAACGACAGCAGACATCAGTGGGAGTCAATCCATTGGTCGACTAAAAGGGGGCGCAACAAAAGCCCTCAAATCTATTGCAGTTTAAAGTGCCAGTGTGACCAATTCTTAACTCAATGCCAAACAATTAAACTACATGTTTCTATTAACACAAACGCATATGTACAAGTCATTCTGCCTTCAAACAAAATAAATCCCAAACATTCTCCTGATTTGAGCAATGTCTTCACATTTTAGGAATTTTCTCACATGAAGCCAAACGATTGATGTAAGTTGGTCAATTAAAAAATATTTTGGCCCGAGGAGTACTGCATTGACCAACTAACAGCGGGTAGTTTTAAGGGACATTGCATCATGAATAAAAACAACTTTAATAGGAATAAGGATGGCTCATCTGTAAACCCAGGCAAATCAGGACGATAAACAACACTGCGCTACATAAAACAACACAAATATTAAATACCTTGTAGACAAAGTATATTACAATTCAAGATAACTAGACATCTCAAGACCCCTATGCAACGTTGCCTGTGCCAATGATAAAGGACTAATCCTGATGATAACAATAATAATATTCCATCAGATAAAACATTCTCCTCAGAGTCACACAGGCGCAGGTCTGAGGGTCACACAGCTCGGGTAACATCTTGAGTTACCAGGCACGCTTTCCACCTGGGTGGCGGCACAACAAAGCACGTCAGAAAGAACACGAGCCACACATTCTAAACTATAAGTAAATCTGCCTCAAGGCGATTACGTGTTGTGTCATTCAGATCCATGGTTGTGTCATTTAGAGGTGGGCTATACAAAGAATTGTGGTTCCGCGTTAAGCAAAGACTGGAGCAATGGCAACCCTGAACTAGAATGGGGTAAAGGGGAAGTTAACACGACTCAACAAAAGAGTCTTCATGACATGTTGTATTTGTCACACAATAAGCGCTGTTAAACAAGAACATTTGTATTAAATCGGCCTCGGTCAATTGCTCCGTTATATCAGAGTAATAACACAGATAACTGTCTCACACCTTTACACCAACATATCCGTGTTTGTCTGGAGCTAGTTTTGAAGCTAAATAACTTGATGGTAATAATAGCTGACATGTATCCATAAATACTACATCGGCACCGTTGCAGAAGTGTTTTGATAAAAAGAATGGCTGTGTTGTTATGTTACATGCTAATGCTAACGTTAGCCAAGTTAGCAAGCTAGCGTTTGTTGAACATTACCTTCCATTAATATCCACTGGGAGTGTCATGTCGTCTCCCACAACAGAATCCATTATTCCAGGCTCACTTTCTCTACGTCCTTGAGTAAATACGTATCCAATTATCAATGACTTTGGTGCAAACTCCAGAAGCGGGCAACGGAATTCAAAACAGTCCCTAGTACCGCCATCATCGGTGTGGCGCGTCACTGTGACGTCACCTCTGCTCACGTGGAGCCACGGTTTGAAAATGTAGACGTCAAAGTTGTAATGGAAGATTCGCATTGCACATGGATAAGGGATTTTAGAGTCACACATACATCCCTTCTTGCAATTTGGAGAAGAGACTGGGTAAGGTTTAAACCATGGATCTATAATAATAACTTAAACTGAATGTAGACTCTTGGAAAAATATATTATATGTATATTTACTTATATGTGTGTTGATCTGTTCCATGAAAGTTATCTATCTATCTATTTGTCGAGAACATATTTTGACATATGGTATGGAGCTGCGAAGTGGGCGGAACCTTAGGATAACATTTAATAAATGTACTTTCTTAATTTTTGCAGGTCTTGTTGTCACACTTACCATATAGCTAGATAGATACGTTTTTAATATTTTTTATTTTTATTTTTGTCATGTATGAAAAATAAAGTTCAGATAAGTTAAAAATTAAAACACTCCCAGGACATACATTTTGGCATTTTTCTGTTAACTGTAGATGTAAAGGGCATGTATCAATGAGAGAAGTTTAACCACATTCTTAGTAGAGAATTAAGTAAAGAATGAAATTGTTTTAACTGATTCCTCCAAAGAGTGTTGTTTGGTCATTTGGACATTTGTGCTTGTACTGTTAGCTGACAATATAAGATACCAAAACACGAAAGTCAGTCATTATTAAGAGAAATACCAAACATTACATAATTCATATCTAGATTAAATACAATCCCTTCTGCCTGTATTCCTTATTGGAAGTCAAACCAAAATCCATGGATAGATTCAGATCATAAAAATAAATGACCCAAATATTCTGTCACTGTCTCAGAAACCACATTAATCCACATCCAATTATGTGTACAATATTTTTTAGAATTTTTCGGGTAGCTCCGTGATAAGGTAGCACAGACGGTCTATGGTTCTGACCCCTTAACAGCTGGGCATGAGCTTTTTCCGTTAATATAATAGATCCATGGCTTTTTCCCACTTGTTTTTTGAGATATTTTGAAATCAGTGGGAATGTGGCGTGTTGTTTGGACCTGTGCAGCTGCTGAGTACAGGGACTGGCTCCTGATGGTGCCCTGAGTCAGGACTAAACCTCTCAGATCCATGCAGCTAAAATCTGGAAGTCTTCCTGAAAATGTGAGACGGCTTTCAACTCTGACAATGTTCAAACCCAGGTGAGAACAGTTGTTTATCTGTGCATACAACTGAAGGATTGTCTCATCACTATTTTTTTATGTTATGTGATTATTCATGTTTTTAATGCATTGTATGATTGTTTATATCTTGTTTTGTTAAGTACTTTGTGTTTGAACTACGCTATACACAGAAAATAGCTTTACCTTTGATTCTCTGATCTTTCATCCGGGGATCGACAACTTTGTGAAGTCCTCCGTGACAACTGCTATACAAAAAAATACATTGAATTGAATGGAATGCTAATGAAACCCACACACAAAATAAACATATTTATTAATCTATGGACAATGAACAATGACTGGGATCATCTGTGGACTATTATGTGAAACCGTATTTGGTTAATTCTATAAATATTTTCAATACAATAACCATTCCATTTTGTGTCAAATGTGAGGTATTATTTTTCAGCATTGTTTATACAAATGTACATAAAGATTTTTCACAAATTTGCACTTATGGAAAATAGGCATTTGATATAACATCTATTACAGTACGTGGTTCATTATCCCAACACACAATGACAGACAACCAAAATGTAAAAAAAATAAAATAGGATTGCATTACATTTGCTCCCTTGAGCTGTAAAAAATAATATAACTTCCAAAACCTGTTGGGTAAGCTGATAATGTTGGATGAGTAATTAACTTCAGAAATTTGCAAGTTACAAATCATTAAATAACATAAATTACAAAAGAAGAATCATTGTATACAGCAATGTTTTTCACAAATATATACACATGTTACACCAGCTACTCAAGACCAACATTAGTATTAGATGAAACCCATACAATATTACAGACAGCTGCAAAGTCTCTATACAAAACAATGAAATGTTATGTTCCCAAATGCCTCACACGCTGTTCCTCATAGATACACGACATGTTTAAGTATGTTTCTGAAGAAGTGAGGGTGGACTGCGGTTCTGTTTGGAGGATAGTGCATTCATACATTGTTCTTTCATAATTCAAATCCAAGTCAGCATGCACTACACACAAAAACATGATCAAAGAGTGGTGTAATAACAGCACAATAGTTAGCACCTATAGAAAGTTTATGTAGCACCATACATTGGCAAGAGATAAAATAGAAGTGTGTGTTGCTTTGAGCCAGGGAAAAACCATGTCTTCAGGAAGAAGACTATACCAGGTTAGTTTACTTAAGGAAAACAAAAAGTTGACTCCACAGTTGTAAGATAAATACATCACCACTGAGAATTCTTAAATACTAACGCAATGTTGCCTTGATTAAACTCCATATCTCTGTCCCTCAGTGGCTTCCAGTCATTCACTCCTTACACAACTACATGTACTTTACAGTCTATGGTATGTACACAAAACGTGGTCTTTCCACACGGACTCTGTCTACAACACGGTGATGTGAGGATAGCCATACGCTTGCAGTTAATCGAAGTGAGAAGTGTTGTGTTTTGCTTTTATAAAAAAATAATTAGCTTTATATTGATGGGATCAAAGGAGATGGCCATCAATGATAAATAAATGGCATGTTTAAAACAATAGTTTGTATATTCATATTCTATTGCACATACATATTATTTCACATCACATACACATGTGTAAAAGACAATGTACAATTTTATTAGCTGAATCTTTCCCAAATATTACACCAACTGTATACAGTTACAAAAATAAGTTAACTATGAAAGTCCAAAAATAATTTTACGGACTAAGTCTCTGTCTTTGCAATGTTCCAGAGAATGTGACGGTTCTCTGAGTTGCCACACAACATTCTTAAGGAGCTTTAGCCTTTTCAAGAAGTTATTAGTGCAAGAAGTCTCCTTCTCCTTTTTAGTTCTTCATCATCCATTCTTCCCCATTCCATTGACTTCTTCTTGTCCGCTGTCCAATGGGAACAATGAAGCCATGAAGCAGTTATGGGGACTCTCCTTTTGGAGCTGCTGTTGGAGACATGACTCCACTCCAGCAGAAGTACCGCAAAGCCTAACTCTTTACATTAACCCTTCACAGAAAGCACACTGACCCCACCTCCAGGTGGTGATGAGCACCAGCAGTGGGGTTCGGTAAATTGTAGATGTTTACCACAGGTAGAAGAGCAGGGTCCAGCGAGTGGAGAACAAAATGTGTCTGGTGCCACCGTCCATCTTTGATCTGAAACACACAACACTTTATGGCACATGTTGTGACTTCAGGGAATAATCAACGAGAGTGTCTTCCTACCCAGCAAGTGTCTTCAATTACTTCAGGTTCCAGGTCCCCTCCAGCCTCTATCACATCTCCACTCCAGGCTTTGAACTTTACAGACCTGAGACCAGGAGCCTGACCGTCGGCAGACCTCCAGACTGGGAAGTTCAGGCAGTGGATAATGATGTGTTGCACGGCCTCTGCGCTCAGCAGGTGGAGGAAGTTCATTTGGACACGACCCACAGTGTACACCGGCTGTGGAAAACACGTTTGATCATGTGACAATGTTTACGCCATTCGGTTTCCTACAGTTTAATGGACATTTTAGTCTGCAATAATTATAAATACCTTAGTTACTGTTACTGGTTTGATGCAAGTTTGTCCTCCTCCAGTAAAGTTGCACGAGACTTCAATTCTATCTGATGCGCAGCCCAAGTTGGGGTCGATCCAGTAAGTGCCTGAGAAATACAGCGTTACATATTGTACTAGGATTTTAACTACTGTCCCATTAACTATTTACTACAATCAGAACACTAACCATCGTTTAGTGTCTGTTCACAGCTGTGCAGATCCCTACAGATGCGGGCGGGGTTGTCTTGAGTACCGAGGGGGTTCTTGAGGCTCTGGATCAGATTACTGAGGTAGTGAAGAGTCTTGAAGATCTCTGCACTTTGGTCTATTATCGGCAAATCCATCATTGGTTTATTCCTCTGTAAAATTTAAAGTTTCAAATTAAACACATCCATAATTGTTTGCATTCAGTTTCAGTTTGTATTACGTGACTACAGTATATGTAGAAGGCACAGACCTCAGTCTTCGGGGGAGCACGTATATGAATTGATAGAGCACCATCTTCTCTCTGTTAAAGAGTAAATATTTGGTTAGCGAATATCAAAATATCTATCATATAATATACTATATCTGTGTTCTTACAAAGGATGTCGGGATTGCTGGACGGCCCTACAAACACAAGAACCCACATCACAAAGCGAGTCTAAGAAAGTTTGTTTTAAGCCAACAAAGGTAGACAGACGACTTACTGGAAGTCCAGGGGGTCCACGAGGTCCAGGAGACCCCTAAAACAATATTATTATATTATTCTTTCCAATACACTCAAACACTTATGTAAAATAATACATGGCAGTTACAAATCATACCCTTGGACCCTGAAAACCCTGTGGGAAATGTGTAGAAAAAGATTACTAAAACTGTTGATTTTGTAGTCTTAATTGACAAGAGCATCAAACAACTTACAGTCTCCCCATGGTTGCCTTTCTCTCCCCTAGGACCCTATTCAATAAACCAAAAACAAAAAATGAATTAGCATCAAAAAGCAATATATTTATATGAATTCATTGCATGAGGCGATATAATACATACTGCACTTCCACTGGGACCAACAATTCCCACAGGACCGATCACTCCTCCATGACCCTATGGGGACATGCAGTATTAAGATACGGTTTAATCTGCACTGATTTTATAAAAACCTTATCTTCTTACCATTGAACCCTGTGGCCCCTTGGGTCCTCGGATGCCTTTCGGACCAAAGTCACCGGGAGGGCCCTAAATGAGAGTTTTTAGAAAGCAGTGAAGGTGTGAGCTGTATGTTAAATGTCTAAATTTACAGTAAAAAACATGAAACTTTACCTTTGGTCCAAAATCCCCTAAGATTCCAGGAAAACCAGATTCCCCCGGATCACCCTGAAATAAGGGAGGTACATTATCAGACACAAATCAGTCATAATAAACTTTGCTTTAGCTTTTACATACAGCCTGTCCCTTCAGTCCCATGTTCCCAGGAGGCCCGGGGAGCCCCATTCCTCCATGAAAGCCTTTCTTTCCAGATGGTCCAGTTTGGCCTCTAAGACCCCGCTCACCCTGCAGGAGACGTTAATTAGTTACAAACAAATAAACAAACAAACAGTATCCCATTCATTTTTAAGCGTAATTGCTTACCTTTGGACCTATGCCACCCTGATCACCAGGAAGTCCAGTAACACCAGGCTTTCCACGTAATCCAGATTTGCCGGGAAGACCAAACACTCCATCATCACCTTGCTCTCCCTGAAATATTTTCACATAAATATATTTGCTCATTCAAGACAATATTCTCTGGTAAATGATTACTAATTATGTAATATTATCAAGTGTTTTACCGGCATCCCTTTACTGCCATCCTTTCCAGGAGTTCCATCTGCTCCAGCGAGACCTTCTTGGCCCTCACGACCAACCACACCTTTAGAACCAGGAGGACCACTAACGCCCTGTCAAAATATTACACTAATTAACTATAATCTAAAAGAATTGTGTTCGACCAAATGGCTTGTCGACACAAGACACAGTGTTTGAAAGTCACAGTGTAGTGTAGTGTAGTGCACCCAGGACCAGAGGGAATCACATTAAAACAGACAACTGCAAATTTATCATCAACATGAAGCAATATAGACAGTTTTCATCAAATTCTTTTACATGAACAACAAAGGAAAAAGCAGCACAAAAGCCCAAACCTTTATGATCAAAGCTTCTCTCACCCAAACGCAGCTCAGCTTTGCATAACGCATGGTACTGTCCATTGTGGGACTTCTATGTAATATAATTTATAACCTTCACCTTACACCACATGAGACAGTTCAGTGTTTTGGTTTCTAAATTCCTGCTTCTGTTGGTCGGCATGTTCACACTGAGCATGTTCCATTAAACAGTGTAAGTTTTGAGGAGGGTTGATTGCCGGGTCGTTTTGACACATGGACCACGTTGGCCCCGGGTATTTTGCAGGTTTATTTTTCAGTGTGAATGAGTTTAGTGAAATAACTTGCAATGTTTTTGATTTCCTGCTTAAATGAACAATGCTACTTTGGTTGTAGTTTTCTTTTTCTGCCACCTCATCTAGAGCTGTACACAAACAAAGTTAATAAATGAGGGTTAACATATGATGACCCACCTCTTGTCCTCTGACTCCATGTTGTCCTATCAGCCCCTTTTTGCCTGTTTGCCCCTTGGAAAACAGAAAAAGGTAATGAATATATAATAAACTACATGTCTATAGATATACAGTATATTCTTATCTAATTACTTGAGCTCCTTTTGATCCTTTTGGTCCTTGTAGTCCGCGGGGTCCAGGTTGACCCTGTGTTTGGTAGAAAAGTACAATAAAGATTGGCTCTAAAGTGTATGATCGAACGTTTGTACCACAGACTGAGAAAAGATACATATTCTACATAAATACACAGCACAACTCACAGGTAATCCAGGAGCTCCTGTTGTGCCTCTTTCTCCATCGAAACCCATTAGACCCTGACACAGAAGACGCGGATATTCAGGATTCATGGAACTAATACAATTCATCACTCAAATATGTGTTAACTAACTTTGTATCCTGGGTCCCCTGATTCCCCTCTTTCTCCTCTGTCACCAGGAGGTCCCTACAGTAAAGAAAACATATTTAAACTGAACTTCAATACACTTCTTGCTAATATTAAGTAAAGAAAATCAAAACTTACCATTTCACCAGGTGGGCCAGGAGGGCCTTCGATCTTGCTGTCATCGCCGTGCTCGCCCTGGTGTGGACATAAAGAAGACACTTGCTTTTTTTGCATAAACAATGAACATACTCTGCTCTTTTAAAATCAATCATAATCAAAAATTATGTAGTTTTGCTGAGTTACAGCAATGATGTGTTGGTAGTATGCAGGTCCTGTATACTCATGTACTCAGGTTTCCATCCATCCATCAATTTTCTTCCCCATAATCCATTTCTGGGTCAGGTGGGTGGCAGTCAGAGCTGCACCCAGTACACAGAGCACCAGCCCCTCACTGATACACCTGCAGGTGGTGAGTCCACAGGAGCTGAGATCTTTCAGTAGGGGGTTTAGGCAAAGTGAGGTTAAGTGTCTTGCCCAAGGACACAGCGACAGCAGACATCAGTGGGAGTCGCGAAGTAGGTCTTACGGTGGGCTCAAACCCACAACCTTCAGGCCCAAAGGCCAATGCTCTACCAACTGAGCTACTGTCCCCTCTGTACTGAGGCCCCCGTACTGAGGTTTAGGTATGGATAAAACTAGCTGGATTTCACCAAAGAATCTGGCAACCCAATTGAGCTTAGCTTTCAGGTTGGAAAATCTGCTTTTGAAAAGTTGACATAATCAATGTAGACATCATGTACATTGTTTGGGAAGTTATACATAAATCAGCAATTATTTATGACAATGATCCAAACAGGCCAGATGTGATGAGTACAAGTTGTGAAAAGGTCAACACATAATTCAAAATACAAACCTTATACTGTCTTTTTCACAGAAACAAAATAATCAATGTATCAAAAAATTTATACCTTTTCACCTTTTGGTCCAGGGGGTCCCATTGGGCCCAAAGGTCCTTGATGACCCTGTAAAGAACACAGCAACAAGATTTTTGAATAACAGTACACTTTAATAAACAATCAAATGAATAAATTGTATGTAAAGGGTTACCTCATAACCTGCAATGCCAGGTTCTCCCTGTTGTCCCATTCGACCAGGAGCCCCCTGAACACAACATGTTTATAAGTAGTAATATTCAGAGTACATTTTTCGGATACATTTAATATAAAGATATGGGTTTTACCACGTGTCCAGTTGTCCCTCTTGATCCTTTGGGCCCCACAAAACCTGGTGGGCCGATTTTACCAACTGTCCCGGTCTCCCCAAGATGACCTATGTGACCTTTAGCACCCTGAAATAAAGAGCTTTTGTTAATAATTGTTAATTGTTTTTGTGCAAACAGTGAGGAGATGAATGCAAGTAAACTGTATTGTAATGTTATGTAAAATGTAAGAGACCTTTAATGCATTGTTGACTTTACTGTGTTCATTTGAAAAGTTTTAGTTTCGTGCAAATGAGAGCAGATACATGTTTAGAAACTTAAGTGCAACACATTTCAGTCTGACTTAACCCAGGTTACAGAGCATGTACCTTTAATCCAGTTTTGCCTTTTTCCCCAATTTTGCCTGGTTTTCCCTCAGGACCCTAAAAGCATAAAAGTACAAATTACATCAAATCTCTTTCAAAAGTTCAGATTTTAGAGTAAGAAAAGCAGCCTTACCCTGACTCCTATATGTCCTGGACTGCCTAGAAGTCCTTCCTTTCCCTTCAAACCGAGTTCTCCTTTCTCTCCCGTTTCGCCCTGTTGACCCATGTCACCTTTCTCCCCCTGAGAAGAGACAACAAGCTGAGCAACATATCAAACACTGACAAGACAAAGAAAAACAATAACTACCTTAGTACCATCAGGACCAGCTGGACCTGCCTCTCCTTCCAGACCGTGTTCCCCCTGGTTGAAGAGGTACAGCAATGCATGAACTGTAGCAATTAATTATATAAGCAACAAATTAGACCAATCTTACCCTTGGTCCTATCAACCCTTGTTCACCAATATTTCCAAAAGGTCCAATAGCTCCCTGAAATCACAAGTGTTCAGTGTCCTAATGATATATGGTTTAAATGTATTGAGTTGGTTTGTTTTGTACCTTCTCGCCTGGTTCCCCTGGTAGACCTGGTTCACCTTCTTTGCCTGGAGGACCCTTATGAAACACACAGAAGAGAAAGATATAGCCACTCAGAATCTATCTCGTGCTGGAGGAGTTGTTTTGGTCTGTTGTCAGACTTGCTGCTGTGGCTGCAGCTCACACTTGATTTAAGGCCTGAGATTGTAGCCCTGCATCCACAGCTCTGTGTTGTTTTACGGGACAGTCGTAAACTCTGCAATCTTGCTTACTTTCAGAGCACTGCGGGCGTTTGGGACATGTAAGTGAATTCAACGCTAAGGGAAAAACGTGGAGAGGATTTCTACCAAAATAGCGCTTTTCTTGCATAAGTGGATCGGAGTTGATTTTGAACACACACAGAACTATCTTATTCCAAGGGAGAGGCACAGGTGATTATAACGACTGTGTCTCAATACAAGGGTCAGCTCCATGGTCTCTCAGTCTGGAAGTTAGAGTGACCCTGTTCATTACTAGATCAATGAACTTGAGGACACATTTCTCTATGGGGAAAATAAAGTAAACATAAAGTATACATAAATCACAACAGCAGTTATCTCAGAGGAATTTACAAAGTTGTCGATTTGCCAACAACAGATCAGAAAATCAAACAGATAAAACACAGGACCTGCAATAATAACCAACACATATGAACCATTGGTCCATAGTGAGCAGGACAGCCGATGTTCATGAAGGTTAATGAATATCCATAAACGTCCTTAACTTAACTTACCTGTGACTTGGGTCATTCTGAATTATTTACTTTTGCCAAAAACAATGTTTGTCTCTCAAGTGTCTCACCTTGTGACCGATTTCGCCTAAAATCCCCACAGGGCCTGGTGGTCCAAGTGGGCCCTAAGAAGAACAAATTACAAATAATGTGTAATAGATATCATGGAAATGTTGTGTAAAACAAAGATTTCTATTAAAAAAAGATTTGTCTTTGCTATAACCTGGTGTGTAATTATATTTGTATGCGTAATGAATGGCAGTAGCTCGGTTGGTTGCGTACACCAGTGTATGTTATGTGTATCTGAATTTAATAAATATCAGCATATAGATTTAGGCGGTTGTTCTTACCGATTCGCCAGGAATTCCTTTATCGCCAGAGGTTCCTGAAGGCCCTGGGATTCCCTGCACATAAACAATAATCTTGTATAGTATAAACAAAAACACATACATATGTATGAAACAATTATGAACAGACTTACGTTAAAACCTTTTGGCCCAACTTCCCCTGGATCGCCAATTTTTCCCTGTAGATAATAGTGTAATATAGTGAATCACACATAAGACTTAATAATATTTATAATGCATTGGTTTTATATTGTGCTTTTTTGGACACGCAATGACGCGTTACAGCTAGGGATGTAAAAAACTATGAATTGACACAGAGGAGCGCGACAGACCGGTATGTGTGTGTGTATGTGTGTGTATGTATATGTGTGTGTGTGTAAATGTAAGCTCCAATGTAGTTCTGACCCGCGCCAGTGTGCAACTTTGACGGTAACAGAGGGGAGAGATGATGCGTGTGGATGTTACGTATGGAGAGGGGGAAAGTGTGTGTGTGTCTGTGTGTGTGTGTGTGTGCGCGCGCGTGCGTGTGTGCATATGTGGCTTGTGCAGCGTGAGAGTCGTCCCGGAGTTTGTAATACATGGGCGCACACAGCTAGATACAGACCCGCTCGTCACACCGTGCAAATAGGGCTTAAAATAGCGTTATTAAGAGACCTCCCCTCTCCCCTTTTTCTCTTTTTTTAACCGACAGCTTTGACCGGTTAACGCTGTGACGGTCAACCACCGGTTAAACGGTCGCCGATTTACATCCCTAGTTACAGCACTATTTGATCACTCCATACACGGTTGTGATAAACTACCACTGTAGCCCCAGCTGCCCTGGGGCACACTGACAGAAACGACCAGTTCGAGGGTCTCAAACTGGCATCGGCCCCTACGAGCTCCATCCACCATTCACACACACAGCAGACTCCTACTGTTCCCAAACGTCTCCCATCATAGTACTAACCAAGCCCTTCTTTGCTTAGCTTCATAGCTCTAACAGGATAGGGCTTCAAAATGCAGGTGAACGACTAACAAGTTAATAGCTATGTAGCCACAACTGCCCCGGGGCATACTGAAGGAAATAGGAGATATCAATCTGTGCCATCGACTCCTCCGACCACCACCAGTCATTCACACACACACCAGGCTCTTACTCAGCATTGTGGGTGAAGTGTCTTGCCTGAGGACACAACGGCAGTTTGGCACATTACAGCCACACCTCAATTGTTCTGACGTAGAATTTAATTATTATGTTTGCAAGAACAGTCCCACAGAGACAGCACAAACGCATTACCTGTGGTCCAGGGAAGCCAAGTTTTCCTGGAGGACCGTCAAGACCCTGTGCAGAGAGGAAATAGATAATTATAGAGTGATTTATTTCACTGTGATAACTTATTGTTTTGTTAATATAATGGCAAACATCCAGAATAAGGAATAAGCAATATTACCTTCTTTCCCTCTAATCCCGTCTCTCCTGTTGCACCATCAGGCCCTATTGCACCCTGAAACACAAGACACATGTCACCTCACCAACAGGGGTCACTCTAACACAGTCTGATACTGAACTGTACATACATATAAACATGAGATATGAGCAGACAGTGTGTATCTGCCCCCAAAATATCACAGTACATCATTTCTGTGTCTCATGTCAGATGACTTGTTCTCATTAGTCTGTCTAATACTCCTGACCTGCAAACCGTGTTCATATAGTACATTTGTCTTCCAAACAGGAAGCTGGTGTGCACCATCAGAGTCTGCCTTTGCTTCTGCTGTTAACAGTATTAACTGTAATAACATGGGCCTGATAGATGCAGCAAAGATCCATTTATCTCATTTTGTGTTAAACTAGGCTCACTACAAAGTGAGGTGACTGCCGACATTGTGTCATAGTAACACTGAAGTAATAAGCATTGGGCCTTAGACTTAAAGCTTATGAACCAGATGAGAGAGCGAATTCGAGGAGCAATCTGCACCAGGACCGGCAGCTACACACAACCATAGACTATATGTAAGACAACACAGAATCCAGGAAAGATAAAGCCTTGGCTTCAAACCTCCGACAGGAACCATGAGCTGACCACTGCTCCCAGTGCAGAGAGATCCTCCAAATATCTGCTCTAAATGATCTGATCCAGTAGTTTGGTTAGTTCCAAACCTGTGGTTTTGTGGGTGCTTGTTTTTGCAACTCAGAGCTACCTCCAGTCAACAAAACCGAGGAGTCGTTTAGCCTGAAAGGACTTAACCTGTGTGTATTATTGTCTATAGTGTTTTGTAGATAAATTATGTATTTAGAGATAAAACATAATGACATGGGAAAACATACCCTTAAGCCTTTGGGTCCCCTGCCACCGGTCGGTCCAGAACCACCTGCTGGGCCCTGGGAAACGACACAGCGATTTAAAGACAAAGATTTTACTCTTGACCCCGAGGCACAGGCTGACCTCAGAGACACACACAGTTTGTTGCTGTCACATTCTTCTCAGAAATGCAACACCTGTTAATGGAGCTGGGCTCTGCATCATCTCAAGCTAACAACACCTGCTTCCTTATCACTCCACATTAGGCATTTATTCCATTCCGTTTGTCTCTGTGCTCTTGACCCCACTTGCTCACCCATGTCCCTCATCTTTCTTGTACCCTGTACATCTTTCTTGTACACCCAGAAAGTGTAACAAAATCCTAACTTTTATAACACTGTGATGAGATCCACTGAGTTTTTGAAAATAAGATAAATGTGTGTACTGGTAGTTGGGCGTATCCTCTTTATTGAGAGTTTGCGTGTAAAAACCCTTTCAAACAAAGAAACTAATCCTTATTCTGTGTCTAACATGGTAAACTGATGAAAATTGTATTTGATTTGAGTTCGCTCAGTCTGAATTTTCCCCAAAAAAACAATGTAACCATCATTTTTCAATATAATTAATATTTATTAATAATAAATCAGGGTTAACATTTTATTGGGGACTAAACCGGGGAAGACCCAGGACTGAACCAAGACAAAACCAGTACTGAACATCACATATCGAATACATTACATGTTTTTCATAGGAGATAAACAATTTCAGACACAGTTTGAGTTAATTTAATATCTACAGAAAATGTCCAATTTCCAACTTTCTGTGTCTGTGTTTATAGTGTAACGTGAAAAGGCAGATTGTGAAAAGCTCCAGATTGTTTCTGTTTGGACCAAGTGGATCTAGTTCAGTGGCAGATTGAGAATATAGTTACATTGTCAAATTTCAGAATATCAAAATGAAGATAGCGTGTTTTTCGCCAAATGCCTTTAAGTCCTGATTATCCGCAGATCTGAGCCATATTTATTTTTTTACATACCTTTATTAATATTGTCTTATAATGAAAATGTTTGCTCCAAGAAAACCTGTTGTCTCAGTCACAATTTGTGCGACTCCATCAACATAGACGGATCATCATTAATTGTTTTATTAAAGTAAAAGGCGGAGACCTCGACGACCCAGTCCACACACCCAACATCTGGCTCTTGGGACGTGGAACGTCACCTCACTGGGGGGGAAGGAGCCCGAGCTTGTGGGGGAGGTTGAGCGATACCGACTAGAGATAGTCGGCCTCACCTCCACACACAGCTTGGGCTCTGGAACCCAACTCCTTGAGAGGGGTTGGACGCTCCACTTTTCTGGTGTTTCCCGCGGGGAGAGGCGGCGAGCTGGGGTGGCCATACTCATTGCCCCCCATCTCAGCCGCCACGTGTTGGAGTTCTCCCCGGTGAATGAGAGGGTCGCGTCCCTCCGCCTCCGGGTGGGGGACAAGTCTCTCACTGTTGTGACGGCCTACGGGCCTAACGGTAGTGCAGAGTACCCGGCCTTCTTGGAGTCCTTGGGAGGGGTACTGGACAGTGCACCGCCCGGGGACTCCGTTATTCTCCTGGGGGACTTCAACGCCCATGTGGGAAATGCCAGTGACACTTGGAGAGGGGTGATCGGGAAGAGCGGCCCCCCTGATCTGAACCCGAGCGGTGTTCAGTTGTTGGACTTCTGTGCCAGTCACGGCCTGTCCATCACGAACACCATGTTCGAGCACAAGGGTGTCCATCAGTGCACGTGGCACCAGGACACCCTAGGCCGGAGGTCGATGATCGACTTTGTAGTCGTATCATCTGACCTTTGACTGCGTGTCTCGGACACTCGGGTGAAGAGAGGGGCGGAGCTGTCAACCGATCATCACCTGGTCGTGAGTTGGATCCGCTGGCAGGGCAGGAGGCCGGTCAGACCTGGCAGGCCCAAGCGTGTAGTGAGGGTTTGCTGGGAACGTCTTGGTGAGCCCCCTGTCAGACGGACTTTCAACTCACATCTCCGGGAGAGCTTCTCCCAGGTCCCGGCAGAGGAGGGGGACATCGAGTCCGAGTGGACCATGTTCTCTTCCTCTATCGCCAATGCGGCGGCTCGTAGCTGTGGTCGCAAGGTCTCTGGTGCTGGTCCCGGCGGCAATCCCCGAACCCGGTGGTGGACACCGGCAGTAAGGGATGCCGTCAGGCTGAAGAAGGAGTCCTATTGAGGAATGATGGTTCGTGGGACTCCTGAGGCAGCTGTCCAGTACCGGCAGGCCAAACGTGCCGCGGCCCGGGCTGTTGCAGAGGCAAAAACCCGGGACTGGGAGGAGTTCGGAGAGTCCATGGAGCATGACTATCGGTCGGCCTCGAAGAGGTTCTGGCAAACCGTCCGGCGCCTCAGGAGGGGGAAGCAGTTCTTTGCCAACACCGTGTATGGTGCGGGTGGAGGGCTGCTGACCTCGACTGGGGATATTGTCGGGCGGTGGAAGGAATACTTCGAGGTTCTCCTCAATCCCCCCGTCACGTCCTCCGTCCAGGAGGCAGAGGCTGAGGATGTTGGGGCGGATACTTCCATCTCCCTGGCCGAGGTCACCAAGGTGGTTGGCAGCCTCCATGGTGGCAAGGCGCCGGGAGTGGATGAGATCCGTCCTGACTATCTAAAGTCTCTGGATGTTGTAGGACTGTCTTGGCTGACACGTCTCTGCAACATCGCGTGGCGATCGGGGGCGGTGCCAATGGAGTGGCAGACCGGGGTGGTGGTCCCTCTCTACAAGAAGGGGGACCGGAGGGTGTGTTCCAATTATCGTGGGATCACACTCCTCAGCCTCCCCGGTAAGGTCTACTCCAAGGTACTGGAGAGGAGGCCACGTCCGATGGTCGAATCTCGGATTCAGGAGGAGCAGTGTGGTTTTCGTCCCGGTCGCGGAACACTGGACCAGCTCTATACTCTCCATCGGATACTCGAGGGTTCATGGGAGTTCGCCCAACCTGTCCACATGTGCTTTGTGGATTTGGAGAAGGCGTTCGACCGTGTTCCCCGGGGTGTCCTTTGGGGGGTCCTCCGGGAGTACGGGGTCCGGGGTCCTCTGCTGAGGGCTGTTCGGTCCCTGTATGACCGGAGCCAGAGCTGTGTTCGCATTGCCGGCAGTAAGTCAGACCTGTTCCCGGTGCATGTTGGCCTCCGCCAAGGCTGCCCTTTGTCACCGGTTCTGTTCACTGTATTTATGGACAGAATCTCTAGGCGCAGCCAGGGGCCGGAGGGGGTCCGGTTCGGGAACCACAGGATTTCATCTCTACTTTTTGCGGATGATGTCGTCCTGCTGGCTCCAACGAACCAGGACCTGCAACATGCACTGGGACGGTTTGCAGCCGAGTGTGAAGCGGCTGGGATGAGAATCAGCACCTCCAAATCCGAGGCCATGGTACTCGACCGGAAAAAGGTGCCTTGCCCTCTCCAGGTGGGTGGAGAGGTCCTTCCTCAAGTGGAGGAGTTCAAGTATCTCGGGGTCTTGTTCACGAGTGAGGGAAGGATGGAGCGTGAGATTGACAGGCGGATCGGTGCAGCGTGCGCAGTGATGCGGTCTCTGTATCGGACCGTTGTGGTAAAGAGGGAGCTGAGCCGAAAGGCAAAGCTCTCAATTTACCGGTCAATCTTCGTTCCCTCCCTCACCTATGGTCATGAGCTGTGGGTAATGACCGAAAGAACGAGATCGCGGATACAAGCGGTCGAAATGAGCTTCCTCCGCAGAGTGGCTGGGCGCTCCCTTAGAGATAGGGTGAGGAGCTCGGTCACACGGGAGGAGCTCGGAGTAGAGCCGCTGCTTCTCCACGTCGAGAGGAACCAGTTGAGGTGGCTCGGGCATCTGTTCAGGATGCCTCCTGGACGCCTTCCTGGGGAGGTGTTCCGGGCACGTCCCACCGGGAGGAGGCCCCGGGGAAGACCCAGGACACGCTGGAGAGACTATGTCTCTCAGCTGGCCTGGGAACGCCTAGGGGTCCCCCCGGACGAGCTGGAGGAGGTGTGTGTGGATAGGGAAGTCTGGGCGTCTCTGCTTAGACTGCTGCCCCCGCGACCCGGCAACGGATAAAGCGGAAGAAAATGGATGGATGGATGGATGAAGTAAAAGAAAGATTCAGACATTCTGTCCATGTAAATTCTGCTTAAATCAGCCCAATCTACTGTTGCTCATTAGACATATGTAATGTTGGATGCGCTGCACATAGAAGCCTGTCTGTGACGTGTCTGGTCTGACGCCTCACCGTCGCTTCACCAGATTCCTGAGTCACAGAGTGTAGGGGAGGTCCCAAGGCTCACTTTAAAAGTGGGGGCAAGGGTCAGTGCAGTGAGTAAACATAATCATTCATGTTTCTTGTACAACCACAATGACTCTATGGAAGAAGACTTTTACAGAATGGAAATGTTTAACATGTTGTGTAGAAGTGTGGGAAAGTACTATGTCTCAGGTTAGAAGAAGCATGAGGAAGGTTAGCCAAGACTAATAAGTAACTAGTCCCAGCTGACTACACTTAATGTGCAAGAATAAGAATGCACAGCCACACTTTCATTTAAAGCAATCAGTGGCTAAGAAATGAGATGCTCTAAACTTAGAGTTAAGGATAGTCAGTTTGATAAGTGTCCCTTGGCTTTTATCTGCTGGAACTCTTTCATTTCCCACTGTAGATTACATATGTCACAGTGTCTAGGCCTGGGTAATTGCCCTCCACGATGCCATTTAGATAAATCCTACTGATTTCTAAACTGTGGTGTCACTATTTAAGGCTCATCTAAAAGCAGACGAGACTTGGAATGCCTTTCTGTGAATATTGTTTCAGTGCGTTTTCTTTACAAATTAACAGCATTGAACTCAAATTGGACACAGGTCTTTTAGGCAAGGCAAGGCAAGTTTATTTATATAGCACAATTCATACACAAGGCAATTCAAAGTGCTGAACAAAACAAGAAAGCATCAAAATCATAAATTATCACAGAACATTAAAAAGAAAGATAAAAATATAAAATCCCTCAGTTGTATGCACAGTTAAACAGAACTGTCTTTAACCTGGTTTTAAACATTGTCAGAGAGGAGGCCTGTCTCACATCTTCAGGAAGACTGTTCCAGATTTTAGCAGCATGAATCTGAAAAGCAGCCTCCCCATGTTTAGTTCTGACTCTGGGCACTAACAGGAGTCCAGTTCTATATTTATATTTTAACAGCACTACAAATGTAAAACTATGAGAGTAGAAGTCCATAGTTGAACTTGTGAAGACAGTTTGTTTCAACACAATGTGGGCCACTGTGTGAGACGTGTGTTTTTGAGGGTGGTCTCTGCCATGGACATGTCAAATCACAGATTACCAATTATGTTCCCCAAAGCAGAGTGGAAAGTAGATCAGAGTGATCCCTAGTCTGTTTTTTTCTTGTGGTTTAGAGCTTGTGATCATGCAGACCACATGTGTCAAATGTCGTCCACAAAATATTATTTTGTTTTATTATTATAACTGAGAAGTGGTTAATGAGGGGAGCCATAGCATGTTATACATGATTTTCAAGCAGATTTTTATCAAAACAAAAACTTTATGTCTTTCATTTGGACTTCGAATGCATAACTCGATTGATAATACTCGTAATAATACCAGTCCTTTTCTTCGGACCAGTTTTAGTTTAATCAAAGCCTGATTCATTTTGTTCAGAAATATTTTTATAACACGTTGGTTTTTTATTTTTATACTTATGTAAAATATATTTAGGAAGGGGAATACCAGGAATACATGAGTAATACATTCACAATAATTATATAGCCAAATGAGCTCCAAGAGAGTGCCCATTTCTTTGTACCGTAGCTCTATATAGTGTGGACTGAAAGCACAAGACTTGTTTTTCCTTACTTCTTATTTTTCCTCTTTTTTGATTAAAAGAAAACGTATAAGCGCAGGCCTGATAAAACTACACAGGCGCATTGAGAAGTGCAGGAAATGACCTGTTATTTCTAGAGTTTCTATGGTTTCCTGCCACACAGGCACAGTACCTCCTGATGGATAAGGCTGACCTTTCATCACCTGGGGATGGAATTACTTCAGAGAAAAAGTGTCAATTTTTACCCAAAAGCCACTTTGTGCACGGTTTCATACCATTAAACATCATATTGTGGAAATACATTAGAGTATAATGTAACATTTGTGAATTTAAACAGTATGTTAATGATCATGAGGTTCTCCTCTCTTTCCCCAGGGACTGCCAGGACCTCCTGGGAAGCCAGGCCTGCCAGGCAAGAGGGGTCCTAGGGTGAGTTTTGACTTATTCTATTTTCTCTGAATATAAAACGTACTTACATATTACTATAGGCAAGAGTGTCGGCTACATATTGAATAAAGGAGTCAGTTTGAAGCTGTTTGAAACACACATTCCTTATGCAGGCAGATAGGGCATATTCAGCATTGGCCTGTGAGTGCTGACCTCCCACCCCTAAACATAAACAGGAAAGCTCCTAAAAGATGGCCTCTCAAAAGGCTGCCTGTGCCACGGGATGCCTAATAAAAGTGCTGCAAACAGACAGGGAACACATGGCAGGGCTTCTGAGTGGCTGGGGTTTGGGTGTGAGTGTGCAACAGCATTTTCCCCCAGAGTTCAGATGATTAGTTCAGTCCAAAATTGATCATGTTGTTTTTTGAATGTCAGTGAGACCTCCTATCTCACTAGGTTTATATAAACTTGTACATTATGCCATGGTCTTTTCTGTCATTTTTATCATACCATATTGTCCCATCGTCTCTATTCTCATTGATTTATTAATGTTCTTATAGATTTCATGTTTACAATAAATGTACTGCATATAAACAACATACATTTGTAAATAACAAAGAAAAGTTTGTAGTGTGTGCGTCCATCCTTGGTGGGTTTGTAGTCCCTTTGTTTGCTGCAGACTCTAATCTGTGGGCGACATGTATCAGCAGAAGATGACAAAATCAATCCCTTAATACAATAAGTGAACACAATTGTATCCAGCTTTAACTATTGCCTTCTGACATAATCTTTAACTGTAGCTTTATTGATATAATCTTTGTCCTTAAGCTCCTCCAGAAAACTTTCATCTTGTCTGAAGTAGTAGATGTATGTGGCTTTTTACGGATTTCCTACAAAGGCTTTCTTGTAAACAAAAGCCTTTATAAACTGGAACTACAGCTGCCATGTGTTTGTATGTGTGTGTGTGTGTTTGTGTGTGTATGCATGTGTGTGAGTGTGTGTACGCAAACAATCATGCTCATTTATGTTCATCAATTTTACAACAAGCTGTTCCCCCTTTCGGCCATAAAGAAATATGGCATCAATTTTGTAGCAGACGGTCTCTTCTCTCACCAGAAGATAGTAATTAAGTTCACAGGTGACTACTCTAATTGTAGGCGCTATCATCTTTGTTTGATAAAAAAGCAAGTGAGCATTATACCTTAAAGGCGGACATTCACGGCCTGTTAGAATTACTTTAAGTCCACAAAGAATGATGACACAGAGCTCTATTGAGTTCAATGGACCCATGAACTTTAACTTCTGATCCCGGACATGTCAGTGCGACTTGTATAGAGTCGGATCTGTAGGTCCAGGAATCCACACGTTTATTCCCAGGCTTCAAACACAGAAGGTGGTAGTCGGGTGTGAGAGTGGCTAAATAGTGTATGGCTGTTACCTGGGTCTAGAGCTGCAACTTCAACCTGAATATTCAACCGATAGAACAATTGATGGAATAGATGATATAGAGTCGTGTAAAAGTACTTTCCCTCTTTACTCAATTAATCTATTTTTGTTTATATCTATTGGTTTATCCCACTGAAAAATGTCTGATCACCTCACTAATTTCTATATCACACAAATCTCAAGCAGCAAATTTTCAGGAAGATTGTTTTACATTTTAGTTGCGTGAATCTGAAATGCTGCATCCCCATGTTGAGGCATTAGTTTGGGCACCAGCAGGAGGCCAGTCCCTGTGCTCCTCAGAGTCCCAGCAGGAAGCCAGTCCCTGTGCTCCCCAGAGTCCCAGCAGGAGGCCTAGAGTTGATTCATATGGCACTAACATGTCACAGATGTACTTCGGTGTGAGGCCATGGAGAGACTGCTTTAAAGTCTATTCTCTGAGCCAGAGGAAGCTAGTGCAAAGACCTGAGAGCTGGACTAATGTGATCGTCCGTCCTGGTACATACGCTTGTGCCGCAGCAGGACCATAAACCTAAACATTCAGCATTTGTGCAAATTTGTCCTCCCTCAATAACTATAATCATTGAATAAAAACTAAAAGACGTTTAAGTGTGATGAATACAAGTCTGAAGTTAGGAAGCAAATACTTTTTCATGGCCCGCTTTTAAACTGTTGCACTGTCCCATGATTCCCAAGTGCGCTGCTTCACCTGTTAGCACCTTTTGTACATATCCCAGGCGCTTTATGAGAGAGTTGTTGGAAAGTTTAATGAGCATAGGTGCCGTGGGTATTGTGCTGTGGCAGATGCTTTGGCACCAGATTCTTTTAAAGGTCTGTCCTGGCTCCGGTGTAAACTGTGTATATTGAGAAATACCGTCCATGAAAGTTGGCAGCCAAGACCTACTACTTGTATAGTTTTTCATTTTTCCAGATTTACTACACTCCTAAAACCTTTGGCACCAAATTTCCAACTTATGGCATTTATAAGTCCTTGACATTTGTCCAGTTATGAAAGCCAATTCCATATAATGACAATGAACTTTCGCTTTTAAAAGTATGTGCAGATTTATGACTCTTCTCTGGCACTTTGTTAGTTGGAGGCTAAATGTAAAACTGAAGGCCTTGCTTTTGTTAAGTTTCAGATTTAACCCTCGCTGCTTTTGGCTCCGTATCGTGCACAGTACAGTTCTCATCTTTATACTTCTTTGGAATCCCCGAATCTTCTTTATGAGGCTTTGACATTGTTTACAGCACCACTTGTTAAACATGTTAAAGGGCCATCTGACGTAATAGTGTGGGAATATACCTCCGGCTGATGTTGATCGACTTACTATGAAAGCAGCGTTCATGACAGTGAATCACAGGAGCATTATTCACTTTGATTTACTTAAAATTTAAAATAAAATAACAATTCTGTGAGAGGTTTTCTGACTCTATTGTTTGGATACGCAATCGTCTGGTCTGTGTCTGGTTACAGTAAATCTAATTACAATTTTGTTTAGTGCTTGTTCTTCACAATAAGAAGGTCCTGGGTTTGATTCCACCTCCAGACAAGGCCTTTCTGTGCCGAGTTTGCTTGTTCTCTCTGTGTCTGTGCAGGTTTCCTCAGGGTGCTCCGGCTTCCCCTACCAATAAATAGGTCTGAATGTATGAGAACGTTGGTTAACGGTATCTCTGAAAATAATGGAAATTACTGGTACACAACGCAAAGTGATTTGTGTGACTTTCTTGTGAAATGCGCTATATTAATAAAGTTTATTTACTTACATTATCGTTGCCTCCAAATATTAGGAGGGAACATTATATTTCTTTATATGTAGCGTCACTTTTAACCACTGTACACACCTGTAAATGATTCAAATCCATAATTTTTACATGACAGATTTTTAGTTTCTCTTGATGTTTGCGACAGAATATTGTGTAACATGAAGGGGCTCGTCGTTGTGTCTAAAAGCAGTAAATGTGTATTTTAATGTTCAATTGAACCTCATGTTCAACACTTCTGCGGTTTAAAAAGTTAGTCGTTTCTCATTCAGCAGCCCTCAGCCTGCATCCACCCTGTCCCACTATAATTAGGCACCTGTTTGGGACCAAACCGTACTGTGCCATTATACCAGCCCATGCCAGTCGGTGTACTGCCCAAAATGTGGTTGGCCACAGGGTCAATTTGGAAGCGTGTAATTCTAGTTTGTTTGAGTTTATTCAGTGTGCTTTAACAGTGTGGCTCTCTAGGGAATGCCACCTAAACGAAAAATTAAAGGAGATGATATAATGGTTTTAGAAATTACAGGATCCTTCTATTTATTTGTTTTTGCTTTAATTTTAGTGTGTATATAGTAAGAATATAGTTTAATCGGCTTAGTATTTATAGTGAAACAAGCAGTGCCTGTGTACATCCTGCTGGATGAATCAGACAAAGCTGTCATCAAACTTTCCTTGAGCAGGAAATAGTAGTCAGGGAAAAGAATGGTATCTTGTCTGCTTCTGCTGAGTGTACGTTGGAACTTCTCTCAAAGGGCTTTTTGTGCTCCTGAACTGACCAACACAAAATCATATGTGTTCTCCTTCTATTTTGGGGGACTAAAATATATAGGATACACAGAATTCATATTACTTTTACTTTTAGTTTTGTTTAGACTCTCTTATATGTTATGGACACCGTGAGTCTATATATGTTTGTGTATGTTTATATAGTTTATACTCATAATATTCATATTCTTTCCAAAGTAGTTCGGATCGATGCCACACTATTGAGGTTATTTTATTGAATTAGTGTTTAATTTGTGAGAAAAAACAAATCATGTCTTATTACACAGCATATGTAAACTTTCCACTTTAGTTAATTTGACAGAGAGGGCAGACCTTTGCCTCACATGCCTTGTAGTCTGCAAACCCTTAGGCTCTGTGGGGGAAGATGAGGGACTTAAGGGCGCTGCTCCAGTGGAGGGCAGGACTGAGGTCAGAAAGCCAGGAAAGAGTTATTCATAGACAGAGACACAGACTCATAAAGAAGCAACAGTGATGCTCATGACCTGTGCTTCTCACTGTTGGTTCACAACTTCTTTTTGGCCTCATGTGACTTGTGAAATGAGACCAGTGTCTTTAACTCTTCAAATAACAATAACTTATTCATGTTTCTTCTTTTCTGGAAAGATGTTAGCTAAAGTGTTTGTATTCAGGTTGGAGTGTTTTGAGTCTACAGGGACCAGAAAAAACACAACCATATGGTGTAAAGCACTCCTGCACAGTGCCCCATTTTCCATAGGCCTCAACCCCCCACTCTAAATACCTCACACAAAGATGATGTATAGAAAAGTAGGTTAAAGAAGTCTGTCTCGACTCCCTTCCTCTCTTTCCACACAGTAGCAAAGTCACAATTTGTGCTTGTCATCTTGCTAAATGAAGATCTATAGAGCCTTCATCATCTGATTATGTTTCTTCTGCCACATTTTTACAGGGAGATCCCGGTCCCCATGGAAACCCCGGCCCACCTGGACCACTGGGACTGAAGGTAAACACACATTACGGTTATTAAACTATCATGACACAATAGAGACAACTGGAGACAAATAAATAAATGTTCTTAATCTCTCATTCGACAACACCATGTCCCTTTCACCTCTGTCTCTGTTGACTCTGGAACATGCTGCATTGTGCCCAGGCCATATTTAAAATACATTAAAAAGGCCTTCCATAGGTGTCAATGGTTCAGCAGCAAGGCCTCACAGCTCACCCCTATTATTGCTGCTCTGACCTCTTCAAACTTTAAAATGCTCTGTTTGTCCTTGTCATCAGGTTAAAATATACAAACTTTTCCCCACTTTGTATGTTTGGACTGCATTCTTCACCTTCTGCATTTGTTCCCTTGACCTCTCTGGCAAAAACGTAAATCGGACTGCATTTTAAGAGGCTGTCAAACAATATCTAAATAATGGAAGGTGTCTCTTTTTCCTTTGAGAATGCAAGGCAAGGCAAGGCAAGGCAAGTTTATTTATATAGCACAATTCATACACACAATTTATGAACAAAACAAGAAAGCATTAAAATCATAAATAATCACAGAACATTAAAAAGAAAGATAAAAATATTAAAATCCCTCAGTTGTATGCACAGCTAAACAGAACTGTCTTTAACCTGGTTTTAAACATTGTCATTGAGGAGGCCTGTCTCACATCTTCAGGAAGACTGTTCCAGATTTTAGCAGCATGAATCTGAAAAGCAGCCTCCCCATGTTTAGTTCTGACTCTGGGCACTAACAGGAGTCCAGTCCCTGTGCTCCTCAGAGTCCGGGCTGGTTCATATGGGACTAACATGTCACTAATATATTTTGGTGCGAGGCCATGGAGAGACTTGTACACAAGCAGAGTTGTTTTAAAGTATATTCTCTGAGCCACAGGAAGCCAGTGCAGAGACCTGAGAACTGGACTAATGTGGTCGTACTTCCTGGTTCTAGTCAGGTCTAATGTGGTCGTACTTCCTGGTTCTAGTCAGGACTCGAGCTGCTGCATTTTGAATGTACTGCAGCTGTTTTACAGCCTGTTTGGACAGACCTGTGAGCAGGCCATTGCAGTAGTCTAACCTACTGGAGACAAATGCATGGATAAGAATCTCCAGGTCTGCTTTAGACACTATGTTTTTGATCCTGGCAATGTTTTTTAGATGGTAAAAAGCTGCTGATGTTACTGATTTGATGTGGCTATTCAAATTTAAGTCTGAGTCCAGTATTACCCCTAAATTTCTGACCTTGTTTGAAGGTTTTAGGGAGAGAGACTGTAGGTGACAGCTGACGCTCTCTCTTTGTTTCTGGGGACCAAAGACAATCATTTCAGTTTTGTCTGCGTTTAGCTGAAGGAAATTGTTTTGCATCCACTCACTGATCTGTTGGATACAGTGAAGGAGTGAGTCCACTGGTCCATGTTCTCCTGCAGTCAGTGAGACATAGATCTGAGTGTCGTCTGCATAGGTATGATAGGAAACTTCGTTTCTGCGTATTAACTGACCTAACGGCAGCATGTAGAGATTGAACAGAAGAGGTCCCAGGATCGACCCCTGTGGTACTCCACAGGTCAGGGCCATATGATCTGAGACACAGTTTCCAATCTCCACAAAGTACTTCCTGTCCTCAAGGTAAGACCTAAACCAACTTAGGGCAGTGCCAGCGACTCCAACCCAGTCCTCTAGTCTCTGTAAGAGGATCTCATGGTTGACAGTGTCAAAGGCAGCACTTAGATCTAACAAGATTAAGATTGAGACTTGCAAAGATGATTATATGAGAATAATGGTTTGGTTTCATATAGCGCTTTATGGACACTCAAAAACACTTCACATGGCATTATTCTCATGCCATACACAGTACTGATAAACTACTACTGTGGCCACAGCTGCACTAGGCACACTGACAGAAGCGAGACAACCAGTATGTGCCACCACCATACACACACACACACACACCAGACTCAATCTAGGCAATGTGGGTGAGGTCTCTTGCTTAAGGACAGAACAGCAGTTTGGTCCTTTACAGCCGCCCCACTGTGGCACCTGGTGTTCCCAGAGGTCTCCCATCACAGCAGGCCCTACCTTGCTTAGCTTTAGAGGTCTGGCGGGATGTGGCTTTCACATGCAGGTTGCGCCACACGTATCTGCTGTAAATGATATTCCTAGATTATTGAAAAGAATGCACCAATCCAGTTTTTAAGGGACTGAAACTAGATTATCAAATCACAGCTCACTTATTACATAATTAGTTCAATTGTGATTTTAACTGCTGTTTACAAAGTACAAGTTGAAACTCTATGATATTATGGGTTAAAGTGTATCAAAGAGTAATCGGCTTATTATATATCGGCACAGATATCAGATACCAGTGACATTCTTGATTATTACCAGTGGCTTTTTAAATATTTTACACACTCCACATAACATTTTTATATATCCTTTTTTCCCCTTTTACTGCTGTGTCTACTTGAATGCAATCAGTGTTATTACCACAGACGCACATACAAACACACACACACACACACTACAGCTCTAGTATAAGTGTGTCACAGTTTCCTACCTGCTGCTGAGTGTTGAGTGAATGATGTTTGATGTCTCGCTGTGCACTGCAGTCTGCCCTCTTTCATCATTAATAAACGAAACAAGGTCATAAAAAGCCTGGGGAAGTTAAGTTACCTGGTGCTTAATGTACAAGCTGTGCCTTTGATGTAAAGGTCTGTTGTTGCTGCGCTTTAAGCTTCCTTCCGTTACCCGAACTCACTTGTTTTGGAAGAAATATAAAGTATATTTTTTAATTATTCCTTTTCTTTTGTCAGGGTAAAAAGGGAGACCCGGCCATATCACCTGGACCAGCACCTAAAGGAGAAAAAGTAACAACACATATTCATGTCTGCTCAATTATACTGTGTATTTTTGTTGATGAGTTCCATAATTGAAGTCTTTTTTAGGGTGACCCAGGGGTTGTTGGCCCAGTTGGAATAACGGGTCAAATTGGACGAAAGGTAAGAACACAATTAGCTTACTATCTAGCATGTCCAAACCAAGGCCCACGAGCCAATTGCGGCCCTCTGTATAATTTTATCGGCCGTCTGTTTTTGCGAACCCCATAGTCGTCTTTGAGATCATAAACATAAAGTTCACAGTGTCATCCAGTCAACTTCAGCTCAGTCAATGCAGGCATGGTATACCTTGCCGTAAAGCTGAGACCTTTTGGAATTCAGTTGACTTTATTTGTAAATATTGAGAAGTGTCTGTCTTTTTAGTGTCTGTTAATGGTGTTATTGTAACTTGTAAGATGGTCATTTGTCGTTCAGCCAACTTCAGCCTTTGGACATATTATGAATCGCTATGGCAGCAGACATAATGAGCCTAGAGTAGAATTAAGTTATTTATCTATGCCAGTTGCTCAAATAGAGTAAGTAACGACTATTTTCCTGTTTGATTTGTCCGGGTCATTATGCAGCAAGGTATTGTTTAGATATAGTTACAAGTTCAAATATTCTTATGGACAAAACCCTTGACAAGCCTTGTTAACTGAAATCAAGTGGCCCTCTTACCTGTGGCTTAGTGCTTTTACTTCACCTTTATGTGTGAGTGGCGTGTTCACCTTCAAATCAATGCGAGACAAGGTTTTTCTTCTGTCTGAGGTTGGATAACAGTAGTAAAAAGCATGGGCTGTTACTGTATGCGCTGTCGTAGCTGCAGCCTGCCAGAAGAGTGACAGTCAACTCCTAAGAATCACTGCCTCCAGCTGAACATATGGCTTTTGTTAAAACCAGATTTTTTTGTCTTTATCTCCATTTGTTTGTGCTCAATCCCTCCCCTTTTACTTCATCCCCACTCAGCCGAAATGGAAAATGTAAAGCTGGTGGAAAACTCACTAATTTCCTTGAGACTTTTGCTGGCAGTGATTAAAAAGGTGGTCAATAGTGATGCTGAGTTGTGTGTGAGAAAAAAGAAAAAAGTTAAAGTCATTCATAAAAGACAACAAACAGGGGGGAACTCTTTATAACAGCCATCTTTGCATTTCTTTTAGCGTCTCAAGGAGAGAAACCAGATGCTGTAAGCTTTCATGACACATATAAATATAGACCATAGCTGTAAGAGGGGCTTTATCAGAATGACTTCATCCTCCCTGGGAAGTGGTTGTTATGGCAACTTCATCAACACAGTGAATACTCAGGAAGAGTAATTGTAAGTAAACCGCAGAACAGATATATTTTCCTTCGCGAAATAACGTTGAGATTTGACGCCTGTGTTGGACAACAATAGGTGAACATTTGTGTAGTCTCTAGTCATCTGCTGAGTCAGCTCCCTCCCAGCTGTTCTGTCGCAGCACACTTGGCTTAGTGGAGTTAGTGCTGTCAGATCAATTTGTCGGATTAAGCTTCTCTTCTGAGGACTGTTAGCACTGCTCACATTTGCTGCCTTTATGTGTCGGCCGGGCCACCCTGAAAGCTGCAGGAGAAGTTTACTCCTCGTCCTCACGCTTTTCTCGGTCCCGGTTGGTTTCTCTATTAACGGTGTTTTAGGAAAATTAGACAACAGCAGCATTGTGTCTTGTTTATAGACTTTTCACTTCCTTTTTTGTTTCAACCACTCGCACTGGGCATGTTTTAATTCAGACAGGAGACTGACACTTCTGTTGGGAATTTCAGAATCTGGCAGCCGTGTATTTCTTTGTAAATCTTTGATGGAAAGAGCAGAAGTTATATGAAAAAAAAAAGAAAGTAATTTTACAGTAGACAAGCCAAACGTGTTCCGTTCTCTGTACAACTCCTCAATGGGTTTTCAGTATGGCAGACGAGGTCAGAGAGAGGGACATGGTCTCGGCTGAAGCCACATTACAAAGCGCATATCACATAACTGTCTCCAGGATTAATTCTACCACTTATAGCATCACTCAACATCTGCCTCTCTGCTCACAATAACTGTTAAAACATAGTTCTTATATAATCTCTCTCACAACCAGTCATTTCGATGTAAAACCCACAGGAAATAGATTACAGTACTTGCTGGGCTTTAAGCTGCTACTTAAAGTTCTTTGAATCCTGTTTAGCAATGCAGCAAATGTATGTCTTTTTATTTGGTTAAAGCGCCCCCTACAGAGATAATGGCATAGCAGACATTCCTGCTTCAGTATGTTTATGTGAACAGCAGACGTCACAGGGAAATGCAGGGAAATACATAGAACTTGTTTTTTCCATCAAAGCTGAGTTTATGGGCTTATTATTTTGATCGGGACACACGTTTTTCATCAAAATAGATTCTTTTACCAGAAGGATTTGATCATCATGAGTCAACAGTTAAACACCTTATCATTAAATGTGTCCAGTTAGTCGTCTATCTTGTTGTCTTTGTTTTGCTCCATCAGCTGCTGGTTAAGTATTGCATTATAATCAAGTGCGGCCTATGTGTGGACAAAATTTACTTTTTGTCCAGCAAGTCCTGTATAACACAATGACTACATATATTTTTAGTATAGCATTTTGAGATGGCCGAATTATGAAAGTCACATTTTAGTGAGTCCTATGCTTTTATAGAAGTAATACCTTTCTGTTTATATGTTTGGAAACAATATGTATTTGTAGATACATTTTAAACACCATAATGTAGAAGTAAAGAGACGTATTATTAAATTGTGAACTTCAGCAGCTAACTCAAGTTTTTCAAATGAACCTCTGATCCAAAAGTTTATTTTAATAGTCATTGAATTCAAAATCAAATCCATTTTATCTGTATTGCCTTAAATCCCAACAACAGGGCGTCACAGAACCACCAACTCTCAACAGTAGACTGGGACTAATCCTCAGGTCCAGGGTTTCAGACTAGGGACTTGTCCTCAGGTCCAGGGTTTTAGACTGGGGACTAGTCCTCAGGTCCAGGGTTTTAGACTGGGGACTTGTCCTTAGGTCCAGGGAGTCCAGGGTTTTAGACTGCAGGGACTAGTCCTCAGGTCCAGGGTTTCAGACTGCAGGGACTAGTCCTCAGGTTCAGGGTTTCAGACTGGGGACAAGTTCTCAGGTCCAGGGTTTCAGATTGGGGACTAGTCCTCAGGTCCAGGGTTTTAGACTGGGGACTTGTCCTCAGGTCCAGGGAGTCCAGGGTTTTAGACTGCAGGGACTAGTCCTCAGGTCCAGGGTTTCAGACTGCAGGGACTAGTCCTCAGGTCCAGGGTTTCAGACTGCAGGGACTAGTCCTCAGGTTCAGGGTTTCAGACTGGGGACAAGTTCTCAGGTCCAGGGTTTCAGATTGGGGACTCGTCCTCAGGTCCATGGAGTTCAGAGTTTCAAGTCCCATCAGTGAATTCATGAAATAAACTTATTTTACTTTTTGCAAATTCTGATGCTATCCCTTTGGTCACACACAAGAGCAATGTCTATACAAATCAAACTTGTCGTATGGTCTACATAAAGAGTGTAGTGTATGGAAGTATGTGATAAAGTCTAATTAAACAACAGTGATATTGCTGTGTCGGTCGTTTCCCGCATGTGTTGAGGGAGGAGGGACACATGAGCTAAACTAAAGACCTGGCCTTGTGCCACCGTAGACTGAGGGGGAAAGATGAAAGCCCAGATTTATGAGGTGAGAGGACTAGTGCTACGAGTGGAAGACACACATTCATCACTTGTGGTTTGCAGTTGTTAACGGACATGAAGCCTCACAGACCCCTGCAAAGTGCTGCTGCTAGCCCCTCGCACACCGTTAGCTGCAGCAAGGAGTTGAATGGCTTTTCCAGACGCGCTCCTGGTTTAATGGGTTGTGTTTTTGTAGTGCTACTGGGAACTCCTGTTCATAAAAAGTTCTTAGGGGGATTCATCAGATTAAACACACATGCTTGTTATTTAAGTGCCATTGTAAACACGAAAAGCTTAGAGGGGAAACTCTAATGTAATAATGAGAAATATAAAGATCTTAGATGGTCTCACGGAGATTGACAGCTTGTGGTTGATTTATAGGACCCACGAGGGCACTATAGTGAACCAACATAACATGGTGGAAATAATAACTGGGTCACGGATATGGTTGGAGTAAATGTGATCTTTACGAAAACTGAGAAGTATTGGCTTCATTGATTTATTATAGAACACTTTAAGCAAAACTTGGCCTAAGTTCAATTTATTTTTGTTACGCCCTAAATCATAACAGCAGTCGTCTCGGAGGACTTTACAAAGTTGTCAGTTCAGCAAAAACAGATCATTGAATCAAACAGTTCGAACACAGGAAATGCAATACAAACAAACACATTGGTCCATAGGGAGTGGGATGACTCTGCATAAATGTTAATAAATGTCCCGGATCATCACTGTCCTTAGATCCTCCTGTGTCTGTAAGGAACGGCTAAAAAAGAAACCCAGTGGGAAAAAGAAAAACCTCAGGAGGCCCTATTGAGAGAGGCATCCGCTTCCAATGCAGTGGATAATGATGCATTAATAAGACCAATGAACAGATATTTTGCAGACTGCACAGTGTGTTGTTCTGTATGATCTGGTCTCGCGGTCAGAGGTCTTAGAATGGTGGATGCTTTAAACTTTACTGGAATTGAGAGGTCTGGCTTCACTGCTTTTTGAGTTGTGGCTCAGGAAAATGGGACAACACACAATGCAGGCTTAGTTTTTTTTTTTTTTTCTTTCTGTTCCTTCTCTCGTATACTTTTTTTCCTGGCAGAGCTGATATTCCCACCTCTAATTAGGCTCAGTGTGTGATGCCGTTGTCTGTTCCTCCGGCAAAGAGAGGAATTCTATATCTGACCAAACCAGGAAGTAATTTTTATCCTTGTCATGCCACAGTCCTTCTATGTAAAATGTGAAAACAGAGGGAAAATCTGATCTTAAGAATTGATTCCTCTCATATTGCACTTTTCCTGCTAAAACTGCTGTTTTAGTGTCATCATATATATTTTTACAAAACCTCACTGTGGTCAAGTGTGTGTGCGCCAGTTGGACTTTTGCCTCAACACTTTTGCTGCATAAAACATACTGACCATTGTTGTTTGTTCTTCTTTAGGGACAGAAAGGTTATCCTGGTCCGCCCGGACTTCCCGGAGAGTCTGTATGTATATTCCTCTTTTTAACATTTACCATGAACTACATGTTTATATAATGTGCAAACGATACATCTTTTAGAGCTATTGAAGTATTTAGAATTTATGAATTGTGTTTCTTTTATAAAATCACAAAGTTAAAAACTCAGCTGCAGATTTTATTAGTGACCAAGAGCCGTTTTCATTCACATCCGCTGTGTTTGTTTGTGTTTGCACTGAACGCATGCCAGAGAGAGTAGATTACTCTGTTATGAAATTTTGGCCAATGCAGACATCTGGCCCAAGCAGTGTGCCGACGCTCTCCAGGATATCAAATAACTATGACAAGGAAAAAGAAAGACTGGGGAAAGCGGAATCTGCCAGCTAAACTCCTCATTTACTTTTCTCTTTTCACAAAATCAGCTTAGTCTGCATAAGTAAGTCATCTTTATACAGAGAGCACAAAGCATTTTTCCAAAGATGTGCTGCTGTTTTTATTGGATTATTTCACTGTGGGACTGTAATGTTACACTCATCTCTCTGTCCCACACATCAGTCAATCAATCTTTATTTGTAAAGCACATTTAAACAGCCTAGGCTTGCCAAAGTGCTGCACAGACCAGATAAAAAACAAAAACAGCAACAATAAAACACACATATTCCCTAAACTTTAAAAACCTTCACATGTTTAATTGTAAGAAAGGAAAGCCCTGAGTTGTAGAAAGTGCAGTGGTTGCGATGACATTGGGTCCCATACGCTGACATCAGCCCCTAGTCACGATGAGACCACTGTGTTTCCCTCTAACACATGTCCCTCCCCAAACGCCCCCTTCTTTCCCACACAGGTCAGCTCATAAGTGTGACTCGCCGTTACATCCATAATTGAGTAATAAGCACAACTGTTTGGCCAAGAGTTGCATGGAGCCAGCTGGTCCCCATACAGCGCTGATTCCTTGTTCCTGTAATATGCCCCTCCTCTATTCTGGGCTGTGAGAAATTAAAATCCTGCTTTGCCAAATTCTTTCCAAGTTTTAACTGCCTGCAATGAATTTATGCAAATAGTAAACGCAAGTACTGCATTTACTGGAGATTTAGAGTGTGTTGAAGGGAGGTATTTGGGCTCTGATAAGTCATACATCTGGCGATTCCTTAAATTGAACTGCTGTTATTTTCACTTGTCATCAATGTTTGTGTGATGCTTGAGTGAATAATATTTATCCTAGCAATGCTCAGGAGTGCAGGTATATTCTATGGTAGCTAAACACGGCTGAAGAGAAGGGGGCATTGTAAACCATCCCCTCCGCGTGCTGTGTCTCCTGCTCTAAATCTGCTACTGTACATAAAGGGCTTCTTGTGTGCCACTGTAATTTGGGTCTCTCCCCCCACCTTTCTCTCTTTTTCCTACAGGGAGAGCAAGGTCCCATCGGAAGCCCAGGTGCCAAAGGTTATCCTGGCAGGCAGGTGCAGTAAATCCTCTGCTGTGACTGGTACCATAGTTAGGACATAGAGGGCAAAGGGACAATTGAAATTAAACCTGGCTCAGGAGAGAAATTGCAAGGTGGATTGCATGAGTAGAAAATGTGATTTGAAAAGGATTAATTTGTAGAAATACATGTAAATAAATGATTTAGTTTCACTGAACCTGCAAACTGATGATCTGTTTTTGGCTTTTATAGGGTTTACCAGGGCCTATAGGACCAATTGGGCCTAAAGGCGTCCGGGTAAGTACTTGAAGCTAGTACTAATCTAGTATCACATTACTTTAATTGTGCATTTTGTCCGTGATATGTTAACCAAATTATTTAACCAAAACACACTTTTTTGTCTCGTGTTTATGATTCTTCCCTGCTGACTATACTACCCCAGGTCTCGTTAAAAACACCAACCTGCAGCTCTCTTTGGATAAAGCATCTCGCTCTGACAAAGTGCTTATAACTGTTATGTTTATGCTTCATGTTTTGGTTCTTTGGCCCCTATATCCACTAGATTAAGGTTAGAGGATTGTGTATGCACTGATACACTGGGGTCAGGTGCAGAGTGTATTGGTCACTCTGAAAAGCGAAGGTGTCCTTGTAATCCTTCCGATGTCTCTGTTGCGTTTTAGTAAATGTAATCCTCGAGTTCAGATATATTCACTGTTTAGAAATAATCTGTCATGAACTCAAAAATACATTTGGGTCAGAATAAATGTCTATTGCAATCAAGACTTATTTTGCTGCTGCTCAGCTTCCCCTGCCCCCACTGGCTGGAATTTCCTGTTTAAGCTCTGTAAGAGGCCCCAGTGTCTTAAAGAGGCTTTTTATTTCCCACTTTTGCTCAAAACACCTTTTTATATGAAACATACGCCTCCTAGTTCAAGGTCCCCATCCCTTCATGTGTTATATGTGCTGTCTAAGAAGTCTTTTATAGTGTGTTGTTTGCTGTTATCTGTGCATTTGTGTGTCTTGTGTGTCTGTCTTGTGTTGACAGCTCAGTCTGATGACCTGGCTATCTTCAGAGATCCCTGGCGTGAGGGTATGTGCCCTTGGACTACATCGTGGAAGCCAGCACCATGCAGTCCATGGGCATATACACTTGCCTCATGGCTTTGGTCTTCATGCGTCTGTCCATGATGTCGCCTCTTGTCTCTCCTCAAACATGGATGGATGTGGTCCGTCAATAAACATATTCATGTTTCTCTTTTTGCTCTGTTGTTTTCCATTGCAGGGTTTTATTGGAATCCCGGGACTTTTTGGTCTGCCTGGGCCTGATGGTGAAAGAGTGAGTTTTGTTCTCCACCATAGTCAAAATGATAAAAATGCATTTGGCAGAATACAATCTTAGTTACGATAGTTTTACTTTAGATAAATAATTAACAGCTCCACTTGGATGTGGAATAAGAGAGTCCTTGATTAAATAAAGCATACTATAAATAACAGATTTTGACTTACTATGGTGGCTGTTCCTTCTTCCTCCTTCTGTTCCAATTATTCTTTGTTTTTATAACCTGCTTTAGTGATAGATACAGACCACAAAGGTGGGAGTGACAAATGCAAGTCACAAGTCAAGTCAAAATTGAGTCTCAGACAGGCTGGTTTTAACAAATGCTTAAACTGACTTTTATTAAACACATATAATTTATGAACGCAGTTAGAAAGAAATTGCTTAGTCTCTTGGTAAACTGTCCTTTGTTGTTCGGATCCTGTTCTCTTTTTGGACGTTTGGAAATTGAGCATCTGCACAGATTATTCCGATGTCTCTGTTGCGTTTTCTGACCGCTTCTGTTGTTGTTTTCACTTTCAGGGGATTCCTGGCGAACCAGGGAAGAGGGGCAAGATGGGTAGGCCGGTAAAGTTTTGTCTAAACATACTTTACACAATCCTTTGTTCGAGTGTGATATCCTGTGTCCGATGAACGAGCTGTAGATGCAAAAGTATCTCTCTCTACGTCATGTTTGAGCGGGTCACTGTTTCCACTGCAGCTTCAGGGGGTTGTCTTCTGTCACGTCCCAGAGGCCTCTCAGTGTCTTCTCTGCGCTTTAGAAACATAAAGTCTGTCTGAACGATCCAATACTGACATCACTGTGCAGCTGTTGCTTATTGGCTTTGTGGTAATAAAGTCGATCGAACTGAGTCAAACCTACATTTAGCAAAAGCCCGATTCCAGTGAGTGAAAACCCTTTTAAGGAAAGTTTATTTGTGTAGCACAGTTCATATACAAGGCAACTCAAAGTGCTGAACAAAACAAGATCACAAGGCATTCAAATCATAAATAATCACTGTACATTAAAAAGAGAAGATACAATCCTTCAGTTGTATGCACAGCTAAACTGAACTGGTTTTAACCTGAATTTGAAAGAGTGTCAGAGAAGAAGTCTGTCTCACATTTCCAGGAAGACTGTTCTAGATTATAGCAGCATAAATCTGAAATGCTGCCTCCCCATGTTTAGTCCTGACTCTGGACACCAGCAGGAGGCCAGTCCCTGTGCTCCTCAGAGTCCCAGCAGGAGGCCAGTTCCTTTGTTCTCCTCAGAGTCCCATTTGGTTCATGCGTAATTAACATGTCTCGGATGTACTTTGGTGCGAGGCCACGGAGAGACTTAACAAAAAGACCTTTAACAAACAACTATTTATATTTCCTGCGAACCACAAAACAGATGGAGCTATTACTTTTAAATAACGCATACTTTTACATCATTTTGTCTGACAGTTTGAACAAAAAATAAGTGAAGGTCCTGACAATTTGAAAGGCCAAAACACACAGACGCCATGTGTAGGACGTCAATATACCTGAACACAGACCATAAAACCACAACCCTCTTTCCAGACTCCAAGGCCAAGACTTCTGCTTTCTACTTTCCCTTTTCCTACGGCCATTACTCGTTTGGTTAATGCTTATGTTGGCCATGATGTTTTTAATCAAGGCGCCAGGCTTTTTTTTTTGTGTGAATTAGACAAAAGATGATGCACTGTAACATGATAGGAGATAGTGGGCTACTTTAATCAATAACAGAAATATGTAGAAGTAGGTTATGTAAGGAAACTTTAGGGAGACGTTTGTGGGAAGCCAAGACGCTGTATAGAAAGTATCCTGGATGTAGGAGCTCATATTGCAATTCTGATATTCTGGCGGCTAAAGGGTCAATGGGTTAGAGTTATTCATGTTGAAAATAAATTCTCATTGATTTCCTACTTTAATTTATGGATCAACCAAAAATAAGACCACAAATGTATATTATATTGTGTCCGGTTATATCACAACCTGACAATCTTATTATTATGATTTCTTTTTAAAGTTTATTCAGAGTCCACTGGAAAAGTTAAAGTGTCTCATCCCCTGTGATATCTTGAGATTTGAGCTGTCACTTTTCTGTTCAAAACCTTTTTTGTGACTCAAGTCTAGTACTTGGCAAGTCAAGATTTTCACATAATCTTACATACAGTACATACAGATGTGATCACAGCAATGAGTTGTTTGTACGTGAGTTGTTTTGGTCTCAGACTTTGTAGACTTTTGAGACTTTAGAGGTCCCATATTAGTTGCAATGTTGATGCAGCATGTTAAAAGATAATTTATAATATTGACAATTTATTTAATGGTTCTTTTATGCATACTAAAGCTACAATCATCACTCATTCTTGTCTAGAGGTAAAACTATAAGATGTTTACTTTCCCATTTTTTTTTTTTTTGCCTAAAGACAAGATACGTTTATATAAAGAAAACTAAACTTTTTAAAACTAAAAACCCAAAAAAGTATGAATAGAAGTTGTCACCTTTCTGCGGTCGCTCTTACATGTGATACTTTAAGTGTTGAAATACCACAGCTACGGCTCTAATACGGAAACCAGTTTGTTTGTATTTGTGTTTGTGCACACAGCTCGGCCTATATAAAGCCTCTCCCTCTGTGCCCTCAGGGTTTTCCAGGAGACTTTGGGGAAAGAGGACCACCTGGACCAGACGGAGAGCCAGTACGTTTCCCACGTTCTGCCACATCATGTCCTGGACCAGATACACACGTCACTGTGACTGTGCTCCGTCATTCAGAAACACCACCAAATTATTGAACACCGAGAAAATATCGACCCAAGTATTATATTAGACACCCATCAATGCAAAATATACTCACACTTGGAGGCCACAGAATGCATTTTTTATGACTTATTGTCCTCTTATAATTGATAGTGTTATTGCTTTGCTGTTTCAGATTCATTTAATTTGCTATTTGCAGTAAAACCACATTGGAATACATTAAATACACAGGAATAAAACAAGCCAAACGTACAGGAATAATACTAGCTAAAAATGTGCAGGAAACTATTGTCGCTGTGAAAAATGTTGAAATATATTGTCATATATTGTGCTGCATACCATAAAGACCATATATAATTCCATGAGCATTAGATAGACCATGAAAGAAGGAGAGAGAGAAGTGGCTAAATGTGCTCATCTGGCGGCCCATCTCTTATTTATGTTTTTGTTTGAGGTTTGGTTTTTGATTGCAGCCGCTGTTTACTTGTTCTTCCTGTGTCGAGGAAGCTGACATTGTAAAGCTTCACGTGTTTTAATCTCTCCAGATTTTTTCCGTTGCCCGCAGCAGAGCCTCTCACTTATCCTGTGGGTTTGTACATAAAGTGTAGCTGTAGTTATCGAGTGTCACTTCCCAAAAATTACAACACAGAAGTCTCTCAGAAGACGTGAGACACAGAGCCAGTCTTCAGCGTGTTTGCTTTAAAAGAACCGATAACCACTGAAAAAACCACCTCTCTCTCTCTCTCTCTCTCTCTCTGTCTCTCTCTCTCTCGCTCTCTCTTTCTCTCTCTCTCTGTCTTTGTTGGACTCTCTCTGTCTTTGTCTCTCTGTCTCTGTATCTCTCTCTCTCTCTCTCTGTCTCTCTCTCTGTCTTTGTCTATCTCTCGCTCTCTCTGTCTTTGTCTCTCTCTGTCTCTCTCTCTCTGTCTCCATCTCTCTCTCTCTCCCTCTGTCGCTCTCTGTCTTTGTATCTCTCTCTCTCTCTCTCTGTCTTTGTCTCTCTCTCTCGCTCGCTCTTTGTCTCTCTGTTTCTGTCTCTCTCTCTGTCTCTATCTCTGTCTTTCTCTCTCTCTCTCTCTCTCCCTCTTTTGCTCTCTCTCTCGCTCTCTCTCTGTCTTTGTCTCTCTCTCTGTGTCTCTGTATCTCTCTCTCTCTCGCTTTCCCTCTCTCGCTCTCTCTCTACCTTTGTCTCTGTCTCTCTCTCTTTGCATTTATTTAATTTTCTCCTTCTCTTTCACCAGGGCCAAATGGGCGCCCAGGGTCCAGTCGGGGTGCCAGGACTCATTGTAAGTAGCGCTAAAAATGTATCGTTTTTGTTTTATATTATAGTTTTTTCTTCTATATCAGGAAAACTGTGCATAGCGTAGCAGTGTGATTTATGTGTGTAATGCTAGCGGTTTGTTGGTTTTGTAAGTCAGGTAATATTCATAATTTACAGGCTGCTGTGCTCTCAAGTCACTGCCAACCGGACTGTAATAATTAATTGAATAATTGCAACTAGTTTTTCCCATAATTAACAACTATTTCCGGAGTTGATTCATCGTTAACTGCTCTAGAGACAAACTTGAAAACATGAAAATGTGGTTGAAAGACGTAAACAGAGTAACCCTTATGTACAAAATGAATCAGTCTGATAATAGAGATATTTGGTTTTTACAGTGTCCTCAAGCTGTATCACTTCAGGTTTTTCGGAGCCAAAACTCAATCAAATCTCACAATAGTGCTCCAAAAAATAATATCAAAACAATTGTTACTTGCAGCTGTTGAACTGTTAATGCCGTTAACCTTTTATTCATCTATTTTTCATGACCACACATTAATTTATTCTTTTGTGTGTAACTCAGAAATAATGACTTGTGTATGTAAATCATGAACATTTGAAAAGCCACTTCTCACTGTCTGTTGTTGTGACCCAGGGGGACATGGGCTCTGTGGGGCTGATGGGCATATCAGGACCTAATGGACTGAAGGTAATCTCATAATAATAATAATATGTTTCTCATCGCAGTGCTTACTATAGTTACTAGACTTTTGTTTTTACCATCACTCATTTTAACTTCCGTGATAAGAAAAAAGAACATGTACTAACCATATATGTACTCCATATTGTTCTGAATGTATGTTTGTGTCTGTTGCAGGGGGTACCAGGAAATCCCGGAGAACCAGGACTGAAAGGTGATAAGGTGATCTGAATATTCACGTTATTGTCCTGTGAATATGTTGTGTGTAATTGAATGAATTGTTTTTCTGTCGTTGTGTTATGTGGACATTTTTATGTGATTCCCAAAAATGAAATAATGTGAATACATTCATGAAAGCTATTGTTTTTATTTTGTTGGATGAAAGAAATTACTTATTTCTTTTTGGTAGGGTGAAGTTGGACTTCCTGGCATGCAAGGGGAGATTGGCTACAAAGGAGACATGGTAAAATAACTCATTATTACTCACTTTCTCTTCATGGCGTTCTAAAGTGTATGTTCTGGTTGTGGTGCTGTGTTTAATTAGACCAACAATAGAGAGTCTGCCAAAAATACTTTTGTAGTGGAAGCGTGGTGGATGAGGGGTTAGCATTCATACAAGAAGGTTGTGAATACGCTGTGTCTGCGTGGGTTTCCTCTGGGTGCCCCGGTTTCCCCCACCACCCAAAACATGCAGCAGTATAGATGGATGATGGTAGAGACCGGAGCTTCTGTTTCTGACTGAAACAGTGAATGAACCATGAAAAGCCTGAAAAAGCACGTAACAAGTGCATTATCATTATTGCTTTTCCCGGGGGGGTTCACACAGTCTCATATCTTCAATCACACGTGATTTGTTGCTATAAAAAATCTTGGTTTGGTGTCACTTGCTTGTGATTGTGAAGTTTTATGACATTCCAGACAAAACAACATCAACAAAGTAATTTGAAGCAACTTTGAGTGTCCAAAAAAAGCGCAACATAAATCCGAAAAATGCATTTTAAATAGAAAATAAGGTTCAGATTCACAACATGGCGCCTCTTCCTGCTGTAGAAACCAGTATTTTACATACAATCTGTAAAAAGACATTTTATATAATATTTCTCACTGTTTAAATGAAACTTCTCTCTCAAAACTGTGGCATTGAGCCAATAAGAATAATTGACCTGAATTGATGTATTGTTACATACTGTGTTTAACCAAAAAGCGTGAGTTTGGATGGAATATTGTGTACTGAGATCTTGTTTGAATTTATCTACATAATTTGGTAATAATGAATAAACTGGCATTACATTAAAACTAGTGATATTGTATTTCATTTGCTACCACAGGTATTTCACATTATCACTTTAAAATGATCATATTTCACATTCAATCAGACAATTATCTTCTAGTGTTTTCAAAAGTCTTTGTAATCTATTACATTATATTCATTTTCTTTCTTTTGTGTGAATTGAACAGGGTATCCAGGGAGCACCAGGGCTACCGGGCATTCGAGGAAAACCAGGACCACAGGTTGATTTTTGATTCTAAGGTTTGTTTATATTTGTTAAATCACAATTTAACCGTAACTTTTCAAATAAAGGGCAAGATTGGAGAGAGAGGTCCTGATGGTTTACCTGGACCACCAGGCCCAGAGGTCTGTGTGGATCTATTCATAATTATTAATGTTGAAAGAAATAGAAACTTATTGAAGTCTTTTTTGGTTGTTATTTTAGGGTTTCCCTGGCGACATGGGGCCACCGGGAGACAATGGCATCGAAGGTCCAAAAGTTAGTAATCTTTTCATCTGTATTATACATTCACAAATTTAAAAAGGGTATTCCATGTTCAGCATTTCATAAACTGTATTTTATATTTATAGGGAAAACTAGGAGTGCGAGGTTTACCAGGTCCTAGAGGGGTCCCAGGCTTGGATGTAAGTGCAGTGACCCTCAAATATTAGAAGCAATACTTCTGCAGTTTCATCAATAAAACGTAGACCATGTGATCACTTCTCAGGGGGACGAAGGCCCACTCGGACCACCTGGCCCATCAGGGCTTGAGGTGAGTGTGAAACCATCACCTTCAGTGTCTTTTATCATCTGTAATGTTGCTAATGTTATCATTTGGAAAAGATAACATGTGAAGATGAAATGCACCATGTTTTTGTAGATGACTGCAACCTCACAGTACAGACTGATTCTCCAATGTTAAAAGATTACTGTTAAAATAACAACTACAGTGGAGTTTCATGTTCACAATATTCTTGACCAGACGTATTTATTTTTCAAAGCTTTCTTTATCCAGGAGAATTCATTCAGATTAGACGTCTTAATAAAACAGATTGTCCTTGAATGAAAACGTTCTATTAAAGTCACTTTTCAGACTAGTTTATTTCAATTCAAAGCAGCTTGTGTTTGCCATTGATAATGAATTTATGTACTTTAAAAGTATCACAATATCACTCTCTGTATTGATCTATGTATTATCAAGAAGTCAGTCAAAATACCTGAATTCAGATCCTGAGCACAGCCCTGTGTTCATGGACATGTGCTGTTTCCTAAAACGCACACTAGAGGGCGCAGCGACTTCTTACGTTGCAGTTGTGCTCAGTGAGCTGGAGATGGTTATGAATCATTCCTTTTTCGTTTACCTTTGAGGTTGAATCTATTATAATATCATTTATAAATTAAAGAATACATCTGAACAAATCCAATATTAGTCTAGTTGATATAAATATTATTTATTCATCTAAATATAAATTATCATTATTTTTTATAATAACCGAGGTTTTTTCTTGCTTTATTATTAATATTAATTAATACTTCCTCTCTTTTCACTTCTGATCTAAAGATGAGCCTGGAACTCTTTGGATGAATGTATTACATTCTTGTTTTAAGTCCATCCTAAACATCCACTTTCTGTTGTACTTTATAATCCAGGGCAGACTCGGTCGAAAAGGTTTTCCTGGAAAAGTCGGTGAAGAAGGAGTTAAGGTAAACAATATTTCATTCTATGAAGGTCAACAGACCCATCCATTTCTCAGGTTCCATTCCCTATGGACTTTTAGATCAAAAATAAATAGTCTTAAATTTATGGCTCAAGTCCAAGTCCTCCACTTTGTGTTTCAAGCCCTTACGAGTCTTCATACAGATACATTCACATTAAACAGCTCAGGTTATTTCTCTCTAAAACACAAGCGGTTGTTGCAAAAAGGTCATGGAGCTTCATTTTATTCAGTCAAGTCTCTGGTCTGAACTGAGACCAGGTCTGACTTGGACTTTGGACAAATTGTTGAGTTTCATATAAGGGATTGTTATGTCATAAATATTGTAAATCGATAATACCATCAAATAACTACTACTGTCTTTTATAGGGAGAACTTGGCATCACAGGGAAAGTGGGACCAATGGGAGAAAGAGTAAGACCTTCATTGTCTTTATTCACAATAATGATTACATTCCATTTCTAATGTCACTTATTGTTGCATTTCAGGGCTTAGTGGGTTTTATTGGACCTGTCGGGGAACCGGGACTAGCAGGAGAGAAGGTAGATTACCCATATATAAGATAATTATATACATATATGTATAAATGTGTATATATATATGTGTTAAAAACATGTTAGGAACATTGTGTAATACAGTTTCTCTCCATCTCAGGGAGATCGAGGAAAGATGGGACATCCAGGACCTCCCGGGGAAAAAGGAACAACAGTAAGATACAGTTTGCAAAAGGACTTTATATCGTGAAATGCCACAACCAACCGAATCTGAACAAAACCTTTTTTTTATTCCCATGGGAATACACACATACAGCTCCGTAAAAGTATTCCGGCTACATGAACTTTTCCACATTTTGTTGCGTTACGACCACTAACATAAAGATATTTTATTGGACCAACACAAAGCATCAGACAACTGTCAAGTGAAGCCAAACGATACTTTATTTTATTTTTATTTTTATTTTCAAACAAAAAGTGAAGCATCCCATAGTATTCCCATGGGTTGCATTTTAGAAGTAGCAAGTCTAAAAACAGACTAAATATCAGAAGTGAAAACGTTCTAAGAGATTGGAGAACACACACAGTGTGGGTAATTCCAGGTCTTTACAGAACAATACAATCACAGCCTCGAGTCTTTTAGGGGTTTATCTCATGCATGCATTCTTATTATAACACACGCCTTTTATTTGGTTTTAAACCACGCTGTAGTATGAAAAGTCTTTATTTTTAGCCAATCATGCTCCGCTCTGTTCCAGCTCGTGCTACTCACTAACTAAAACCTATATTCGGGGACAGTTGGCACCTGATACTGTCATTTCAAAGACAATACAAAATGCTGAGTGTGACACAAACAGATAATGGGCAAGAGGAGTTTTCTTTTTAATGTAAGGGAATAGGAGCCAAAGCCAAAGTAGGTAAACTTCACCCATGAGCACTTCCCTTGTATGCTTCACAGCGTCAGAGAGCTAGCGGTTGTGCATTGTCCATCCCTACAAATACAGTCTATAGTAATGCATCTTGAGCAGTTTTTCAAGGTAGACCGGGGTAAAAGTAAATCTCCAGATAGTAAATAGTAAATTACAGAAACAGCCCACAAGAATTAAGCTTCTTTTATCTGCAGTAAAGTTTGCCTTTTGGTCAATAATTTATGGCCATGATAAAAAACATTAGTAGTGTGATAGAAAATCATGTAATACCACATGCCGTTGTTGCCGGGCAGCGATGAATAAGGATGTAGTCATCATTCTTGCTCTAACAGACTGAACTTTCCAACTGGCTCAGATCCATTTGGAAAGTTCTTTACAGACCAAACCACACACAGACACACACGATTCTGCTCTTTCTGTCTCCTACAAAACAGAAACATTTGGCCATAAATACATGAAAATATGAACCCCACAAGTAATCTGGTACTTGTACTTTTACTGTTATCCCCATCCTTCCAAAATACCCAATTTGATTTAATTTGGGGGTAAGAGAAACAAGGACTGTCCTCTCTTTTTTAGCTGTAAAATAAGAAAGTTCATGTTGATGTTTAGTACAGATGTTTGACCTCAACTCCATCAGCTCTCTGCAAGAAGGTCCTGGGTTCGACTCCCTGATGACACGGGGCCTTTCTCAGTGGAGGTTTCCTGTTATACTTTAAACATGTATTTAGTTACAGAATACTGAATTCCTGCGTTAAAACATATTTTGTAATGCTTTCTGTTACATGGTCCAATCACAGTATTCTGAATACTCTCACATTTATTTGTGCGATTGTGTAGTGTAGAGAGTGTAGAAAACGCAGCAGATTAAAACAAAGGTGTGTTTCAAGAGTAAAACTCTTGCATAATAAATATTATTTGAAACGTAACTGTATTTTACATACAGTATTCTGGTAAATATGTTCCGTTTTATTCCAACTGCTGGTGGGGTTTCCTCTGGGTGCTCCGGTTTCACCTACCGCTACAAACACAATACAATAGACTGCTCCCTGCAAAAAATGGTTGAATTAAGCTTAATTCATAAATAATGCTCTGTTATGTTGTTTTATATTATTGCTAATGATATGTGTACATACACAGGGCCACCCAGGAGGACCAGGAGAGACTGGACTTCCAGGTCCACCAGGAAGACCAGTAAGTTCATTTCATGTTTCTTTTGCTTAGATTCAATCATTAAGGCTGTGATGAATGAATCCAGGCCAATCACTGGCTAACTGTGGGATCATAAATCTGTATAAAATCCTGTTTCCACCAGCTCTAATTTCCCCTACTCTGCTCTGACTCGCACTCATCATTCCACTGATGCTGCCTGACAGAGAGCATTAGGGCCTGGACACGGCACAGTCGCTGCTATGTTCTTCTGAATCCTTTTCTATCCTATCCTGGCTTCCTACATGTGATCTGTCCATTGAAGGATTGTAGTGATTAAATTCAAACCTTACAGAACGTGTGCTTTTTTATCCCAGCACAATAGGGGTCCCACAAGGATCCATCCTGGGGCCCTAGTTGTTCAGCATTTATTGATCTGGACATCATTATGCATCAACTCACATGGAAGGAATGCAGCAAGTTGCCTCAAAGTGGCCACTATGGACAAATTTATAAATTGGCTGAAATCATCTTGTCTAACATTAAACAGTCATAAAACAGTTGGCTTTTACTTTAATAAAACAATTAATATGATCCGTCTATGTTGATGGAGTCGCACAAATTGTGACTGAGACAACAGGTTTTCTTGGAGCAAACATTTTCATTATAAGACAATATTAATAAAGGTATGTAAAAAAATAAATATGGCTCAGATCTGCGGATAATCAGGACTTAAAGGCATTTGGCGAAAAACACGCTATCTTCATTTTGATATTCTGAAATTTGACAATGTAACTATATTCTCAATCTGCCACTGAACTAGATCCACTTGGTCCAAACAGAAACAATCTGGAGCTTTTCACAATCTGCCTTTTCACGTTACACTATAAACACAGACACAGAAAGTTGGAAATTGGACATTTTTCTGTAGATATTAAATTAACTCAAACTGTGTCTGAAATTGTTTATCTCCTATGAAAAACATGTAATGTATTCGATATGTGATGTTCAGTACTGGTTTTGTCTTGGTTCAGTCCTGGGTCTTCCCCGGTTTAGTCCCCAATAAAATGTTAACCCTGATTTATTATTAATAAATATGGTGACAGGAAGAGAAGCCACTGTTTACCACTGGAGGTCATCCACACACACTGGAGGAGATGGAAGTAACAGCTGTGGCTATAGGGCAGCGTGTGGGCATTGAGAAATCCAAATACATCTCTGTGACTAACTCTGCGGCCATTAAACTGCAAAGTCCAATGTACTCTTCTGTATATTTTCCCCGTTAAAACATAAACAAGCGATACAGTTGCAGCCTGCAAGTTGTTTAACTTTATTCAGGCCATATGGCAAATGCTCTAAGACGTTTCTTTGATCAAAATGACATATGAACATTCAACACAAATTTAGTCGTCTAAGAAGATCCCATCATCACAAAACTACAAAACAACAATTGGCAAACTAATATGTTATTGTGTAAATCTGTAAAGCCAATCCAAGGAGAATCAAAATCCCTATTTATTTATTTTTGAATCTATATTTCAAGCAGATGTGCAGTTACACCAACACAAACACTGCCAGGTCGTGCATAGACTCTACTACATCAAAGTCCATTGTTCAGGACTCATATTTACTGTGTTAGATCTAATATTCTGCTGTTGCGAGTGATGAGGTCTCTGAAGGCTGGAAGTCCGCTCACCCTGTCTGGTGTGGTTTTCAACTAAAACATTGAGCCATGACATGCTCCCCTTTGGGAATTCACTGCTCAGCTGAGTGGACAAAACACAGGCCGTACGACTCCAAAACTAATAACTCAAAAGGTGCTCGGTAGAAGAATTACATTTGAGGGGAATTGCGTGTTTTTGCAAGCCAACATAGTTTCCGTTTCTTTCCACAAACTTTGACTTCTCATTCATTCCCCCCCACACAAAGTCAGTGGAAAATTCCTGTGAATGAGAATACCCTGGCAGGGGCTATAGTGGTGCTCTGTACACTGGAATACATTGTGGTTCAATATGCATTACCAGTCACCTTACATGGTTTATGATGACTTTTCTAATATTATCCAAAAACTATCCTACTTCACTTGTGGGGATCTAGTTTAAGACTATTTTAGTTTGTTATGTATGTGTTGTGTGCGCGTGTCATGCAACAACAAGTCTTCTGTGTTGTTGTTGCGGTGTCATTTAAGTTGAATTTGACCTATGACGAAAGCATCGTCAAAGAAATTGGCCAACTGCTGATACAATGTGGGTTATTGTATATGAAAGGGGGGTGTGGGGGGCATTCATAAATAGCGACATCCAGCGGTTTTTCCATTTAAAGGCCATAACAAAAATTGAATTATGCGTACAGAGGTTGGGAATCATCTGCACGCCCAAATACAATGGTTATAAAGCCAATAAAAATAAAAAGCAAACTGTGTTTTAATCAACTTTTGTAAATACAGGATGCAGCCTGATAGGTGCAGATATATACAACAACAAATAGATATATATAGCAATATAAGGGAAACCATACATATATTATATGGTATTGTCATATTATCACTTTTTTTTGTAGTTTTATTTATAATACAATTACATTTTGGATTGTTGCAAAGATTGAGACTAATCAGTATTCTGGGATATTGCTTATAAATGAAGATAAACATAGTAAACACATACAGTGGATTTGTCGTGTCTATGTCTCTCTGATGGGCCATTCATAAACATATAAGTTCATATAAGTTGGGTCTGTGCCAGTCGGCTCTATACACTACTCTAATTCAGACCAGTGAACATGCATTCAAAGATGATACTCACTTTGTGCCTAGATGAGAGGTTCTGCAATCTCTCCTTCGGATGCCTAAATTCATTTGTATTCATTTGTCCTGGCAGTCAAAAACCTGGTCCTTTAATCACAGCGTGACTCTGTTGCCAAAGGGCAGAAGACACCGGTGGCCGTTTTACGCATGAGTGAAGTTTGACATCAAGCTCCAGAGGTAAAAACTCATGTCGAAGTGCCGCCTGTCAAGCCCGACATAGAATCCGTGTGACAAAAAGATCTGACTGGAGTTTTCCTGCGCCTTTGTCTGACGATAATATTCCAATACGTTTCATTCATTTATGCCGATCCAAATTTGCGTGGCGCGCGGCCCGGGGAGAAGAACAACTCTCTTGGATGAGGTTACGGGAGTCAGGAGCGTCGCATTCATCCCTTTCCTTTTTAAATGGGCCTCAGTGTGAGTAAAGCCACAGCGAATGCGCTCTGCCAGGCGGAGTCAAGTTACAAACCCAGCGGACGAGCCGAGGAACTGCACCTGCTCAGGCCGGGCTTCACCTCCAGGAGCACGGGGAGACACAGAGGCAGACCCGTGGAGGTGATGGACAGCTGTCCAAGCCCTCCACAAACTGACCAATCACAGAGGTCTGCAAACTGAAATGGCGGAAGTGAATTTGGCGCCAGATTACGGTTAAGATTAATGAGAGGAGATTCTTTATTCGTCCCACAGTGTAGAAATGTCATTGTTGCATCAGCAATAACAGAACAGTAGGAATGAGGATCATACAGCACAAGATAAGTGAACAATAACTCTATACTAAATTAAAACAAAATACAATCTCTATCTTTAGCATAATAAGGAAGCAAGTCTAAAATGTCTAATGTTAGCATAATTTTTAATCTACTATAACTTCCAGAGCAGTCATTTTGATGGCTACCATTCAAATTCAGGAACAAATATTTTTAAAAATGTCACCTGTTTTTTAGAAAGTAATTTTTATACGGGTTTTACCTTCACTCAATTTGAACAACTGCTAAAAGTGGTCAGTAGAACTTGAAATACAGCAAAACCAGTTTGGTAAGAGGCTAATGCTAACTGCTACAAGTGAACGGTGAGAATGGTAACTAGCACTGGCTCACATGGAAATAAAAAAACATTTAAAAACAGAAAAAGTTATGAAGACCACAAAAGTATATACACGAAGTACTAGATACACTTCCAAAACTAAAACTTTTTTCCCTAAAGAGATAGCCCAGGACTAGCACTTTGGAGAAACAGGGAATGGCAACATAATATTTTGGTTGCCAAGCGACTGAAAATGGCTACATTTGAATTTTCAAAGCGCTAGAGCTAAAGGTAAAACTAATCACATTTTAAAAATAAAACACAATTTCAGACAAATAATTACATAGTCATAAACTACATATATACATACACATTTAAGAAGACTAAAAATGTACATAAGACCAAAAATGTTCATAAGGCATTAAAGTGACTGCTCTGGGTGATCTAGTGTTAAACTATTTACAGTCTGTGGTTAAAACAATGGATCAGATAGGCCAGTGCTAACAGCGTCTTTTTTAAATGGTTTTGATTCTTGGTAAAGCTAAAAGAGCAGCTACAGTATGTTAAGATAAACATCTGTACTTGACCTGATCCAAGAACAATAACAAAGAACATCACCATCCAGTAGCTCGCTAAATAAACGCAACTAATAGATAATCACTTGCAGCTACGTTCACATCTCTATGGCTGGAGTACCTGACTTTTTAATGTGTTCTGTTTCTTATAACAGAGAAAGTCTTGTAGAAGTTTGTGAACAGATCCGACCACAACAGGCTGTCTGAGAGTTTGGCTGAGTGAGGGCTGGTACTCTCTTCTCCGTCTGAAAAAGCAGATGTGACAGAGGCCAAAAATATACATGCTTGAGAAAACTATGATAAAAACCAAACAAGTCTGAGAGCTAGGAACTAGATAGAAGTGGGCATTCCACTGGGCTTCCGGAAGAACATTTCCCATTTTGCAGAAGTACTATTACAACTTCAACTTTTGAATGTTTTGTATGCCCACAAATATAAAGGATTTCAATTCAAAAAGACCACAACAAACAACTGTGAACTGAAAGCCAAATAATACATTTGTTTTGTTTTTAAAAAGTCAAACATTGTATTCATACAATATGAAATAGTACTTTGTGGAACCCAATTTTTCTGCAATCACATCAGCAAGACTCTTGGTGCTTGTACAAGCTTTGCTCATCTACAAGCTGAGAGTTGTCATTGGTCCTTACAAAACAACTTGAGCTCTGCCAGAACGGCTATCAGGTTTTTCCACAAGTTTTGAATTGGATACAGTTCTGGGCTTAGACTGGGCCATTCAAACACATATGTTGTGATTTAAATCACCCCATTGTATGAAAAGGCTTTATGTTTAAGGAAATGTCTTGCAGACTCTATCAGATTTTATTTCAAAATGTTCCTGTATTTTTCTCCATCCTCCCATAATCTCTGATAATTTTCCCTGTCCCTGATGTAGAAAAACAACCCCAGAGAATGACGCTGCCATCCCCATATTTGATACTAGGGATGATCCACTCCAAAAGTTAAATTCTGGTCTGATCTGACCACAGCACCTTCTCCCCCACTTCATTTCTTTGGCTTTTATTAAACACTGGCGATTCATTTGTAAATTTGCAAATGTGCACTTTATTTATCCCCCTAGGAAACGTTGTCACTCAACAAAGGCCAGATTTGTGCCGTACATGATAATGTGTTTGACTAATGTACAGATTGCATATGTCCGTAACTCCTCCATAGTTTTCACTGGCCCCTTGTCTACATCTCTGGTAGAGACAGAGGGAGATTTAAAGTTCAAAGTTGGGTTTATTGGGAATTAGTTATGCAGTAAACATGCATTTAAAAACGGGGTCTATTTGCTTTCAGGGCAACTAGGCCGCAAATAGGTGAAGGTGGATTAGACGTTACCGTGAGGCCCCACCCTCATTTTCCCTCCCACTCCAAACCACATTTTTTCCCACTGTTTTTTCCCATTCCTTGTTGGTACAGGCAGTTCTAAGGACAGTGATGATCTGGGACATTTAGGGACATTTTAACATATTTATTAACGTTTATGGACATTGGTCTTCCCTCTTCCGATGAACCAATGGCTCCTATGTGTTTCTTAACAACTTTGATCCATTTTTTCTAATCAACAACTTAGTAAAGTCCTCTGAGACTCTGAGCTGTTGTGGTTTTGGGCCATACAAAAATGTATTGAATTCAACTGAAATATCATTGTCGCAGAAGTGAGTAGAAGTTTTAAGGGGAATTTTCCTCTTTCCAGTCTTTGTCTATTAAAGTCAAATCAAGTTTTTCTGAACCTCCACTGAGATGTAGTAGGTTCCTTTTTTATATTTGAATCTATCTGAGACAAATTGTTGAACTAAAATGAAATATAGTAAGGCTTGTATGTAATTGTGTTGTTAAATGTTTGGTTAAACTACAACCAAACAAACACATTTCAACATCAGCTGAGATTAAAACAATTTCATTTTTTGTATGTATGTGCTTGGTTTTTATTGTATTTTTCCCGCTACATATCATGAGAAAAATGTCTTCTCTGTTAAAGCTGACACGTGGACCGGAGCGAAGGTCACGGCCTGGTGCAGGATCAGCTCTGCCAAGGCCACCGGAGCTATTACCATCTGCTTTGAGGTGGGTCTCCTTCAAGTCTGTTAAAATACACATTCAGATGTTTTAATGACGCTTAACCTTCACAATGGACTTGGGCCACACATATACCATCGCAATGAGAGACCATCAAGAGACGCAAGGGTCATGGGTGGCATTAGAGAACAGACGGATGAGAGTAGACAGACGATAGAGACTAACCTTCTGATTGTCGCGCTGTGAAACGTAGAATCTCTCATTTAAGATAACAAATGTTTTGACATTTTGACGCCCAATGCCTAAATGTTGGTTATTATTGTGTCTTCAAGCTCCTAAATTCTATTTTATTTTATTTACTCTGACAATTTACCACAAAAATACGGTATTTTCTGGATTAAAGAACAGGCGTACTTCAGCCAGCTTGCATGCCCACAAACCTGACTAGTACTTGGCGAGAGAAGGTGATCCTTCTACTTTATAGTATTAGGCCATTAGCTGTGTCTATTTTCATGAATAATGTTTGACCAGAGTCGGCTGCAGATAAATTGATAAAAGTAATCCTTACAAATTGTTTTTAATAGTGTTGTAACGATTCAGATCAATGGCCTTCAGGCAAATACGTATGATAATTCAAGTACTCTTGTAGTGTTTTTGCATATTTGCTCTGTATTTCATGATGATTTTTTGCTGTTTGAATTTACCCGTGTTCTTAAAACTTGTAACTTACGGTGGGTGTCCATAGTCTACTGAGTCTGACATAAGTGCAGGTGTTGAAACCCAAAATACGTCCCGTACCAAAGTCGAAGTCAGTGAACACCAGGCATCACTGCTCAATGGAACTATGATTGGTCTGGAGTCCGGACTCAAACTCACTGAATTTGTCTCCGTTTCTGCCAGAGGCTGTTGGCCTTAGGGTTGGGTGCTAATGGAGCCGAGTCATTAACATCCTCCTTCACAGTCCTCTTCACACACTCTATCCCTTGTGTTCTTGAGATGGGTGCCACCCGGCCGTGCTCTGCACTTCCAATGAGCCACAGCAACTCAGCCCCTTTCGTCCAAATTACAAACTTAGTGCTTGCTAGCACGCTCACTGCCACCCCTTAAAGGTGCTTGATTATGGTCATTGGCCCCAAGTCTGAAAGCTCCCTTTATCCCCCCCGTGCTCCAGAAATAGGCCCTGCAGAATCACACAAGCAACCCAGATCAAACAGTCCCCAAAGGGAAGGGGTCATTACTGGTGCACGAGGCGGACACTGAATGGGTGTTGGGCCACGCCTTGTGCCCAAATTGCAGCTTGGGCCTAGTGAGGACACAAGCCTGTTCTTTGATGCACTACATGAACAGTAAGTACGGCTGTTTGGATATCAATGTTTACAGTGGCTTGTTTAGTGTACACATACAAAAACAGTATAGTGTTTTACATCCAAATGAAAGAAAACTGTGGTTTGTGTTTAGTTGGGTGGACCCTGTTGGTCATAGTTTGTATTTATGTTTTAACTCTGACAGAATATATCCACAACATCCATAATGTATATCTTTAAAAAACCTTTAGTGCTGGTCATGCTTTTTATCCTAATTAGAAAATAAGAATGATCAACTTATTAGTCGTAATGAAAATGATAAAAAACAAAAGTGAGCCAGTGGTCAAACAAGGTAACGGTTACCTCTGAGGGGGTGTGTTTTCATGTTGAGCTGTGGCAGACTTTGTAAAGTTGGTGGTGAACCAAGACGATGCCGTCTCTCTCAGTTCCACTGCACACAAGTGACTTGTTCATTTTAGGAATTTGCGTCAGTGCAAGTCAAATGTACAAAGTGTGGGTTGTGGGCTGAGCTTCTTCCCGCTTGCAGGTGCTGTATTTGTTCTTTAAGCATGTCTTCTTCCTGTTTAAGTATTTTAAGAACGCGTATAACAATGTCTGAGTTGGGTTAATTTGTACTATATCTGTCCCTCTAACTTTTACGCTTTGCTGCATCTCAACACTGCTCCTT